GCATTCTACCTTTCAGGGTTTGCTTTGTAGGCATTCCATTTCAGAGTTTGCTTTGTAGGCATTTTACCTTTCAGGGTTTGTTTTGTAGGCATTCCATTTCAGAGTTTGCCTTTTATATATTTTCAGGGTTTGCCTTTTACCTTTCAGGGTTTGCTTTGTAGGCATTCCATTTCAGAGTTTGCTTTTTAGGCATTCCATTTCAGAGATCGCTCTGTAGGCATTCCATTTCAGAGTTTGCCTTTTATATATTTTCAGGGTTTGCCTTTTACCTTTCAGGGTTTGCTTTGTAGGCATTCCATTTCAGAGTTTGCTTTTCAGGCATTCTATTTCAGAGATTGCTTTGTAGGCATTCTATTTCAGAGTTTGCTTTCTATATATTTTCAGGGTTTGCCTTCTACCTTTCAGGGTTTGCTTTGTAGGCATTCCATTTCAGAGTTTGCTTTGTAGGCATTCCATTTCAGAGTTTGCCTTTGATATATTTTCAGGGTTTGCCTTCTACCTTTCAGGGTTTGCTTTGTAGGCATTCCATTTCAGAGTTTGCTTTGTAGGCATTCTACCTTTCAGGGTTTGCTTTGTAGGCATTCCATTTCAGAGTTTGCTTTGTAGGCATTCTACCTTTCAGGGTTTGTTTTGTAGGCATTCCATTTCAGAGTTTGCCTTTTATATATTTTCAGGGTTTGCCTTTTACCTTTCAGGGTTTGCTTTGTAGGCATTCCATTTCAGAGTTTGCTTTTTAGGCATTCCATTTCAGAGATCGCTTTGTAGGCATTCCATTTCAGAGTTTGCCTTTTATATATTTTCAGGGTTTGCCTTTTACCTTTCAGGGTTTGCTTTGTAGGCATTCCATTTCAGAGTTTGCTTTTCAGGCATTCTATTTCAGAGATTGCTTTGTAGGCATTCTATTTCAGAGTTTGCTTTCTATATATTTTCAGGGTTTGCCTTCTATATATTTTCAGGGTTTGCCTTCTACCTTTCAGGGTTTGCTTTGTAGGCATTCCATTTCAGAGTTTGCTTTGTAGGCATTCCATTTCAGAGTTTGCTTTGTAGGCATTCTATTTCAGAGTTTGCTTTCTATATATTTTCAGGGTTTGCCTTCTACCTTTCAGGGTTTGCTTTGTAGGCATTCCATTTCAGAGTTTGCTTTGTAGGCATTTCATTTCAGGGTTTGCTTTGTAGGCATTCCATTTTAGAGTTTACTTTCTATATATTTCCAGGGTTTGCCTTCTACCTTTCAGGGTTTGCTTTGTAGGCATTCCATTTCAGAGTTTGCTTTGTAGGCATTCCATTTCAGAGTTTACTTTCTATATATTTTCAGGGTTTGCCTTCTTCATTTCAGAGTTTGCTTTGTAGGCATTCCATTTCAGGGTTTGCTTTGTAGGCATTCCATTTCAGGGATTGCTTTGTAGGCATTCCATTTCAGAGATCGCTTTGTAGGCATTCTATTTCAGAGTTTGCTTTGTAGGCATTCTATTTCAGAGCTTCTGTTCCAGACCTGTCTTTCCAGGGATTGTAATTTCAGGTTCACTGAGTAGAGAACCTTATTATTTAGAGGAACAGATACAGAGTAAGAGACCTTTATAACCGAAAACCAGCCAGATACAGAGAACCAGACACGGCCATAGACTTTTGGAGAGATATAGAGACCCATATACTCATAGACATTATTGAAGCAGATATAGACATTGGATGCAGGATACTTGATACATTAGAGATATAATCAACACAAAGCTAGAGACATTCTTGAGTTATTTTTTGTAACATTTCTGGGGCTAATAACAGCCTAAATAGAGCTAATTTCTTTTCATAAGTAAACTTGAATCACTGTGTTTGTCATTATTTATAGGCAGTGGACTCGGCTCAAGTAAAAGTGTCAACCGACCCTGACACGCCCAAAGACGTCTCACCCCTTTTATATACAAACGAACCCCCAGCTTCCCAAATCATAACACCAAACACACACTACCACGGAGGTTGGAGCCGTTCGTTACAGTACAAAGTGTACACAAGACAGCGGGCCAATATAAGTTTTGAAAAGCCCGCGCCCGCTAACTTTCTGATTGGTCAAGGCGCTGACGTCATAACCAATCAATCGAAGATAAAACTGCGCGAGCAATTTTTCTAAACTCATTTCAATCATTTTCAAACCATTTGTTTGTCAATTCTATAAGAAAACGGTACTCTCTGACAAGTCTACATCATCATAGGTATGTTATAAATCGTTTATGTCACTATCGTAGCACATATGCCCTTGGTTCTCAGAGATCAATGTCCCTCCCAAGGTCGGGCCATATATCACTGAGACCTCGGGCATATATGCCACGATAGTGACATAACCTCTAACTATTGCCCTCAATGGCAGTCACTATTTGTATTCTGTTGACTGCTACCAGGTATAGTTGACCACTACTAGGTATTGTTGACCACTAAACAATTCAAACTTTGAAGAAAACTTTGAAAAAAATTAAATTATTTTTTTCAAAAATTACTCTCAATTTGTCTCTTCTCATCCCTTAATCCAAGGGGATGAAAATCACTGGATATAATCATTAAGAGTTTTAGCCTAAAATTTTAGTGAAAATATTTTTCTGAGCAATATCCTAAAAAAGACACACAGTGATAAATATCACACTTTGAAGAGCAAAACGGTCTGTCATCTACCCAGCGCCAGCATGTCCTTAACCTAATCAGATCTTGTCACTACTCTGCTCTTCCATACGTAAAAATATCAAGTTGAACAGGTTAGCGTTTTTCTTGGAATTTTGATGACAAGAATCGATCTGTTGTCTTGAACTTAGAAACTTAGATAACATTGTTTGCAACCTAGTTTGATGACCTTGACCTCTGGCCTTGAAGGTTACACTTTTCAGCGTCTATTCAGAGGGGGATAACACCAGAGTTCAAAGATGACATACGCTTATAATGTAAACCTGTATTGAGATGACATGCATCTCTGATTGGTCAAAAGTTGACAAACAAATGATGTCATCAATGGCGGTTTCAAAATTTTTGAAATACGCTTCAAATAATACTATGTTCATTTCTGGAGTGTTAACCAATATCATAGCTTCTCATTTCACATCAAAATAAAAAAAGATGTAAGGAATATGCCTATATCAATTAAAACATCACATCGAAGTGTAGTATTTGAAAACTAGCTGATGAAAATTCGAACGAACGAAGGTGGTAAGCAAGAGATGCAATTATGTCTGTCATCTTTAAAACTCTGGGACTTTCCCTCCTCTCGTGTCTTTTGTAAGCAAGCTGACCTATATGTGAATCCAAAAATCAATTCAAAAAATCAAGTTTTTGACCTCTCAAAGTTCACGGGTCAACCAAAGGTCAAATCTCAAATCAAAGGTCAGATTTGAACTCCTGAGAACATTTAGATGATTTTTAAAAACCATAAGGTCAATTTCGAACAAGTTGAAAAATTCAAAATGGCCGATTTATCAAAGAATTCAAAATGGCCACCATGTAATTTAGCCAGCATACCAGAAATCTAATCAGATCTTGGTACTAGTTTGCTCTTGCATCAGTAAAATTTCAAGTTGAACAGGTTAGTGGCTTTCCTAGAATTTTGATGACAATGTTCATATGGTGCACACCCCACTTTGTCAAAGTGTGATGATAACCCAGGCCTAGAAATGGCAAAAAGACATCTTACTTGCATCTACCTTCAAAAATTAATTTAAGTCATGAAATAGGTGTATGTATTTTTTCAGATCTTGATTCTGATCTATTTCAACATCCAGCATATCCTCATGATGTCTACTGCCATGTTGATCATACTCATAACATTTCTTGGAAATGATGAAAACAATGTTAAACTGATCACTGACCAAATAACTACTCTTATGCAAGCAATGCTGGATATCAGGTAAGCCATTTTTATTAGTTTCAATTTAATTGTTTGGCAAATCTTAAACAATTATCCCACCAAACATAGATTGAGGGGGATAGAGAGAAGCTGTCCATCTGTTCATTCATTCGTTCATTTGTCTATTAGGGCAATAACTCAGTGGACAGATCAGGTTCAAACTAAATTCAAAATGGCCACTCATAGTTGACAGATTTGGTTCAAATTTATATGCTGATGTTTTGGGGTCAAAGGAACTTTGCTCAAGAAGAGCTTTTCAAGATGGCCACTGGAAATCAAAATGGCTGCCATTTTTCATGAAAAGCATAATATTTCATAACTCAAATACAAGTGGATGGATTTGATTTATATTTAATATACTGATACCTAAGGACAAATGAGCTCTGTTCAAGAAATTCTTTTCAAGATGGATGCTATTTACCAAAACATATTTTGATCAGTGGAATTTGCTACTCCATGGAGCTGCTGTTTTCTAGTTAAGCTAGTTTTGGAAAAAATTCACATTCATGTATGACATACATATAAATATAGAATCACAAACCAGTGGTATAAAATACACCATATTAAAATAAAAAGTAAGGATTTTTTAATGCATACATCAACATATTTTTTCTAAAATACATACCAGTACATAAAGTATCAGATAGAAGTTCAGGTTATTTAAATCTTAACTGATACACAGTTTAAACATTACAAATACTCTTAAATCCAGGGAGAGGGGAAGTTCAACAAATAGAGCTCACGGAACCATTAACCCAAATGATACTGAAAGAAAAGATACAAAAACAACAGCCACCCTCCCTGATGACACTAACAGTAAAAATAGTAACAATGATGAATCGGAAATTATGAAGTCAAAAGTTTGCAACATTCCAATAGGGTTTCACCCTGATGGAAGGAGTAATGAGGATAACATGGCAAAGGTCACTTTTCAAGATAATACCATCAATGAAGATCAAAAGCCACCACCCATTCTCCAAGATGATACTTACAGGGAAGCATCCAAATCAACAAACACCCTCCCAGATGACACGAACAGTAAACACACTGACAATGATAAATCAGAAATAATGTCAAAAGTTAGTAAAATGTTAAAGGGATGTCATCCTGAAGATAAGAGTAATGGGGATTACAAGGCAACAGCACCTAAATCATGCACAAGTGACATCAGTTACATCAAAACTGTCAAGTCCAAAACAAAGAGATCTAACTCATATAAAGATCAATCTTCTCTAGAGGATGCAAATGAGGTTAATACAAACAACACTGTTCCAGTGTTGAATTTGAAAAATGAAAAACAGTATGCAGTAGAGGAGACACTTTCAAGAGGCAAAAATTACACTAACCCTGTCATAACTATAAGAATAACTTTAACAAAGACAACATATGACATTCAACTAGATGATACAGATAATATAGCTGTAAGTGTTATTCACCATGGAAGTTCCAATCCAACAGTAGCTTTTCAAGATGATACCAACAATAAAGCTTCTAAAGCAACAGTCACTCTGCTAGTTGATACTAACAGCAAAGATACCAAACCAATAGCCAGTCTCCCAATTGATATCAAGAGAGATGAAGCTCCAAATTCAACAGACATTTTCCCAGTAGAAACTATCAGCAAAGATACCAAACCAATAGCCAGTCTCCCAATTGATATCAAGAGAGATGAAGCTCCCACTTCAACAGACATTTTCCCAGTTGAAACTATCAGCAAAGATACCAAACCAATAGCCAGTCTCCCAAATGATACCAACAGACAACCTCCCAATCTAAAAGACACTCTCCCAAATGATACCAACAGTGAAATTTTAAAACCTAAATTCATCTCAGATGAAACTAACAATGAAACTTCAAAACAAACAACCGCTGTGCCAGATACTGTCAATGATGATGCTAACACCAGCCAAATGACAAATGACAATGATGAATTAAATATTATTATATCAAAAGTGTGCAGCATTGAAAAATTTTGTCAACCGGATGATAGTAGTAGCGAGGAGTACAAAGCAACAGCACCTAGCGACAGCAGTCACATGAAAACTGTACAGTTAAAACGAATGAGAACTAACTCATATAAAGATACACCTTCTCTAGATGAAGCAACTGAGGTGAATACACAGAGCACTACTCAAGTGTTGAATATGCAACAAAATGAAGAGTATAATGCGGTAGAGGAGACACTTCCGAATTATACAGGTAGTATCACAACTCCTAGAACAATTTTAAAAAAGACAACATATGACATTCACCTAGATGGTACCAACAGGGAAGCTTCCAAACAAACAGTTAGTGTCCCAATTCATACTAACAGTGAAGCTCCTCCATCAAAAACCACTCTCCAAAATGACACTATCAATGAAGCTCCAACACCAACACCCACTGTCCCAAATGACACTATCAATGAAACTCCAACACCAAGACCCATTGTCCCAAATGACACTATCAATGAAGCTCACACAACAACAACCACTGACCCAGATGGTACCAACAGAGAAGCTTCCAAATCAACAGTCAATGTTCTCGATGGTACTAACAGAGAAGCTTCCAAATCAACAGTCAGTGTTCTTGATGGTACTAAGAGTGAAGCTTCCAAATCAACAGTCAGTGTTCTCGATGGTACTAAGAGTGAAGCTTCCAAATCAACAGTCAGTGTTCTCGATGGTACTAAGAGTGAAGCTTCCAAATCAACAGTCAGTGTTCTCGATGGTACTAAGGGTGAAGCTTCCAAATCAACAGTCAGTGTTCTCGATGGTACTAAGAGTGAAGCTTCCAAATCAACAGTCAGTGTTCTCGATGGTACTAAGAGTGAAGCTTCCAAATCAACAGTCAGTGTTCTCGATGGTACTAAGAGTGAAGCTTCCAAATCAACAGTCAGTGTTCTCGATGGTACTAAGAGTGAAGCTTCCAAATCAACAGTCAGTGTTCTCGATGGTACTAAGAGTGAAGCTTCCAAATCAACAGTCAGTGTTCTCGATGGTACTAAGAGTGAGGCTTCCAAATCAACAGTCAGTGTTCTCGATGGTACTAAGAGTGAAGCTTCCAAATCAACAGTCAGTGTTCTCGATGGTACTAAGAGTGAAGCTTCCAAATCAACAGTCAGTGTTCTCGATGGTACTAAGAGTGAGGCTTCCAAATCAACAGTCAGTGCTCTCGATAGTACTAAGAGTGAAGCTTCCAAATCAACAGTCAGTGTTCTCGATGGTACTAAGACTGAGGCTTCCAAATCAACAGTCAGTGTTCTCGATGGTACTAAGAGTGAAGCTTCCAAATCAACAGCCACTCACCTAAGTGATTCTAACAAGTTTTACAAAATGTTGAGAGATGTTTTCGTGTACATGTATTCTAAGATAGCCCTTTACTTCACATTTGGTAAATGTGTGACCCCTGAGCCGCATGATGTTCCTCACAATGCCAAAAGAAGAGTGTCTAAAAAAGAGTAAGTATACAACCTCACCTGCTAGTAGTATTACTCTTACCTGTTATTTGGTCTGACTTTCCTTAAACTTTTTATGTTCTGTAAAATGATTTTCTCCTTTATATGGCACTATATAAAATATAAGTGTTTCGGACAAGTAAAATCATCAGCAGAAAGATTTTGTCAGCAGATAAGCAATGTCACAAGATATACATGTAATTTGAACTGAAACAGTTTTAACTGTATTTATTATGTGTTTCTAGGGATATTATTTCTGATGTAAACTATGATGCTGGAACAAAAAGAAAGGGGAAAACTAAATGTTAGTGAATTACAAAGTACATTATTATTTTCACCTGACTTTAAAAAATTCAGACAAATGTTTCAAATGAAACTTTTGTGAAAACATTTAATAACCTTTTCGATAACTTTCCATGTCATAATATCAGATGAAACATTTGTTGTAGTAATGTATGTTTTTCTTTACCAATTCAAATAAGACAAAAATAATTGTTGCAGATAAATCCTGGGATGTACTATACACGAAAATCTCCCCAAAGATAGGATTTTCCAATCTTACCATTTTTATCCATCTCGACTTCTCTCTTGAAGAATTTGATACCTGTGTGCTTCAAAGTTCGCCTCATGATGCCAATAATGGATATATCCGATTGCTCATAAAATGGGACAGGAACCAAGCTAACGATGATGATAAATATGGACAATTATATGAAGCGTTTCAGGAATCTGGCAGACAAGACCTTGCAGACATTGTATCGTAAGTATATGCAACTGCATACCCTCCAGAAATATTGATATCATCCTTAGATATAGGTAAAACACAAGAAAAATATTGAAATGAACCAAGGGAATAGTAAGAATATCAATATTTTCCTTGTGGGTTTCCTTCATCGAAAATGTTTTAGTGCGGTATAGAAAATGTTCCTATCAACAGTTAAAAATTCATAAAGTACTTTCTGAGAAACAAGGAAAAAATCAGGTAAATATCATCTCAGTATTTTCTTCATATCTATCCCAATTTTTAAATTCCATACCTTTGCATACCATCATTAAACTTTTCTTTTTGTGACTACAGGATAAAGCTATTAGTATACAAACAAGAACATAGTCTGGATGTAGAGCCAGTAGAGGTGGAAATGCTTATTATATGAACTTTTTTTGCATTTTCTGTTTAAACATGATATCCATATTCAGAAACTGTCGGATGCCCAACGGGCATGCTTGAGGAATTTTTTTGGCGGCCATTTTGAATTTTTCACACATTTTATGTATTTTAGCCAGCATATTAGAACAGAAAACTAGCATACACATAAACATATCTTGCTGTTTTTTCTATAATAGAGTTTTAATATGATGTATACCAATATGTTAGGTTCCAGAAATGTTTCTTGAAAAAAATTTAAAAAAATTCAAGATGGCCGCCAACCTTACAATTTATGAAATGTCTCATTCTGTGATAATATTAAATGGATATTAGTGTTTCCTACAAAATTATCAATAAATAATACTAAATACATCTGATTATGATCTCTTTCTCACATATAAAATATCTGAAATGAGTAAAAAGTAACCTACATGATAATAATGATGTTCCACAAGGGTCATTTCTTGGTGCTATATATATCTTGAATTTATGAATTCTCTTCTTTTACTAAGATTTCATCAAGGATTTCCCTCAATAAATCCTCATCAGTTTCTTCCAATTCCTGTTCAGTTACTGTCTTTGTATGTTGGTTATTGCATTCATTCCCCTTGCAAACACAGAACAATGTACATGATAAAGATGCCTTCGAGCATGAACATCGCCAAGTTCTACATACCTTGCCCTCCGATGCACATGTGCACTTAATGAGCTTGAGAATTCCTTCAGGGGCACAGGGTGTATCCTTGGGCATTGTTGTTGGGACAAGTGAGCCCGTGCTATTAATTTCCCAACCATAATCTGTTGGAAGGATAAGTGGGGGGTCAGGCATATCAGCATTTTTCCATATAGCTACTTGGAAATGAGCTCGCTTCACATGCTGGGAAAATGCTTCTGTTGTTGGTGGGGATTTTAGCTTTGGTGCATTTGTAATGTGTTTTGCAGCATTTTATTTGCCCATACAGCATATCTCACATCAGATATTTTGTTTGTGACTTTAGGTGTAATTCCTTAACATCTAGATACAAATTCTGTTCAAGTTTTCTCAACTTCAGTCATGTCTGCATTGACATCTCCCAAGTTAGTGAGTGAGTATCTATTTAACACCTTCAGGACTGTTAGCTTGCCAATTCCATGCATGCAAGATGTCGTATCACTGCCAGAGAGACCATGCGCAGTTAACAAGTTTGGGATTTTTAATTTGTGTTCATTTACAGTTGCATTAATGTTAATGTTTGCTCTGCCAGATGATGTTCCCTCCATTATCACTATTTGATGAAAATGGAGAAATTAATATCACAACTTCAAAATCAACACTGAAACAAAAGTTACAGATTGAGGTGACCTCAAGAGGAAACAATTGCAATGTATGTGTCGTTGATGTGCCATCCTTTGGATCATAACATGGCCGATGGCTGGCAAAATTGAAAACTTCTGTATTGCTTTCACTAAGTACATCCTGAGACTCCTAACCAAATCAGATGTATACCTTATCTTTGACAGATATAAAGACAATAGCATAAAGAACAGCACCAGGTCATCTCGAGCTCAATCAGCCAGAAGAGTGTATAAGTTCAGCTCTGACACACCTCTCCCTGCACAGAATGTTGTTCTGAATGTGACTGAGAACAAGGTCCAGTTGATAAAATGTGTCATCGACCATCTCATTCAAAAAGCTAGTGAAGGATCATTCTCCAACATCCTTGTTATCACAGGTCCTGATCCAACACCTGTACAAATTCACAAAGGCAATATTGACCAACGTGATGACTTAAGGAATACTCAAGAAGAAGCAGATGTTGTTATCGTACACCAGGTTCTGCATGCTGCCAGTAAAGGCCAACAGAATATCAGTGTACTCAGTGATGATACTGATGTTTTCATTCTACTTCTTCATCAATGTCTCAAGCACAAGTTAATGGAAAATAACATCATAATGGAGGGAACATCATCTGGCCGAGCAAACATTAACATAAATGCAACCGTAAATGAACACAAATTAAAAATCCCAAACTTGTTAGCTGCGCATGGTCTCTCTGGCAGTGATACGACATCTTGCATGCATGGAATTGGCAAGCTAACAGTCCTGAAGGTGTTAAATAGATACTCACTCACTAACTTGGGAGATGTCAATGCAGACATGACTGAAGTTGAGAAAACTTCAACAGAATTTGTTTCTAGATGTTATGGAATTACACCTAAAGTCACAGACAAAATGTCTGATGTGAGATATGCTGTATGGGCAAATAAAATGCTGCAAAACACATTACAAATGCTGATATGCCTGACCCCCCACTTATCCTTCCAACAGATTATGGTTGGGAAATTAACAGCACAGGCTCAATTGTCCCAACAACAATGCCCAAGGATACACCCTGTGCCCCTGAAGGGATTCTCCAGCTCATTAAGTGCACATGTGCATCAGAGGGCAATGTATGTAGAACTGGGCAATGTTCATGCTCCAAGGCATCTTTATCATGTACATTGTTCTGTGTTTGCAAGGGGAATGAATGCAATAACCAACATACAAAGACAGTAACTGAACAGGAATTGGAAGAAACTGATGAGGATTTATTGAGGGAAATCCTTGATGAAATCTTAGTAAAAGAAGAGAATTCATAAATTCAAGATAGATATAGCACCAAGAAATGACCCTTGTGGAACATCATTATTATTATGTAGGTTACTTTTTACTCATTTCAGATATTTTATATGTGAGAAAGAGATCATAATCAGATGTATTTAGTATTATTTATTGATAATTTTGTAGGAAACACTAATATCCATTTGATATTATCACAGAATGAGACATTCCATAAATTGTAAGGTTGGCGGCCATCTTGAATTTTTTTTATTTTTGTCAAGAAACATTTCTGGAACCTAACATATTGGTATACATCATATTAAAACTCTATTATAGAAAAACAGCAAGATTTGTGTATGTGTATGCTAGTTTTCTGTTTTAATATGCTGGCTAAAATACATAAAACGTGTGAAAATTCAAAATGGCCGCCAAAAAAATTCCTCAAGGGTGCCCGTTGGGCATTCAACAGTTTCTGAATATGGATATCATGTTTAAACAGAAAATGCAAAAAAAGTTCATATAATAAGCATTTCCACCTTCACGTAAAATATGGCACTTCACATCCGGACTTTAACAATTTGATGACATTCAATATAAATAGTACTGTAAAGAAATACTTATATTTGAAAAAATATTTTGTTTGCAGGTGTGCTACAATATCACCTGTTGGAAAAAGATCATGAAACAAACCTATAAGTGAAATTAAAAAATAGGACCCACGGTCCTGTGCTCACACAGTTTGGAACCTTCAGAGGAATGTATATCCTGACTTTCAAACAAAAATATTGATTTGGATTTGTAGTCTCGAACTTTGAGAAACTTAGACAGCACAGTTGTGTGACCTAGTTTGATGACCTTTGACCTTGAAAATTTTACTTATTTAGAGCTCAGTAACACGGTGTATAACCCAAACGCTCCTACATGCACGACGGAGCGTTTCATTTACGCGGAAACGCTCCGAAGCGAAATAAAATGGCGGCTAATGAAGATTTCAGTATGACCGTAAGTATTGTTTTTCTCGTTTCTCTTACATATCATATGTTATGGTGAAATATTATGTACCATTCGATGAACAATACCGTGAGCAAAGATCTTATTTATTCAACTTCTGGTGGTAAACTGTTATACGTTGATCAAAGCTCCATAGTGTAGCTCGAACGAATCTGAAGATGACGATTTGACCACAAATTACGAATTAAACTAGTATTTCTATAAAAACGTTAATCTTTCTGTTAAAGTAGTAGATCACAAACTCGTATATTTTCATATCCTAAAATCCCAGTCCGAATCCATTACTTGTTCTCGAGAAATCGCTTGTTTTCCTCGAAACGCTCCGTCGATTTAGAACACAATTTTAGAAACGCTCTTACCATTTTGTTTTGATATCATTTTCAGATTATTAGAGTAGAGTTCCGAATCGAATCTATCTCTCAAAAACGTACTGTTGTACTTGTTAGGCAAATTGAAACATTTGAGCATGGTGCTGCTAAACGTGCAACTAGCTGATTTAAGCCTACATTAGATGATGTCATGCCTACATATGTGCTAAATCATAAAACTAAAGAAAAAAAACGAAAATTTACATGTGAATTAATCTTTCTTTTTTTGATGCCAAGGGGTATAATAGATCAAATTTTTTCTCTTCCTGAAAAGGAAAGGCAAGCTATATATTTCCTAAACTGATCTAAACTACGGGAGCGTTTCCAGTTCACTGTGTTAACCAGATCGGAGCGTTTCTTGAATACGAGAATGTCATCATTTTTAAGACTGGATTTTGGGTCATCAAATAATATTACGATAATGTATGGTGCGTTGAAGCATTGGAATTTGACTAAAATATACGTTGGTGCTCTAATCTTGGCTCAACTAATCACCACAGGCTGAATGTATTAATGAGATATTAATGCATTGGGTCTTTTTAATTTTTTTAATAAAAAATAATATTAATATTTTTTGTCCGCTGTGACGGAGCATTTTCACAGTTCACATTTGCAACTGCTCCGTCACAGCGGACAAAAGAATTAAACATTATTTTTTATAAAAGAATTAAAAAGACCAAATACATCAACATCTCATTTATACCTTCATAGTTATGCTGAAACCATGTGTAAATATTATCGTGTCACTATATCGTGCCATTAGAAAGTTAAACAAGAAATGGTACATATTGAAGTATGATACTCCGGCGCCATTTTCAATAGCTTTTCTTCCCAGCGTAATTGGACTTCAAACATAAGTGAAAGTTACCTGCAAATGATATATCTATTGCATAGAGTAAGTAATTTTGTATGGTATAACGAAACATATGAGTTAAAAAATAAATCGTGAAGTATTCTTAGTGTTTTTACGAAAAATAGCATGCTCCGTCACAGCGGCCAAATATTTCGATACCAGCCTGTGATCACATGTATCGACAAAAGAGCTTTTTACCGGTAAAATGACAAATACGCTTTTGAATTTTGATAACTATACTGCTTCGTACAGCTCTTCCTAATTGCTTCAAACGTCAACAGCCAGCCAAGTACAACATGAATATCACACCCATCGAATGGTATACTCGAAATATGTAACTCATACCTCTTATTCCCATTATTGGGGAAATCGTCAGACTGCTCATCATTCCCGCCAGCCAGTTTTCCTACTCCGGAGCGTTTCTTTGTTTAATTTCAGTAATGAAACGCTCCGTCGTGCATGTAGGAGCATTTGGGTTATACACCGTGAGTAAGGTCTTTTGTGATTAAGCTGACCAAAATTTACATCCAAAAATCAATTTGAAAAATCAACTTTTTTGACCTTTCAAAGGTCAATGAAGGTCAAGTAAAGGTCAAATCCTAAAACTAATGTCAGATTTGAACTCCTGGTAACTTGTAGATGATTTTCAAAAAAAAATTTGGTCAAATTGAAGCAAGTTGAAATATAACTTATTTTTACTGTTTTTGACGTCAAATATCTCAAAAATGATAAAAATTTGATGCTGACATATATTGAGCAATATGTAGGTAATGCTTATGATGTAATTCATTGCAAGAAATGATCAAGTATAAGCTTGAGAAACTTGTCAATCACAAAACCTGCCATTGACTTTATACATAAGTTTCCTGAAAATGACCAAGTCCTACTTTTTGTCAAATTTTATAGAGTAAACACCAAAAACTGTAATTCCAAGAGCTTTGAAATCTTCAGAGGACACAAATTGCATATACAGCAACTACTACAAGTTATTTGAAAGTTCTATTTCAACAAAGTGTCTAGTATTTAAAGAAAATTTGACTTTTTGACGTCAAAATCAGCGATTTCTCGGAAACCGGGCGAACTTGGGAAATGGCGATGATAGGTCAAATAGGCATTATGGATATGCATAAAATGACTGTAGATACGACTCAATCCGAATAGCAGTTTTAATTTGTGCAGCCAATGTTGACGGACGGACGGACCAACGGACGGATGGACCAACGGACGGACGGACGCCTGGTCGATCCCATAGGACCATACGGATTAAATTCTTTCGACTCAAAATTGCAGAAAATGGTGAACTATAATTAAATATGATTAACTTAACTGGGTGATAAGATGATAAACAGTTGGATATCAATGAGTATATGTATTAACTATAGAGATCAACTTGTAATCAAAATCAAAAGAACACTACTCAGTTTATAATTATGTCTTAATTTCCATTTACAATCCAATCACAAGGGATCTCTAACAACATCTATTTTTTTTTTCATATATCAGATTAACAAAAAAATAATAAAAATGATTCAATATATTATATCTAATTAAAAATAATATCGGTAATTGTGGGATCCTAACAATTAAGCAAATGTACTTGTATATATGTGTACAGAGTTATAAAAGTTAAATGCTGCAGTAATCCAAGATTTATAGGATCAGGATCGAATGATATATAGGATGTTTTCAAGATATCAAAGCAAGAATTCTATGTATACTTTTATTGTATAAAATACATGTACATACATATTCTGTTGTAAATACTAAATATAAGTGCACACTTACCCAAAATAACATAATATTTGTTATTCGGGGGAATAAAGAAATGTGTATACATAAATGCATATTAACATTGTTTCTGAAAGTATATGTACATGGTTATTAACCAATTAAGAGATTTCTAAAGATTTCTTGACAAAATTACATTGAAGAAATGAGCAAGGATAGAATGTGTTGAGGTACTCTTTACAAACATGTCAATGTTTCCATTACTTTTTTTCTTAAAAAAGAGGACATTGAATATTCAAGTACTTGAAGATTTAAAATGTCAGATATCTTTAGAATTCCAAAGATTATCTTGATATAAAGTCAGAACCATTGGCCGTTTTAGAAATTCACAAAGAAAGATGAGAATATTGTAAAATTGTTAAGTTTTCATCAAACCTTATTCTCAACTCCTTCCTGTTCCTTCTACCCTATATAACAATAATATCATCACTTAATTTCTCACATTGTCAGACAGAGTCCTAAACATATGCAAAGGACCTTCATTACCATGGTACCCTACAATTCATTAAGGGGAGGTATCAAAAGTTCAATGTCTGATAGGAAACTATTTAAATCTAGTAATTAATCTAATTTAAAAGAATGTATATGTCCCATGTTCTTGGCAAACATCAGGCATTACCTCTGCTAATCAGTAAGTTGTCTTATTCCCTTCTTTCACCCTGCCTCCAACAACCTACCTATGAGTCTGCCTCGCTATGAACATTTCAATATACACATGCCCATATGTTGTATTGCAATAAATATAACCAGTTTGCCAGTTATTGTGATTATACTGTAATACAATCTGTTATCATGGGCAAAGTGTAACCCACATAACATTTGTTAAGGTCATGGTGGGAAGAAGCTAAATATTTACCTAAGTTACAGTAGCCTCCACTCAACTGATGTTATTGTTCTGAGTGATTGAGAATATAAGGGCTTAAGTAGGTCTTTATATTTACCTAGGTTAGTCTCCACTCCACTGATGTTGTTATTTTTGGTGAGAACCTTCTCTACTGCACAACCTTCAATTATTTTAGCACCTAGAAATGAATCATTAATAACAAGGCATTAATGTGACAAAATATCACCACATGGCAAGTTATTATACCACTATTGCAAATAATTGCAAAAGTGTTACAATTTTTTAAAAAGTTACAATCAACTTGTCTCTTGTGTTTAATATCCTCCACAGGCCTCCAAGACTTTCACCAACGTGAACATCAGTTCATTCGTGGAAGTCTAGGAGGCCTGCTCCAACAAAATTCCTTCCTGACAACATTTTCCTGTATCGAAATAAATTCTTACTATAAACATTTCTAATACAGTTTTTGAAGATGGAGGCTGATTCTAAATCTGCTGATATTTTTCCCAATGATTCAAATAAATGTATAGCATTTTCTTTCACCGTTTAATAACTTTAAACTTTATCGCTAAATAAAACTTAAATCTATCCTTCATACCTTTATCTTTAGCTGCAGTTGCCATGGCAATAGCGACATCTGGAGCACTAGTAGCAGCATCTCCAGGAATCCACATACCTCCCTGTAATATGTAATATACAGTGCCATATTTAGGTCAAACAGTAAAATAAAATTTACCACATAATAATAAAAAACCGTGAAATACAAGTCCTGTAAACAATATTACAGCATACAATGTATAGTGGTATCATGTACTGTTTTGGCAGGTTCATCAAACTATATTTTCAAAATTAGTGGATAAAGCTTCAGATTAAATCCAATATTGTAAACAAGTGGATAAAGAAGTTCTTGATCTCTTCTTTCTTAAATACATATAAATGTATATCATGGTCTAAAATGTACACATTGCTCTACCAAGGTGAAAATTACAAAGTATTAGAGCATACTCATATCTGTTTTCAATTACTTGCTCCCTGAACCAAATATAAATATTTATTTTGTGAATGTTCTTAAATCAGTCTTTTTTAATTTAATATCAAGTAATTTCATTTTCTTAAAGAAAAAATTAAAATTTCACTTTCTCAGAAATTGTTTTGGTGAGATATCAATACTATATTTCAACTTACCACTATATCATCTGTGCGAACAAGTGATGACTTTTCACTCACTTCATTTGGACTCAATTCATGTATCTCAATGTCCATAACTCTGCAATTGAAACATTTGAATACTGTAGAGTATTGAACATTCTATGACAATGACCAGTTTTGCTGGCAACAACCAGTTTCAATGAAAATAACCAGTTCTATGTTTTTTCTCAACTTGTGTATTACATTTGATCAAAATATTTCAATATTTCATACTGCTAACAGCTATGATCGAACAACATTTCAATGTTTCAAGTTTTAGAAGTTTAATGCAGGGGATATTATTTAACCTTGGGAAATCAGTTTAGACAGGTGAAAACTTGTTTCTGTTTTGTGTTTCTACTGTAACTGCTCCATTTAAATATCAGCAGACACAGTCACTGCTACAGGTGTAGGCTTAATGAACAAAATTGGAAAAAATAATCAATTCATCAAATGAATATGATATTTTTAAAAGGTCCTAGTGAAAAATGGAGCCAAATTAGCAGGAGCAGATGAGAAAACCTCCAGCTTAAAACAAATGTGACACCATAAAATTACAACAATTGATTCAAAATTCTTCACTTTATGAATTCCTGACATTAATGACCCCTCCCCCTCATAATGTGACTTACTTAGCTTTGGCTATAGCTTTCCTATATGACAGCATCCTGTCTTTGGTCCTTGCAACAGTGAGTGAACCACATTCTTTCCAACCTGCAAGACACAATAAAACACAAAGTAGCTAAAAACTAGGATAACTTCTGCTAGACTTATTCATGAAACGGATTCTCACAATAGTGCAGTTTAGGGGTCAAGATTTATAGTTAGACAGAATAAATAATAGTTTTCAAAGCAAATCAAATCAAATCTAGGTTATTTCATAGTTGTTTGGAAATTTTACAGACCTAGGATTCATGATATGTTCTGGAGTTGTAGGTTTTTGTATACTTTATATGCACTAAGCCTATATTTACAAAAGTACAGTATAAAGTAAAGCACAAATGCCCAGAAATGTGTTCAATTTCCTGGAACAATTACATCATACAGTATTTATATTGTATTACTTTAAGCTCAAGCATATTTGATATGAGAGTGGTAACTGGCAAATAATTAAGATGCATCTACATTTTGAAATGAAGATGAAGAAAACATACAGATAGATAATAGCAGCATTTAAATATTGCTATATTATACAGTCAATCAATAAATGATATGGACGTCACTGAATATGGGTAATATAGAAGATGAATCATATGCTAGCAGATGGTTACATGTAGTAATGTTGTAGTATGTATACACTGTCTTTGAACAGGATGTCACAGATTCATGGATCCCCTTATTGTCATGTATATAGATGGCTCAGATATAACTTTACTATATAAACATCATTAAAAATTATTTAAGAAATCAATCGTATTATAAATTTAAGAAAAAATCGAAGAAAGAAAAGAATATAAAATATTATTAAATTGAAGATAATGAAGAATAAAGATCAGGGCTCTCGCCAGGCTTTTAGACTGTGGCGCAGCACCACACTCTATTTAGCTCCCTCCACACCCTATTGGCAAATCATGACTGTTTTCACAGTCTAAACTTGACTGAATATACAATAATAGCATGTAAAAAGGATAAAACATAACATAAATATGATTTATTACGATTGAACCATTATTCTGAAGATGTTAGCACCACACCCTAAATATTTCCTGGTGAGAGCCCTGAAGTGACATAAATTAAAATGAAAATTATATAATTATACACAAATAATTTCAGATCTAGCTGAATATTTTTCTGGAAAATATTTGAATGCACAGTCAGGTATACAACAAACATATCTTGAAAAATAACTTTTTTCAGTGCATGTACATGTAGTTCCTTGTTTGGAATATTTTGCTCTTAATAATAACATTGGATGATTTTTACAATAACTACACATACAGTATATACACATATATGTCGATGATACCTGTGAATATGATAGCAGGGGGACTGGACTACAATATGCATGTTAAATATCAGTACCTGTTGGATAACCCTCATCTTCAAGCTTCTTGTAAAGAGCTGCACTATACTTGACTATGTTGGTTTCTACTGAGGAGCTCTTCAGACGTCCTACCAGCCCCGCAGCATGCCACGTTGTGCCACATGTTAACCTATATGTACAAAAAATTATTTGATTCTTGGGAGAAAACTTTCATTCAATCTGTGGCTGGCAAGGTTGCTGGAGTATAATTTCCTATCTATCCACTTTGTCTTGCCGTACTTACATGTAAAGATACTTGCAAGGGAAACATTATCTACAAGTGCATTGCATAATATCTAATAAGTATTCCCCTAAGTATCACAAAAAAGAACAATGAGCCCATGCGTTGCAAATTACATGCTCATACGTTTTCTACAAAAACAGTTAATCCAAACGCACTTACACTGCTAATACAATGTGTCAAACTTGTGGTAACAGCATATATCAACCGTGCCAGCTTGTTGCTAGTGCACCACAGGAGTTTGATTGCAATAAACCGTGTTTAGTGTTAGTGAGCTTGGATGAGTTTTTTTGTTGAAAGCTTGTGACCATGTAATTTGCACTCCAGGACTTTTTGCTCTCTTTCTTGATACACGTACCTTGGTAAACTATATCCTAGTCTAGTCTGAAACGTTTTGGAAAATTGGAATGATCTTCAGTCTAATGGATATAGACAAGATACCAGGGGGGAATCTCATTACCTACATGTATTATGCAATGCACCACCATCGCAGGTCATGGGCGATTCAGAAATATAGCATAGCTCTACTTTATATTATTTTAAGCCCATGTAAACATGTAAATTGGCAAGAGACAAGAGTATAGGATCTACAGTGCTGATATATAATAATTAAGGGTGCGTTTTCAAACTAAACAGAGTGCTCCTATCAAAATGAATTTGCCTACATACCCCTGAGACTCTTATCTGATAGATAGAATGCACAAATAAAACAAAAGTTTTGCTATTATAGGTAAAAAGTTCTCTTGAAATTTCGAAGTGATTTTACCTGTTAATTCTGTCCATGTCACGCCATTTTTGCGGAAGTTACACTGAAACGCAAACTCCATGAAACGAAACGAAATCACTAGAAAAAAAACATGGCACACATTGTGCGCATGTGCAGCAAAGTTTAGACCAATCAGATTATTTGATTATTTTGCGCATATGAATTAGTTGCTTCTGAGCACTTACAAGCTTACCACAATAAACAAACCTGGCAGAGACTACCCTTAGCCTACTTCATTTTGGCGAAATTTCAGCTCGAACTTGTGACAAATGCATTATGCATACGCTGGTGTGAAGCCTTGGAGACACTCATTTTGGTAAATATGATTTATGGGGTATACTTTTCTGCAGTTTGTGGGAGTTTGGGACATTAAATGTTAAATTTCAAGAAAATATGCCAATTAAACGATTGATCAATTAATATATACCAGCACTGTACATGTACTTACTTTCCTTGCTCCAACAAGACAATATCCTTCCATCCACGCTCAGCTAGATGGTATGCAATAGAACTTCCAATAACACCTCCCCCACAGATCACCACCCTTGCCTGACTTGGTAATGAGTTGACCGCATCGTTGGAAGATACTTCTCTGCTGCATTGAACAGTAACTGGACTCCCTCTGCAAACCAACTCAAATAAGTTTGATCTGATGTGACTTTTTGTCCAACTTTGGAGCTGCCTTGGAACGCAGATCTTCATGAGATGCATGTTTGTCGTATGTCAAACTATGCTTCACATGTTTATGTTCAAGGTCATCTTATCTTTGTATGTTTTGCAGGGCTGGTTGTTAAGATATCATTAAGTAAATAGCACCAATTTCGTGTCGACTTTTATCTGTTTTGACAGTTGACCTTGACCTTCAGCTCTTCATTTTGGAGGCGAAAATATTCTAAATGAAAACAAAATCAAAGTCCACTTTAAATGCTGTACATGAATAAACTAAGTACTACCAGGACATTGTTCTGCAAGAATCGTGTACCAGACATACCAAGGCAGCTTTTTGCTGTGTTCAGTTAAACATCAGCTGCTACAATGCCCCGTGAAACCACATATGGTCCGGGTGAGTTTTTTTATTTTTTTTAATTTGGGCACAAAACAACTGTATCAAAATTGGACATCTTATATGTATTAGGGTGGTCCAAAATATGGCGAAAAACCAACTTTGTTTCAGATCATCTTCCTCATTTCACTTACTGTTGTCCATGACCTAAAACACCTGCACACCAAATTTTAAGACCCAAATCACATGGGAAATTTACCCACGCTTCGACTGAAAATTCGGTTATTTCATGATTTTTTGCTATTTTCGATAAATTGTCATCTCCCTTTTCCTGGTATAATATGTTTCTATTTTTTCATAATAAACATTTTTGTAAGACTCTTTATTACTTCATAATACTAGGAACCCATACACCAAATGTTGAGACCCAAATCCCATGGGAAATTTACCCACGCTTCGACTGAAAAATTCGGTTATTTCATGATTTTTTGCTATTTTCGATAAATTGCCATCTCCATTTTCCTGGTATAAAATGGTAGATGTCTTTTCATAATAAATATTTTTGGATGACTCTTTATTACTTCATAATACTTAGGAACCCATACATCAAATTTTGAGACCCAAATCTCATGGGAAATTTACCCACGCTTCGACTGAAAAATTGGGTTATTTCATATACAATACAATACATCTGTATTTTCCTGGTATTATATGTTTCTATTTTTTATAATAAATATTTTGGGAGGACTCATTATTACTTCATAATACGAGGAACCCATACCCCAAATATGCACCAAATTTTGAGACCCTGGCCCCATGAGAAATTAATTCATGCTTCAACCCAAAATTTGTGATTTTCTGCGAATTTTCTCCTATTTTCAATAGATCAATATTAATCTTATATTTAGTTTTTAAACATTTTAGGAGGACATTAATACGTCCTTAATACTAGGAACCCATACATTTAATATGTACCAAATGTTTAGACCTGAACCCCATGGGAAATTCACGTTTGCTTTGATCATATACTTTTGATTTTTGTCGTTTAGAGCACCATATCATTGTTGTGTGATGTGCAATTTGTAATAAATTGTATTACACGTTGTCTTAATTATCCTGTTTGGCCTTACATACGTTACATCGTGAAAGATGGTTATATAGTACTTTAAGGTAATTCCTTATTTTCAGATTTAATGGCTTCCTAATTGGAGCCCCGTGTTTTTTCAGGAACACATAACTCATTCCATTCAGATGCACAAACAGTGTATAAACATAGCACATAGTACATTATAGAAAATTACTAACCATCAACTAATAATCTAAATACATATTTGAACTCAGTGTAAAATTGAAAGAGCTGACCAAGTATGGAATGAGTTCCAGAAATAACATTGGACTCCACTTAAAATTTCTGAACATACAGAATTACCTTAAGTGTTTCTCATTGCTCTTCCCATCTTCTACATTGTGTACTTTCAGGGCATGAACATTTTCAGAGAAATGACAAAGCTCAGTGGAAGCTCAAATCCCTTGAAGATTTGGTACAGGCTTACTGGTTACAACAGAGACCATGCCATTGATACATTGATCAATCAAAAAATCATTTCTCCAAAGAAAATCAGATTTGATATTTGACCTTACCCTGCAAAGATGTGAGAAAGAATATGACATCTCACACAAATCCAAACAAAGTCCTGTGATGTATCCCTACTGAAACCAACAAACCAAATCTTCAAGGCATTTGAGTTGCTGTCGAGTCATCACTTCTTAATATTAACCACAGTATATAAATGTACAAGTAAAAGATCCTAAATTTTCCCCAAACTACTGAAACTACTGAATTTCAATAAGACTTAAAGTCTTGATATTAAGGTGTTTCTTTGGATTAAGAAGGAATTACCATAATGTTTATTAACATATTATGCCCCTGAAACAGACATCATAAGCTATCATAAGCACCAGTTTTCAGTCAAAGCATGGGTAACGTTCTCATTGGATTTGGGTCTCAAAATTTGGTGGATATTTGGTGTATGGGTTTTTAGTATTACGAAGTAATAAAGAGTCCTCAAAAATGTTTATTATAAAAACATATCGTACCAGGAAAATGGAGACAGCAATTTATTGAAAATCGGAAAGAATTTGAAAATCACAATTTTTCAGTCAAACCATGGGTAAATTTCCCATGGGATTTGGGTCTCAAAATTTGGTGTATGGGTTCCTAGTATTATGAAGTAATAAAGAGTCATCCAAATTATGAAAAATAGAAACATATTATACCAGGAAAATGGAGAAGTAATCTATTGAAAATCGGACAAAACTGTGAAAATCACAATTTTTCAGTCAAGCATGGGTAAACTTCACATGGGATTTGGGTCTCAACATTTGGTGTTTGGGCTCCTAGTATTATTAAGTAATAAAGAGTCCTACAAAAATGTTTATTATGAAAAATAGAAACATTTTATACCAGGAAAAAGGAGATATCAATTTATCGAAAATAGCAAAAAATCATGAAATAACCGAATTTTTCAGTCGAAGCGTGGGTAAATTTCCCATGGGATTTGGGTCTCAAAATTTGGTGTGCAGGTGTTTTAGGTCATGGACAACAGTAAGTCAAATGAGGAAGATGATCCGAAAGAAAGTTGGTTTTTCGCCATATTTTGGACCACCCTAATATGTATGCGATATCTCTAACACATTGAATAGCGTTTAGTAGAATAGACGGTTTGTTCAAGTTTGCACACCCTATGTTAGCAAAATCACACTCACAATAATACATGCGTATTTGTGAATGTATTGTTTAAAATGACATCGAAAATCAAACAAATGCTTATTTTTATTTTTTTTGTATATGCGTGACTTTTGACTTTCTATGGAGGGTCTTGTAGAAACCAGGATGTAAATGTCATATGACTTCATATCTCGCACCCTATGTGAGGTGCAAGTTGTTTGTGACAGCCTATACGAGCGGGAACCATCCTACATGTCCTATGGGAGTTTGAACTCAATGCGTATACAAACTGACACATTCGTTCAAAATTTACTTTGATCTGTGTGTAATTCTTTCAGTATTTTATGCTATAATAACACGATCTGTGTGGCATTTCAACATTCTTTGGATTTTTGGAAAGTGATTTGAGTCTATGGAATTTATTTTGTATATTAATGCAGCTCCAAGCTCAGCTCAATGAATAACTAATTGTAAAGAAATTGCAATTTAGAAAGCCAATGGAATACAGTTACTACATTGAAGATCTATATTTTGACCCATGAAAATGCAATGTCACTTGAGAAGAGTTCAAAATCTAGAACGGGGACTAAGATAATTTAACTTCAATTTAAGTTGGAAAATTATTAACTACTGAAGTAGGCCTTATAGATCTAGTAACCTATGATAAAAATGAGATCACCTCATTATACTGATGGGCATTGTAACGAAAACCAATATACCCATGTGCTTTGTACCGAAAACCATTGCCGTATACCAACACAATGATTTTGTGATGTAAAAAGCCTAATATGATAAGAGTAGAAGAGTATGATAAGTATTATTGAAAATCATCCACATTTAATCAGGAAGACCAGGCAAGAAATAGCAGCAAAATACTGGTATAGGCTTTATCAAGGAAGGGACACTCAAAACTGCAAACACTCTAAAATCATAGCCTAAGTCAAGCCTTCGTGTACATGTTGTTAGTCCGCGAAAATATTATTAAAGATTAGTTTGGAACAAAATACATTTAAGAATACAATGTAAGCTTTCCAATGGTGTGCGAAATGTGTGGGTACATAGCTATTTCATTTTCAAATCGTAAACAATAGATGTTCTCCTATTTTGCACGTAATGTTGTTAGTCTGCGAAGATATTTGTGATTTATTATTAAATATGTTATGATTTATTAATGATGAATTTATTGTGATTTATTATTCTATGCGTAACACTTAATTTCCCAGTCCCTGAATATTGATTTGAATTGTTATGAACGAGATTAAAGAACACTAAATAAGCTTTCCAATGACGTGCTGTATATGTGGCTAGCTATTTCAAATCATATGTAGTATTGTCAGTCAGCAAAAAATGTTGTGTCATCTATTTAAATAAATAAAGTTCAATGCGTAACGGATTTAAGAAGACCAGATAAGCTTTCCAATGAGTGTTGTATATGTGGCTACCTATTTCAAATCATAAAAATGTACGTACTGTTGTCAGTTCATGAAAATATTTCATCATCTATTTCATAATGCATTACATTTAATTTCAATTCAATTTACTGTATTTTCTTTTTACATTTTTAGCCCGTTTCTCTGCCCTCGAGAAAGGACCCTTAAATTATGCTAGACAACATAGAATAAATGTTTTTAATTGGATTTCATTTTCGAAGATTGTTCTAAATGTTCCATGAGGCAGTGTTAGGCGCATTACATTGTTTTCCGAATAAATAGTCTCAAAATAGATGTTCTCTTGTTTTGTAAGGATTTTTCGTCAATTCTAATCAATGAATATCATGTGTCAAAACTTGAAAACTGTCTAATATTTTACTCCAAATAAACGTGAAATATGTGTTCGCTAGTTTGACTATCAATTAAGTTTTAAGCATTGTCTTTTAAAGGTTACATGCAGATAGTTACACATAGGAAGACTTTTCGGTACAATGCACCTCAGTATTATTACATTTGGTATAACGCCTTTCGGTACAATGTGGGTCGGTATAATGAGCTTCGATATAATGCGCGTCAGTATAATGGGTTTCAGTATAATGCATGGACCCCATAAATACTAACTCATGTACATATACTTCCATTAAAGTAAACCAAAATGTTTTAATCCATTCATGAATCATGTACTAAGAAAAGGTTTATATCTTATTTAAATTGCAATAATTTTACTTACACTGTGACTCCCAAAAATAACTTATAAAAAATGTATGTACCTTTAGTTATTTTGGTTGTACAGTGAATTATATTGGAAGGTACAGCGAATTTGTTTCAAGATAATCCACCCTATGCATTTTTTCATATCCTACCCAGTTGTCCGAAACCCAGTTCTCCGAAAATTAGGGGGATCTTGTTTGAAAAATACAATTTTTTTAAATGAATCTCGTTGTCGCAACCTCTGCGAATCACAACATAACATTGGAATAACGTTGACATCATTGCAAAATTAGGCTAAATATGTTAAGTCAAGACGTTAATTTTTTAATGTTTAGCCTACGAAAGTTCATATACAGGTGATATAGATGTTGAAACAAACAAAGTTAAATTATGTTATTCTCATTGTAAAATGGCGTTTACACAACATACATAGGGGCCTACAATTTTTAAACCAATTTTCTTTATGGCCCATGGGCCTTTTTTGAGAGGGAACAACATTTTTCCAATGGGTGATGGGCGTTCATAAAAGGAAAAATAGCTTTCCCAAGCCAGTGGGCATTTATTTAGTAAAGTTGACATGTACATCTTTTGAAACCAAAACTTATTCTTCACTTACGTACTCTGTTCGAGAAATAGAGATTAAATTAAAAGGATGTTCAAAGTGAGTACATGGCGAAAATGAAACTTCTTGCGAATGGGAGAACATCCATTTTGATACGAGGACAGCCAGCCTGCCTTCGTTTCCAGTTGATCCCAAGTTATTAAGTTAAGAATGTTTTGTTCTTTTACGATTTGATAAAATACAGAGACTAAGAAATTAAATGCGACGAAATATTTTGACAACGTAATATGTATACTGTTTTATTCTTAAAGTACTATATGCGTAAACTTATTTTATCTGTTTCAAAATGATTCATTTTATTTTGCCTATATAAAAGAGATTGAAGAAGATAAGATAAACTGTTCCGTAGTGTTTTGATAACCTTTTTTTAGAATCACAATGTAAAATAAATCCCCCGTTCCTGCCCTTCTGGTAACGCGTGCAATGGATGCAATTCAAAGTGAGAGAGAGATCTATGAACATCAGAATGCGTCCATGCCATTAATTTGGCCAAATACATGGCATGAAACTGGCCTAAGCTTAAGTACGTCTCCCCTTTCTCTGGTAAATTATGACTATATTTTTCGGAGTAATGGGTTTCGGACAAGTGGGTTTCGGACAACTGGGTTTCGGAGAAGTGGGTTTCGGAGAACTGGGTTTCGGAGAACTGGGTTTCAGAGAACTGGGTTTCGGACAACTGGGGTGCACCCACCCAAAATAACTTATAAGTTGTACTGTAAGTTATTTCAGCTGTGAAGGTGAATTTTGTGTAATTTTGTATCTACTCTTGTTTCAGATGAGGAATGTCCTCCACTGAAGAAAGATGTACTGAGGTTATACAGTATGAGATTCTGCACTTCAAATCATTCAATGACTTATATTGTTTCAGATGAGGAATGTCCCCCACTGAAGAAAGATGTACTGAGGTTATACAGTATGAGATTCTGCACTTCAAATCATTCAATGACTAATATGTTTCAGATGAGGAATGTCCCCCACTGAAGAAAGATGTACTGAGGTTATACAGTATGAGATTCTGCACTTCAAATCATTCAATGACTTATATTGTTTCAGATGAGGAATGTCCCCCACTGGAGAAAGATGTACTGAGGTTATACAGTATGAGATTCTGCACTTCAAATCATTCAATGACTTATATTGTTTCAGATGAGGAATGTCCCCCACTGGAGAAAGATGTACTGAGGTTATACAGTATGAGATTCTGCACTTCAAATCATTCAATGACTTATATTGTTTCAGGTGAGGAATGTCCTCCATTAAAGAAAGATGTACTGAGGTTATACAGTATGAGATTCTGTCCATATGCACAGAGAACCCGTCTAATGTTAGAACACAAAAACATAAAGTGAGCATATATGTAAGGAATTGGCCACCATCGTCTTATGGACATCTCATTCCCTAGATAACTTATGTTACTCATCCCTAGACAACTCAACCCTAAACAATCCTTATGTCTGTCAATCTTTTGATTCATTAATACAATTCTGGACTAGACATTATACAAAAATGACCTTGATATATATTCAATAACTAACATGAAAATTTAATTAGAAACCGAGAGCTTGTCCCAATTAAGTAATGGGTGATATAATTATTGAGGGTAGTCTGAATGCATTTTTTCAATATATCCATGTTTTATTTTACATTGGCATTCATGATTATCCTTTTCAACATAATTCTTTTTAAGATATGAAACAATCAATGTGAACCTGAAGAAAAAACCAAAGTGGATTTATGCGTTGAATGCTTCTGGGAAAGTTCCAATTCTACAGCTGAATGATGATGTCATCTACGAGTCATTTGCAACGTGTGAGTGGCTGGATGATGTGTTTCCTGGGCCTCGCCTCACCCCTGAAGACCAGAAAACTAGAATCAGGGACAGAATGCTTATGTATGGCTTCTCAGAGGTATAAAATAACTTTGATCTTTGACTTTGTTTAAAACACAGTCTTTCATATTAAATATTCTTCTTCTTGGCTTTTAATCGCTCCCTTGGGTGCTATATTGTGATCAGTTTGCCTGGTGGTCAGGTGGGTGGTCAGGCGTCCCGATAAATCTTGTCTACAGGGTTCCAGCAAAACCATTACAGGATTCATCTGAAATTTTCATGGATGTTTATATGGATGAAAGTTTAGAACGGATTAATGGGTAAATTTAAGGTGGCCATTTTGGATTTTCCATCCTAAAATCTTGTTTGTCAATGCTTGCCTACAGGTTTCCAGCCAAACTGTTTCGTGTTTCATCTGAAATTTTCAGGTTTGTTTCTATGCGTGAAAGTTTAAAACTGACAAGTTTTTGGGCAGTCTGGGTAATTGTTAGGGTGGTCGTTTTGAATATTCTGTCCCAAAAACTGTATTCTATTCAATGGCGTGATCCCATTCACTGTGATCCAATTCACTGAGTGTCTTGTCATTTTGCAGATCATTCCTCAGTTTTATGCTATCGGGCGAGAGGAGGACAAGACAAGAGCAATAAAGAAGTTCAAGAGATTGTTAAAGCCTTATGAAGATGTCTTAACTGGTGACTTTTTTGGGGGTAAGTGTGCTACAAATAATAGTAATGTTAATGAAGCTCAAGAGATTTCTATAAAGCATTATGAAATTGTTTTAACTGGTGACCACTTTTCTTGAAATAAAGACACAAAAACCACAAAACTGCTAGGTTGATATACTAAACTACTTTTATTTCACTCTTTGAAATGAAACATAACATTATTACTGGCAGTTTGATCTGAAGCAGAGTAATCAATTTTATCAGTTTAACAAATTTGGCCCCCCTCTCCCATCACCAAACCATTTGCTACACTTTTGAAATGTTTACTAGTCTCACACTTTCAGAGAAACTGAAAAAGGATTTCAACACAATTTGATAAAACATTTTAATTTTGTATTATACATTCCACCATAACATTATGTAAATATCCTCATTTTGAAAAATGTAATTCATTTTATTGGTAATGCTTATTGCAATCATAAAATTCTCATGATATTATGCAATTGATTTACATAATCAGTTATGAATTATAGGTAGTGCTCCAAACTTACTCGACTTTAACATATGGCCATGGATTGAGAGATTGGGTGTATTGAAAGCTAAAGCAGGCTTTGAACTGAGCCCAAAAGAATTCCCTAAGTTCACTCAATGGATTTGCGACATGCATGAATTGCCAGCTGTCAAGAGTACACGGTTTAATGATCAAGATCACACATATTTCCTCAGCACTGTATTTCAAGGCGAACCTGAGTTTGATTATGGTTTAGTCCCAACTGCTCAACTTTAAAATTTGAGGTAACCATTATAAGGAAGAAAATGACTTTTATTGAGAATTTTTAAACAATTGTGTCATTATTTCAATTTTATTTTCCAGCTGTCCTGGCTTTATTTCAGAACAATTCTTCCATTTTAAAAATTATTTGGCAAAAAATGAAACAGCTGAAACACATATTTTCAACAAAAGCTCCAATACGGACAGCAGAATCCAGAGATTTAGCTGTTCTGCCTTCTACAATACCTCAATCCATGGCTCAAACAATTCAATTCTCCGAATAATATAATGGACAACATATTCTAAATATTTTCCAGGAAAACAGCCAGGTTTCTTGGACTTCATAATTTGGCCCTGGTTTGAGCGTTTAGGAGCTTTAAATCAATTATCAGGCTTCCAACTTGATGCCAATGAAAATCCAAGGATTGTTGGCTGGATTTCCCGAATGTTTCACCTCCCAGCTGTGGTGAAGACAATGTTTGGAGATGATGCACATGTTAACTTTATGGTGACCCTCGGTGCAGGTGCACCTGACTATGATTATGGATTAACTGCTCACCTTTAACGATATAACAGTATTGACTTTTTACCTTACCTCCAGTTCAAAAACACAAAAATAATTCAGTTCAAAAACAAATGGGTATGGTGTGATTTGAATACTGCTTTGATTTGGTGCTATTTAATTTGGTGGATTGGGCCAGAAAGGGCAAATTTTGAAATTTTGGCTGCTACTTAATTTGGCAGATCCCATCTAGTTTTTCAAAAATCAATCTCAATAACAATATACTTGCCATTCTTTAGATCATTGGATCACTTGGATCACATCATTCTTAGCCAAATCCAGTTGAAATATTAACAGTAACTAGAATCAATAATCTAACAAGTAACTGAGTAAAGGGGGTTGATGCTTAGCAACTCTGATCCCAAAATACACCAAAATTATTATTTTCAATTATTGCAGTGTTCCCAAGTTTTTATCAAAGTTCTGATGGCCCATACACTGTAGGTTTATTTTTTATATACAGTTTGGAACATAAATAAATGACAGGTGGATTTTCTATCTAATCACCATTTCATAACCATGGTCGTCTGAAAGCTCATAGTTTCCAATATTGTCTAGATACATATCCCCTAAAATTTGTATATTTTACATTTTGTATAATTTCATCCACTGATGTATGGCTCCTTGAAAATTCTCTTATTTTTTACATGGGAAATCCTCACTTCAGTAAATCCACCTGTCATTTATTTATGTTCCAAACTGTACAGTCCAAATTTGAAATTAAGCCCTTTTAAATCTCCCTGTATACTGTTGCTGAAAATCCTCACAAGGCAATCATATAAGATATTTTCTTTGATTCAATAGGCCTGACACCATAGGCCTGACATCAGGTGAGCCTTCTAACTTGACATCATGTCATAACAACCTGTTGGCAGTATTCTGAAGAAAGATGCACAATACAGATAAATGTATATTACAGATTCTATTTTTATAATTGTACAAATTATATTCATTCAAATATACAATGAAATAAATTATTTACTTAAACATATTTGGCATTGTGTTGTTAGAATACAGTAAATTAGCTTTTCCATTAAGCCCTTCAAAGTTAAAATTGTTTAATATCCTATCTCTCATAAGATTCGGGCAATGATAGGATGCGAAACAGATGGTCTGACTTGTAAATGTCCAACATTGATTGTTAATTTTTTAATCCTAGAAAATAAATTTCAAAATGTCCACAAAATAGCCAAAAGATCTTCCAGATATTCCTCAATTTAAAACTTGAAATAAATCCCATTCAGGTGAGCTACAGGTATATTTACATAAAAGTACTATTGTTGTATTTCAAAGTAAACTCAAACATCATTCACTTAACCTTATTCAGAAAGATGAGTATAGCAGTAGACTCAGTGACACAAAAATCAAATGATCCATTATCTAGAATCAGGATCTTAAATGACTGCCATCCAGTTCAATTTTTCTTCTGAATACTTGACATCCAAAAACTGCAATGTCGTAAAATTCTAGATTTACAGTACATGTACTTGTCTGTGATAGCTGAAGATTGTACAATATGAGCAATAAGACATGCCTCGGATAAGTTAATTGCCATTTCAAACTGTTATCAATAGGTAAAACTTTTCACGTACTAGTATATGAGTCCTGGTTATCAGGGTTAGAAAAAACAATCAGTAATGGCAATGATTAATGTCAATCTTGCTTTGATCACTCTTGCTTTGTTTCCCTTTGTTCCTTGGGAACCTCCCAATCAAATGGCTTGTCATACCCGACCATGTGCATGTAAGCATCAGGGTTGGAAAAGTAGTTCATATCCATGAATAGTGATGTGTTGCCATTGACAACCATACTGGTAAATGCCCCAGGGACTTCTGGGACATGTACATCCTTTGCTTTAAATGTGTGTTCTCTTTTCCGTAAAAATAATGAATATGTGGTCGCTGTAAATTCCTTTGACACAGGATGGAGGTATACTGTTGAAACATATTTCTTTGTAACGTAATGTAACAACAGTGGAGTACAGAATATGAAGAATCCCAGAATTCCACCAAGTCCCAGGGTGAGAGTAAGCGAATACTGCGATTGTATAATAAAATATGGTTGAAACGCAAGTCCCATTCCACTTGTCACCAGAGAAAATACTTTGATCCTCTTAACCATGGATGTTAGTGGTCCATTATACACCAGTTCACCTTTCACTGGGTCTATAGACGGAGGATCTTTCGAGAATATTCCAAGTCTCGAAGTAGACAGTGAGAATTGCCTACAGTGCAGCTGGGAAGTTTGTGCTAATGAGTTGCATAGTACATAAGGCCTTTTTCCTCCAGAAAGTGATGTCACATCTGTTGTACATACCGGATGCTGAAATATTTACAAAGGATAATCATATTTTTGTTGAGACATGATATGTGATCCTGGTCATGTAAATGATATTGCCTGGTGATAGGAAGAAATGAATGGAGGGGGGAGTAGCTGATTTTCTCCAGAAAATTCAACAAAATTCGAAGATTTATTTTTTCTAGAGAAAGTACACAATTGAATTGCTAAATGAATATGTGCATGACACAGGGAAATATGTTACATCTTCTTGGATTTTTTGGTCTGAAAGGCTTCTAAGATCTATTAAAAAGTCGCAGCTTCGCCAATGTGCAAATGCCAATGTTTTGGGTAAAAATCTAGTAGATTTGTTGAATTTTTTGCAAAAATTGACTACTCCTCCTCCATTCATTTTCTCCAATCACGGTATGTATATATGAAACCAGTAAAACTGACTGAAGGTCTTATGTAAGCTAGGGGTTATCTCGTACCAGGACCATCTCTTCATTCTGATCAATGCATATAAAAGGAAGCTCCATCATTTTCCAAAAGTAGAACTTTAACGGGGCTAGTTAGGTAATGTTCGTAATATGTTCGGAAATAATTTGGAAAGTTGATGGCAGACATTTTTAAGTTACTCGTTGATTTAAAGATTAAAGATTGAAGTGTATATTACTGCAATTTGAGAGAGCATTTCTGGTGGTGAATCGATGGAGGTAAGAAATATGTGGGGCCTTGCGCCGTTTTTGAGACTTTTGAAAAACATTTTAATGTGTGCTGTTATGGATCCACTGCAAGATCAGAGTGAAGAGATGGTCTTGGTACGAGATAAAGCTACTACTTTTTTCATGGCCTGACTGCGTCAGTAGAACTTGAAATATAAGAGTTACTACAGTACTTGATTGAAATTTATGTAAATGCTTTTTTGACTTTTCCATTTTTTCTTGTGTTGACTTCTGAGAAGGTGTTGCCAAAATCACGAAATAATGTATTGACCCCTGAACTTTAATTTGATGACATGTCATTCAACCATGTCTGATGTGGAAATAATTAGGATATTAAAAAAGAATGTTTTGCTGTCGTTTGCAGACAAGTTTAGGACAGGACAGAGGAGGATGGCCTGTTCTAAGATGCAAGAAACTGCATGATCTTCAGTGGACAAAATGCTGTGCAGAAAGTATGAATCATGGGTTGTCTGCTGTATTAGTCTATTAATACAGTAGGACCTATTTGTGATGCTTTATAATTAAGACCAAAATACAGAGGTGCAAATCATAAAATCAATGAACAAACATTCAATTTTCACATATGTTCGGTAGTTTTTCGTCTTGAAACTTTCAGATCTTACAAGGGCATCATTCATATTTTAACTCTTGGACATTATGCTAAATACTCAGTGGTTGATGCAACAGAGGTGATATGGTTTCATTGAAATGTGTGTTTTAACCTCTATTATCTAAAAGTATGCTGCTTGATCCAAAAATTGATTCATTTCTAAATTTTGGCCATATTCTTCAATTTTTCTTTATATACAGCAGCGTTATATCTTGCCTACCTTTCGTCAGTTCACCACATGAAAGTGAATAGAATTCCGTCAAATGAAATACATCAACATTTCTCTACATTTTTTCTTCTAAACCTGACGAGCCGAATGATTCTAAGAATGTGATGTCACCAGACAGAATGGCCTCGTTCACATGTAGGGAGACAAGGTAGTTCTAACGCAGCTGCCATTTTTTAAAAGAACGTTGTATAAAAGTATTTTCACCCCCGTTAGATAAACCATGGGCTTTCAATTAGAAGGGTATGCAACTCTGTGTAATAAACATGAGACTTTCAAAATGAGTCATGCCATGTTTCCCTTTTTATGGTAATATTTCAAAAAGTATTAGATACGGTAAGTGCATATTAGTTTGAGTATTATTTTGAATAAAAATCAATTCTCAATACAGCAATATACTTTAAAGCATAAAATATGTTCAATCTCATGTAAAAGTAAACAACAAAAAAGACCAATAAGAATGAGAGGTATCAAGATGTTCTCTTTGAGTATTGCATTGTGGGTAGTTATTCAAGAACACATTCCAATAAAAACATAATTTGTGGGAGAATGTTCACTTTCATTATTGCCATAATTATGAAGAATTCCATTTTTTATTAAATTACCAATATGTATGCAGATAATCATGTTTTTAATTTTGAGTTCTTTCTTAAGGTACAGCTGGAAAATAACATTTTGGATAAAATGGTACAAATGGATAAAAGTTAATCGAGTCTCTAGCCAAATTACTTGGCTAGAAGACATGGTATGTGGACCACCATGCACTAGTGAAAGCATTGATTCTGGAGTAAGCTTTTTTAAAATGTTATTCTTAAAATTGTAATGAGAATATTTCATCAAATAGAATGTAAACGAATACTATCCTTTGTGAGATATTGCATGCTTTCATCTAAACTTAAAATCATTTGGTCTGCCGTTTATAAAAACATCTGTTGAGGTTGATATTTATCTCGCTTTAGCGAAAAACAAAATGGCCGCTTTTACCGAAGGATCATTTTCAAAAGATTGCTCTTAGAAAAGACTAAATAAAACCCGATGTAGATGGTCATATGAACTAAGACTACATACTAAGTTCAATGAAGGTATGTTTATTACATTTTAGTTAATTCATAGCAACAGTCCACACAGGATAGCGTAAAAAGCAATAAAACAAACAGGGCTTGATGATAACGTAAGGCCACACTGTGACCGAAGAATAAGGTAAGATAAAAGCACTCTGCCATAAAACTCTGTGATATATCGAATGTAAGTAGGCTAAATGATTTAGAAGGATTACTTGAACCATAGGCAAAGGCCGATAGGAATAATTTTTAAATAAAGATGGCATGGTGGTCGATCTTTGTTTATTTATATTCTCTTCAGGTAATCAACGGGAGCCGAAGTGGCACTTTTAAAATCCACATTTCGCCACTAAATGCCCATCGTTCTTGTTAAACAGCCCTACTGTTTGATAAAAGACATACCCATATACATACCAAGTGTGTAGTGTCGATCAAACACTAACTGAAATAGGCATAATATGCCTAAGAACAGCAAAGTTGCGGTTTGCGAAATTGGCCATGGCAGATTTCCGGAAGTAGTAATTATTCACTTCTCTCTTCGATTAGACGTTTATTCTCAAACATTAACAAACGATCTGAAATGACTTTTTCGTATTTTTAGAAAGTTTTTAGAATGGTATGCTATTTTTAAGGCTTCGCTAAAAATCGGTAAGTACCAATTGTATGCTTTGCGCATGCGCAGAATCAATAAACACTTGATTCCTGCCATGGCCAATTTCGCAAAGCGGGACAGTGCTGTTTAATGACATGTCAGGCCGTCAGTATGTCATTACATATCGATTTTATGTGCTAAGTATTTCAATCCATATGTTTTCTTTATATCTAGTTATATTTTTCACATTGGAATTAGCGTTAAGTCGATATAATTTGGAATTCAAAAACTACATCAACAACTCGTTGAGCACCTGAGAGAAAAAGATAATACTGGATTCTGTTGGTGCTACGATCTTTATATCGGCCCAGAACCTATGACTTGAACTTTTGAAGAAAAATATATTTTTGATTTTTTTTTTCATCAAGAGATTTTATTGCCATTAATCATTAAAAGTACATATCATACATGAGGGACTCAATCGCCAGTGGCATTATAGGTGTATAGGTGTATATTTTTGATCGACGAACAGCATCCTTTTTAAACAATAGAAGGTAAGTAAGACTCCCAATCTTTGAGGTAACTCCTATAGCAAGTTCTACCGACACAGTCAGGCCATGAAAAAAGTAGTAGGGGTTTTTCATTAGGGTTTTAGTACGTATTCTTTACTTAGATATGTGGTGAGTATCATTCCTTATTTTTCACAGTCAAAGTAGTCAAAAGATCATGGCTCTGATTGTATATACATCATCATGAAAATATGATGGGCGATAATATGTGAAAATATAAAATGCCGTGCACCTATGATAAATTTTCACCTACCAAACAAGAAGACAAACATCTGAACTGATATACACCTCTTCGTAGGCAAGTGAGACGACTTGTGACAAGTAACATTTTACACACTTTTTTTGTTACTTCCCTCAAATCAGTAAACTAAAGTAACAAAAGTGTCTAAAAAGTTCTGAAATTTTAAAGCACTATTTATACGAACGCACATAAATCTTACTTTAGTTCGTATTTTTAACGGAAGCCTTACGTCGCCAAAATATTTTGTGTGAAATAATAAACGTTAGGCCTCCAAAAGATATTCAATAATTCCTGATCATTTAAATTTTTAGATAATTAATGTCTTTGCACGTTTGTCAACTTTTAGTCTAAAAAAAAACAAAAAAACGAATGCCTCATTTGTCCTCAAATTAAATGCAAAAGCGGTAAATTGAAAAGTGAGTAAATTTTTTTTATTTTTTAAATGACAAAATATATCAAATTAAGCAATGTTTTTGGTTTGAAATAATGGTAGTATAAAGATGTTTAACAAGAGCTTAAAAGAGAGTGATTCTTTAGACGCAGCAAATCATGCTACGAAACATTTTCCCAGGTTCAATTTTTCATATTTTTTTGAGATTTTTTTGAGCCCAGGAACTGTATGGGTACACTGCGCAAGGTAGAGACTTTTCCCATCTCATAGATTTTACGCAACTTTGGGAAAACAATAAGATAAAAGACTGCGTCTTATTACTTCGGTCCAAAGCCTTCTCTATATTCTGGCTTTGAGGAGGAAGATTGAGCTGCCTTAGTATTATAAATATTGTAAATCATTGTGTCACACGCACAGTAAATATGGCATAATAATATGAAATATACCTTTATGTATAGATTTGAAGAACATCAGCTCACATCCCCGTCTGAATCTATTGTTATATTTGATTTCTTTAAGCGAGAATAATTTCAAATTTTATTCACGTCCAGAACCGGAAGCCATTTTTAGCTACAGCGAGAAAATTTCATCATGTTTCAAACTCCGAAATGAAATTTTGAAATATCTAAATCCAGGCAAGCAACGCTTCATCCTAAATATGATTAATATTCTTAAAAATATTTATAAAATTTATTAAAAATGAGTTCTAGGTGCGTGTAGGTGCGTGTAGCACCTTTGCTAGAGTACATACGAAATCAATGAAGTTCCGTCTAGCTGTAAGCTAGAGACTCGAGTAAGCGTCTTACACTCTTACCCTTTCCGTAGCAATGTGTGCCAAAGTGCTGTACTTGATGAAGATATTCACTCTATTAAAGCAAAGTTAACAGCTGATATGAATGTGGTACACAAATGGCTGTGCTCAAATAAATTAACATTAAATGTCAAGAAGACTAAATTCATGGTGTATGGGTCATCCCAGAAACTGTCAAAGGTAGATGAAGGTGACGACATAGTCATAAATGGAGAAAAAATTGAACAAGTCGACGCTTTCAAATATCTTGGTTTGTGGTTTGATCCAACACTCACTTGGAAAACACATATAACCAAAACTTGTACAAAATTGTCACAAAGGTTAGGGGTCATTGGGAGAGTGAGAGATTCTCTTACCCTCAATACAACCAAACTTTTAATCCAATCTACCATCACACCCATTTTTGATTATGGTGATGCTGTCATCTCTGGATGCAGCTCACAACTCTTAGATAAAATTCAGAGATTCCAAAACCGTGCTGGTAGATTGATAGTTAAATGTGCCCCACGTACCCCATCCCAGGATGTTAGAAATACTCTGAAGTGGCCATCCATAAGAGAGAGGCAGGACATGCACAACCTGACACTAATGTATAAGGTAGTGAATGGACTGGTTCCCACTTATATGCAGGACAGTTTTACCTTAACTAAGGACACTCACAACTATGGTACTCGTGCTACAACTAACAAATGTATTTTTATTAAACAAAATTGTAATAATGCAGGCACACAAACTTTTAGTCACAGAGCATCTGTTCTCTGGAACAAGGCACCTTTAGATTTAAAGGAATCTGCCTCAGTGCAATCTTTTAAAGTTCATCTAAAAAAGCAATTTCCTTGCTTCAATTAGTGAATAATTGTAATTTTACATGTCTTAATATGCTCAAATGTCAAGTGTGACAATTACTTTTAATGCTTATTTTTATCGACTAGTCATATAGTATTTTTACACATATTAATGTACTGTTTTTACAAATTTCTAATTTTATGATATGTATTGTCACATATTTTATTGTTAAATGTAGTGTGTATGTGTGTCTGCAGGGTTCTAATGGAAACAAGAAAACATATGTATTTCTTATTAGTTATCCCTGAATAAATAAAATCTAAATAAAAAAAAAAAAAAAGTAGACTAGATCTAATTTGTAAGTTGAGAGAATTTCTCTTCTTATGGAATTAGTTTGAATGGTTATATGATATCAATTATTGACGCTGTAAGTTGAGTTTTCTCATGACAATTATTTCAAATTTTCAGAGAGGAAAGATAATGGAGTATTTTGGTAATTTCCGGCAGTGTCCAATTCCAATGTTGTTAGTCTCTCAAATTACGTCGCATCGCAACAAACAGCCAATGGAAGTATAGAATCGTGCAACCTTTTTTGTATAACTCATGGAAACTAACTTTATAAATTGAGCAATGTAATTAGTGTTGTGAAACTTATGTCCCTTATACCTATTTATTACAGGTTGTGTAGACCATTGTTGCCTGATTTATAGCAAAAACATTGACTTTTGCACATTGGTGATGATGCGCCTTTTTTAATAAATCTCATATCTTAGAAGCGTATCAGTTCAAAACAAATACTAGAAGTCCTAACATAATTTTATTTTGCCGTGCACTGTACCTATTCATTTGGCAATTTAGTTGTAAATTTTCTTTTGAAAAAATTCCAAATTCTTGCAGAAATCGCCTACTCCCCCCCCCCCCTCCATCCATTTTGTATGATCACTGGGCGTGATATAACAGTATAGTAAACTGTTAATTTATCTTAGTGACGTGTTAACCAGCTTAACTCAATTGTAAAACATTCCATACATTTCTGGCAACCTTGTGATGGCCTTGTCAGTCGAAAAGTAGTATATTACTTAATTCTTTACAATGTTAGATTCCAATTTACCTGCAAGTTAATGATTTCCTCAAAAGCAGCTAAATGTACATTGCTAGAAAACACTCAAAAAACAAAATCTACTCCCAATCTTGCTCAACATTGTTTCATTATAGTAACACACAGACATTACAATACTTGCTTCCATGCTCAAGTATTCAGGAAAATGTTTAAGCGATGCATTTGTATGGGCGATTGGTGATACATATAGGTTCAGGTTGGCGTTTCAATTTTATATGCTAGCTTAAACTCCCTATTATCTATGTACCAGCTTTTCTGCTTGTTTGAAAATTATTGAATGACCTCATATCTTCAAACAATGGCTTACAGAGGAAGATTAGAGTTGCAGGAACATTTTTATTTTTCACATTCAACTTTGAACATGTATCAGTGAATATGTTTCACTCGGCCACATTTTGAAGGTCATTTTGAAGTACCGGTACATTTAATTTAGAAGGTCATTTTGAAGTACATTTAATTATTTCTAATACGAATATAATGCATATACCTCATAAATAACATTCAATTTTACTTTTTCATATTTTCAGCTTTATTTTGTGACTTAAGGTCTCTGTGCTTGAAGATTATGATTAGAAACTAAAATCCTGAAAATGCAAGTCTCCCTTGATGTCCATGGAAAAGAGTCAGGAAAAATATGGCACAGAAAGCCTACTCCTGGATCATGTGATGGGTAAATCGATTCTTTCATGTATATGAGCCAGGCCACAAGAAAAGGGGTCTTATCGCAGATTTTTCAATATTCTGATTTTTTGTTTATCTTAAAAAACACAAAATGACCTTTCAAACAAGCCATGGCTTATGTCTTAACAATTTTTCCTTGCATATATAGACCAAAAAGTCGGATTTGAATTTAGCACGTTTTGATAAGACCAGTTTTCCTATGGTCAGGCTCATATATTCTTGAAGTGATCATACTGTGAATCTCTGAGAAAAAGACAATTTAACAAATTACAAATGTATAAAGATGTGTATTTTGAGTCAGCTTTTGAAGTGTACATTTTTGGTTAATACCATAATGCTACCCTAAGTAAAGTGCTTTTATTGCATTTTTAGAACTTTATGAGACACGGTACTCATAAAAAGGATTCTGACTTTAAAATAAAACACTATGATGTGTTTATTATTACTTAGTCTATTCCAGACACTTGTGTGTAATATTTAACATATATTCCATACACATGTGTACAATATTTAACATATATTCCATACACATGTGTACAATATTAAACATATATTCCATACACATGTGTACGATATTTAACATATATTCCATACACATGTGTACAATATTAAACATATATTCCATACACATGTGTACGATATTAAACATATATTCCATACACATGTGTACAATATTTAACATATATTCCATACACATGTGTACAATATTTAACATATATTCCATACACATGTATACAATATTTAACATAAATTCCATACACATGTATACAATATTTAACATGTATTGCAGACATGTGTGTACAATATGTAACCTGATGTCCAGTGCCATATCTCTGCCTTCGAGGAAGATCAGGTTTTTGCAAGCAGCATTTGATGCGACTGGGGATTCTTTCATAGCTGCTGATTATCAAGGGAATATATTTGTTTTTGATCTTGACAGAAACAGGTATGTCTTTTAATACTGTTTACTCTGTAAGATTTTTGTTGGGGGGGGGGGGCAAGGGACCAATTCTGTTTTTATCGGGGCCTATTTTCAAAAAAGCTCCACACCAATCCAATCCATCTTTATCCAAATCAAACAATATAGGAAAAGAATGGTGGTGCGCGGCTAAAGATTTCACGTTTGCGATGTGAGAATCGTGGTTCGAGCGCAAGGAACGTAGTTTGTGAGCTCAGGACTGATGTTCATATTGGTGGAAGTCTAGGGGGCCTGAATAAGCTACAAAAACAATTTTCAAATATACTTTAGTTTTTGGTTTGTATATATGATCATATAACCCACATTTCTGTTAATTCATGTGAATTCATATAAATGCATGTGCTAAGTATGTCAAAATGCACCTCATATTCTCGTATCTTTATTGCCTTTTAAATAATTGAGCTACAAATGTTATTTTTCAGGTTTGCCCAAGTGCAGAGGATAGGCACTCCATGTACAGCTATAGCTTTTAATCTGCGCAGAAAAACAGAATACCTAGTAGCACTGGCAGACTGCACCATTAAATGTTTTGATACAGGTCAGTATGAAGTTGATATACTACAGAGTGACCCGAGAAATAGAACCCTTGAATAAAACCTGTGATAACTTTGTTTCGCTAAATGATGTTATATGAATACATCACTTTGCTCCACTGAACAATCAGACTAATCTACCCCCCCCCCCCCCCATTATCTACTTCATCAACTTGTGGGGTGGCGTGAGTAAGGGAGGGGGTCACCATGACTTATGTAGTTAGACTAATTTTAAATGAAAATTTATTCTGTCAATACGCTTTAAAAATGTTTTGAAGCATAACAGGTTTTATCTATTACCATGAAGACATGTATGTCTAATAAGTTAATGCATCATGCATTATACACTTATTCTTTATTTTCTAGATACCAAAGAGTTGGTTGCATGGATGAAAGGTCACAGCTCTCCTATACATACTATCAGTGTACATGCCTCAGGACGTTATGCTATCACATGTTCAGCAGACACCGCACAGTTGTGGGATTTAGACACATTCTTACGTAAACGGAAGCTCAGCATCAAAGAAAATGTTGGAATAACAAAGGTATTTTGATGTGACCATCTTACTTTGTATACTTTGAAATTAGCTAGATACAGTAAAACGTATCTTAGAGAACACCTCTCTCTCTCTCTCTCTCTCTAGTGTGAACACCACTTCAAGACACATTTTACATTGACTCCTGTATAAAATCCTCTCTCTGTAGTGAACACCTACCAGGTACCTATAGTGAATACTTTTGTGGATCCATAAGTGTTTACTATATACAGGTTTTACTGTTGTTGAATATCTGATTCAGATTCTGTTTCTAGAGATCCATCAAAACTTCATAAAAAAATATGCATGATCAATAACCTCTATATCCTTAACTTGTAGGTGTTCTTCCTTCCTCTGAGCAACACAATTATTACCTGCTTCAAGGATGACTCTATATTTGCTTGGGAGTCCGACACACTTGTCTGTAAATACCAGCTTCCAATACCTGATGAGGAGGAGACACCACATTACAAGGATTTCTCCGTCTCCAGGTGAGAGGTATATATTGTACAAGGGGAGGTGGTCTGGTATCAATGATCTACCCACCATTAAAGTGAGTGACTGGAGTGGGTGTCACTCTCACTTAGGATTTTAATAATAAGCTTGCACTCACCTAAGAATCCTTTTTGACACACTTGGAAATGAGAAGAATCACAAAAATAGGCATATTTTGACTTGACTTCAAAAAAAATCCTGCAGAAGCATATTGTGTGTAGTGGTACAGTGAATTTTTGTATTGTGTAGTCAACACTTTAGTTTTTGCCACCACAGAGAAATGTTGTTATTATGACATATTGTTACAGTCACCATTTATTGTAACCAGTAACAGTAACAAATGGTTACACTTATGTTATATCAACCATTGATATTTTGTCATGATAATTGCCCCAAAACAGAAATAAGGTGACTTCCTTTCAAAATCTAAATAGTTAACTTGAAAGGAATTATCTTATGGGTACATTTTCTATGATTTAATTAAACAGTATGTACAGTAGTGCAATACATATAACATGTTAACAATTAAATGGATTTCTACTTTATATTTTATCATTATAGGGATGGTAGAATATTAGTAGCAGGAAGTAGATCAAGGTTCCTACATTTATGGACATTAGATACCAAGACACTACACAAGGTTGTTCAACTACCAACTAAGGTGAAGGTCGTCAAGCAGCTAGAGTTCTTAGCTGATAGTTTTGACGGAGGGGCTAGTCAGGTATATTATTATTATAAGATAGTTTACATGCAGATGATTCTGATTGTCAATTCGTCCATGAACCTTCGATATTTCAAAGTTTATTTTGAAATACAATGTCAAACAAAATCAATTTTTAGACTTTTGGACTCTCCCCTTATTTATATGACAGCAACAAAAATGTCTACAGTTTTTCAATGGTCAATGATGAGACTCACACACAAATTATCACAAAACAAGTTAACATTAGGTTTAAGTCAGAATGATACAGCAGAAACGTAAAGTACACAAACCAGTTCATACAGGAAATTATGTATATTAATATTTCCTGCCCAATTTGTGGCATCAATTGACATTAGATTTTCTGTATTTCTAAAGTTTTTCAAATCATTTTTGTTATAGGTGTTATGTGTTCTGGCCCAGGATGGCATTTTACGTGCTGTAAGCATTTCCACTTGCAAGCTGCTTTTTGACCTAGGGAGTATAGAAAATAGAATCAACAGCTTCATATTAGGTCCCACAGGTCGACATATTGTTAGTGTACATGAAGATGGAGATATGAAAGTTTGGAGTGTTGCTGCTCTAACTCAACAGTTAAATCAAGTGAGTATACTGGGGTATAGAGATGATAGAATTGAACCAATGGTTTCATACTACAGTAAAACCTGTATATCTGAACACCTGGCTAATCCGAACACCTTCCAATTTGAACACTTTTTTCCGGTCCCATTTTTTCCTCCCATTGACTCCCATGTTAAATAAACCTAGAAATCTGAACACCTCCTAATCTGAACAGTGAACAACCAGATATGAAAAAGTGACCTGTCTAAACTGAACATTTTTATCAGAAATCAAATGTCTGGACATTTCAATAATACCCACATATTGAGTCAATGTTATAGTTGTTATTTATCTTTACATATACATGGTACAATGTAATCAAAGAACTAATACTGTCCTAATTAACTTATTTAGTCTCAGTGACATCCCTTATTTGTGGAAAACAACAGGATGATTTGAAAAGGTGTGAATACAGGAGTTAATTGGTTTATCCTATTAGAAAAGAACTGAATGTTTTATGTTTGGATTAAGAGAAAGGTGTGAATCAAGAAGATAATTGATTTATCATTATTGAAAATTACCTGGATGTTTTTGATTTGGATTAAGAGAAAGGTGAGAATCTGGGAGATAATTGGTTTATCCTTATTGTAAATTAACTGGATGTTTTTGATTTGGATTATGAACAGGTCTTAGATGTTTTATATCCCATGGGTCTGTTATGATAGCTAAGATTCAATCAGTAAATGTTTTATAATCACAAAGACAACACAGACACAATTGCAGACAAGATTTCACGAGAAAGAGAAAAATTCAACTTCGTAATAACCTATCACTAAAATGCCTCTTAAAAAGGGAGGTTTATACATCATCTCGAATGAACAGTCATAAAAAATTCTTTTTACTTGAAGAGGATGTCTACTCAAATATTGCTAATGCTAAAAGTGCCAAAAAACAAACAACAATGAAGGACTTTTTCAAGCAAAAGTAAAGCAGTGCTATATAACCATAATATGGGATAAGTCATTTGAGAAGCTTAAGATTTTGTACGAGACTATCATATACTTATACTGTCAGTGTATTACAAAGTTTTTACCAAAATATAAGTTATTTTTACTAAATAATGAAATTGTTCAAAATGTAAATAAAAATAGCATATAGGCTACAGGCCTATTGTAGAATAAACTCATCAACAACATGTATTGTTTTCTGACTTAGTATTAAGTGTTCAATATAGTGGACTGAACAATGAAAATCCCCCCCCCCCCGCCGATCAACAATATCCTCAAAATTTGAACACCTGCCAATTTGAACGCTTTTGGCTGGTCCCATGGGTGTTCGGATTAGACAGGTTTTACTGTATGTCCCACATGTCACCAATAGTAACTGTTCATTAAGAAATAATGAGGTTGAGTGTTTCATTTTTAACGCAACAATCAAATCAATTGATGTTGGGTATAGAGAAGACAATAAACATCTTCATATTAGGCCCCTACAGTGACTGTACATGAAGATCGAGTTGAATTGTATGTGCTGTTGTCCATATTTTTTGCTATGTCACCACCAAAAAGGGGTGACATATTGTTATGGTCTCCGTTTTTTTTATGGTGATCGGTGGTCGGCATCTAACAAATTCTTACAACTTCCAATAATATAACAAATACTGTATAGACTGACTTCAATTGTTTTCAAAATCATCTACATGTTTTCAGAAGTTCAAATCTGAATTTATATTTAAGATTTGACCTTCAATGACCTTTTCAAGGTCAAAAAAGGTCTTTTTTCCACTTTCTTCAAATTGACCAATTTCTTTTTCAAAATCATCTACAAGTTCTCAACATTTCAAATCTGACTATAGATTTGATCCTTAAATGACATTCTCAAGATCAAAACAGATTTGACCTTAAATGACCTCCTCAAGGTCAAAAAGGTATTTTTATGTCACCACCAAAAAGTGGTGACATATTGTAATGGTCTTCGGTTTTTTTTGACAGCAGTTGGTGGTTGGCGGTTGGCGTCTGTAACAAATTTTTACAACTTCCAATAACTTAACAAATACTGTTTAGACTGACTTCCCTGGCCCAATATCCTAACTGAACAGGGAGGAGGATTTTAAAGTAATGTATGCAGTGTAGCACAAGGTTTGTGTATTTCCAGCCTCCACCTCCGATGGTGCGTGTCATTGAGAGCAACAAGATGGCCGACTCCGCTGACCAATCAGCTGTGGCCAGATCACTCACGAAGGTGCCAACAGGAAGGAGAAGCAAAAGGAAAACTGGACAATCAAAGTCTGACGTAAGTTTCTACTAACTTGTCAATCAGCATTAAATATGATTGGTCACTCTATGGGTACTTTGATCTTCTGTTTAGTAGACTTATCTTTCAGGAGTTTTTTGTCACCAGACTCACCACCATGACATATTGTATAGTTTCCAACTTTTTTTGTGGATGGATTGGTTTTTGGGAGTCAGTGTTTGGCAATCAGCATCTGTAACAAATTTCAGGTGGTGACATTTTGTTTGTTAATGCCAGCTTGTTTTCATTATTGCTTTTAAGGTCATTGCTACAAATTATAAACATAGTGCATTATTTATACAGCTTTACACCAGAATTGTTCATGTACATTCTTTGAAAATTCTTAACAATTCACTTTTCATGTTGATGGGAGTGCTTGGCTCATTTATGCTTGCGTCATGCACTCATATATTTGACACTTTCAGGGTAGTATTGGAGAGGGACTGAATAAGGATAAACTATTCAGCATTCTGAGGGGATATGGGGAATATCCAGCCAAATACAGGTATGAATTATTACTCTACCACAAGGAATCTAACTTTGGGTCTGTTTTGGATAGTGCAGCTGTTTCATTACTTGTCTTTTTTCATTACAAGTATTTTTAGCTCACACAGATGAGCTATTGTATTTCTTTTAGTGTAGAACTGCTTTTCTAAATAAAAGAAATCATATCATATAGTTCAAGGGGATATAGAGAATAGCCCTCTCCGTACTTACGTATGTACATCCATCTGTCCATCCGTCCATCTCTTTTTCAAAACTTGTGGATACAGGTTGAAAGTCTCGATAAAATTAATTGATTTCTCTGAAGAAATGAACCAAGTGTTTATAAATTATTAAATAAACCAGAGAGATGAACTTACATAGAAGCCAAACACCATTGGACCAATATCGTTTAGCCTGTATTTTAAAAATATAAAGCTATATGGGGGCACAAGTTCTATTGAGAGCCGATTTTCAAAATGGCCACTATTGTATTGTCAGTTTTACAGTATTTTAGGTACAAAATATAAAACTATACTATTTTCTCATATATGAAAGATCATGTGATTAAGTTGAAAATCTAAGTATTTGAATAAAACATGGAAGCCATCTTGAAAAATGGTGGCTTTTACACTCTGTTACACAGTTATTTTTTACGATTTTTACTGTAACTGGAAAGAAGTGGAGCGATTTTGTTCATATTTGATATGTGATTACTCATGAGCATGGCACACTGTGTTATGGTTGGAGACATCAGAAAAGTTTCCCGTAGGTGACCATTATAACATTTTACCCTACATCTTATTAACGGTTATATTCAGGCCTAGTGCAACACACCACAGTATCTGGTAGTTACTTACCTAATAGAGATTTTACATTTTGGCATGCCATCTCCTGATACCTTGGTGAACTAAGTCATGTGATCATTTATATCCAATCAGAATGCATTTCTGCCACATAGTGATAGCATAGTGATCCAAAGCTAAACCAAGGTGTAGGAAGGGTTTATATTATCATATAGAAGGGGTGCACTTTTCTAATTGGCCATGGTTGACATGCATGTTTGCAAACTTAGTACTTGCATCAAGAGCTCTGACTGGCATCCTAACAAAATAAATTCATACTACACTAATGCCTGGGTCACATTTGCTCCGTTTGTTCAATATTGTATTCAATTTTGAACAAAATACTCAATCGGCATGGCACCGTAGTGAAAATCGGAGCAATCTGCATTATTTGTACACACTGTATACCAATAGCCCATTTTCAGCATAGCAATTTCTAAGAAGGGTTTCCAAAATGCTCCATCATGAAATACCTTGACCCTCTCTTCTTACATGACAGACACAGACATGTTTCTAGATGTGATGTGTACCAGAATGAAAGCTCTGGCTTCTTCCTAACTTGGCGGGAGGGTGCAAAGCACTTTCTTGATCATTAAAAATAAATGCCATTGTCACAGGAACTCTGCATTTTATGTAAATCCATTGACTATTTATCTCCATGCTCGAAGTTAAGTAAGTTAAGAAGATCAGATTCTTTATAACACTTGATCCAAATCTATTTAATATTCAAAATCTAAGTAAACCTCTCTTTTTGAAGAACCAACTATCTACCATATTACTCAGATTGGATTAATCAATATTCTCATACTCTCTCTAGTTTGTATGAATGAATGACCCTAAACATCATGTGGAAGACTTCTCAGAAAATGTGCCCAATATATTACTCTAAATCATACATGTCATAGGAGCTTTGAAATTTTGAAAAGTTGTCTGAAACAAAAATTGTGATCATAAAAAGAGAATGGATTGCTTGTTAAAGCAGTTTTCTCATTTTTTCTATTTTTAGGAATGAATTCAAATTTTCAAAAGCTTCTATAATTTAAAATAATATATTTGGAACACTTTCTCAAAAATGCAATAGATTCTGTCTGGTGACCTGTCTAAAAGTCCAACTTTTAACTGTTTTTGAGTCACATTTCACATTTGAGTCACACTCCTCTGTGTATACTTTCTCCAATAAGTATGAATCGAAACTAGGTTAATTTCCCATGTGCCTAAACCAATATTTTATTGTTTTATTTACTTTCTGTATATGCGTGTATGGACTACTATTTATATTTTTTCAGTGTATATATGAAACAATAAATTTTAACTGTGTGTATTGACAAATATCATGTACTTTCTCCAGTGTGTATGAGCAAATATTATGTACTTTCACTAGTTATTTAACCAATACTCTGTACGTTCATACACCCTGGAGAAAGTACATAGTATTTGTTCATACAAAATGTGTGTTCATAAACAATGGAATACATGATATTTGTTCATACATACTGGAAAAAGTATATACACAGGCGTGTTGGTTCATATACATGTCCATACTGGAGAAAGAGCGTAATGTCTCTTCATACACATTATAGATATTGTAGTACATTAAATTCGTTCATACTCATTGGTTTAGGTACATTTTATTCGTTCTGACACATTGATTAATTAACAAAATATTGAAAACACAGAAGAGAATGAACAACGTTTTGGTTCATGCACAATGGAAAAAGTACAAATCATTTGCTTATGCGTGTTGGAGAATGAACACAAAATATTTGTTCATACATGCAGGAAAAAGTACAAAAAATGTGTTCATTGAAAGTGGAGAACCCAGATTATATACTTTCTCCAGTTTGTATGAACAAATTCATCAATGTGTTTCATGCAACACATTTTAATTTGTAATTTAAGGTGCTATGTAAGTTAACAGAAATGACAAAACAAAAAATGTCAAAACCATGCTGGATTCTGAATTTTTTTTGAACCAAAATAACAGAGTTCTGTTTGGACCTCCAGTCAGTTTAACTAGTTCAACATATTTACATGACCGGGAACACAAGGAAAATGGTCAGAATGACCATAAACTTGATTTTTTCAGAAAATGTGTCTAATATATTGCTCTAAATGATACAATCTTTGAAATTTTAAAAAATTGTCTGAAACAATAATTTGCTGTAGTTAAAAGGAAAATAGATGGATTTTAAATTCAGTTTATTTTCATTTTTTTCTTTTTCTGAGAATGATATGAATTTTTTTTAAATTGCATCATTTAGAGTTATATATTGGGCATATTTTCTGAAAAAGTCAAAAGATTCTCTTCAGTGACCTTTCCTGAGCACCTACTCTTAGCTATTTTTCAGTCACATTTTCAGAGGGCTGAAAAGGTTATTTCATCATGTTTATGGTAATTCTGACCATTTTCCTTGTGTTCCCAGTCATGTAAATGATATGTGGAACTAATTAAACTGACTGGAGGTCCAAACGGAACTCTGTTATCTTGATTCAAAATTCAAAAAATTTTCAAAATCCAGCATAGTTTTGACATTTTTTGTTTTGCCATTTCCTGTTAACTTCCATAGCACCTTAATTTGTATTTCCAAGTAAGATTTTTTAGAATTGTGCCTGTTTGAGAAATTTAGTCAATAAACTAACCATAAATGTCTGCAATAATAGAAAAATCAATAGTGATTTTTTTGGCATTTTGGTAAAGCCTTTGGTTTGTAATTGTATTGTATATTTATTGCCTCATTTATATGAGAGAATACATTTTAATATACATGTGGTTTACATATAAAATATAAAATACATGGATAAGATTAAATTATGTGATAAAAAAGTTGTTGTTTTGGAAAACATAAAAATAAAGTGATAGAGAAATTATGTGTCAAGCAGAGCCAACAGGTTGGCTCTGTGATTGTACATTTTGTGTACACATGATGATACAATTATTAACGTCTCACATGAAACATCTGAGAGACCTAAAACTTTCTTCATAATAACACCCATACTGTCACCACGACAGCCAAGGGCTTCAAATATGTTATGCCTATATGGTTCATACATAGGGCATCTTAATATAAAATGTTCAATTGTTTCAGTTTCACAGAGGTTACACAATATACATCGTTTTGAACCATTGAAGTTGTTCGTATTTAATACATGGGCGTTACATATCAATTGCATCATAGTTTTACACTGGCTTTGACATTTAGGATATTTCTGACAAATCAACCACCATATGCAAGGTTTTAAGTCTGTGACATAGTCACGTAGGTATAAAAGTTTGCCATAACATGAGCATTGCAAGAAAAATTGCTTGACCTCGACGGATCTTACAGCATTGACAATTTGCAGTCTCCATGACCTCTTCGACGGAAGATATCCAGAGTTCAGCGCATTTTTAACCAGATTTTCAATTCCTAGCATTTTGGTCTTAAGGAAAATGCGCCGGATAGGAGAGAAAATATCGGCATGGTTGTCATAAGTGACATGAAACATCTTTACTAACCGTGTTATAGTTATATCCCTGTAAATATTATTAAACCTAAGTAAACTCCAGAGATACATCATCTGCAACACTGTAATATAGCCGTCTATTGACAACCATCCCAACGGCATCGTTGCACTAGGATTGGCTGAGGTTTTGGGGAAAAATTGGATACGTTTGCCAATCTCCCTATGAGTCAATTCAAGCTTTTCAACATCTGAAGCTTGGTAATTTATAACTGGTGCCCCAAACAGCATGGTTGGAATAGAAAAGGCCCAGTACAGTTTTGATGCTGTTAAGGGTGACAAACCACCTGTTTTGTGCCCCAGTCCCAAAAGTGAGCAGAATTTTCGTTTACCACTAGTGCAGCGATCATTAACATATTGTGAGATATCATTTTTACTAGATATTGGAATACCAACATGAACAGTGAAATTGACCTTTGGAATTCTCGTGTCACCTATCTTGAGAACGACATGACCTTTAACACTTGAATCAGTGACCATATCATTAAATGTCAGAAAGTTACATTTCGCTGGATGGATTTCATATCGCCATCTTCTACTATGTTCAAAGGCAGTGTTTAACATAAGTTGCATATCCTTTTGATTTGTGGCAATAATGGTCATGTCATCCGCATAAGAAGGACATACACAATTTACATCATCAATGTGGCCACCTATATTCATTTCACATAGATCCTGAATAAGGTCAGCCATGTACAACTGATAAAATAGCATAGATTGGACACCCCCTTGGTGGACGCCCTGCATGACATTAAAAGGTTTAGAAAGTGTATTTGAACTTCCTACACGAACGGCACATTCATATTTATGGTAATTATCATAAAGCATACGCCACAGTTTGCCACGGATACCAAGTTCATGTAGTTTGACCATCAATCCATCTAACCAAACGGTGTCAAATGCTTTTCTAATATCTAATGTGGCTAATATAACATTTCTATGCTTTTCGACATTGTGGGCAATGGTTTCCTGAACTAAAAGGGAAGTATGAACAGCAGAGCAATGACTCTGAGAAGCACCTTGTAAGTTAGGCATAATATTTTTTGCAAGGGATCCAATTCTTTTTAACACAATATGATCGTACACTTTACGCAACATGTTCATCAGAGTGATGCCTCTGGAATTGTCTTTATTACAAGGATCTTTATTTCCTGCCTTTAGTATAGGTATCAGTATACCAAACCTAAAATTCATGGGAGTGTATTCGTTTAACATGGTTGCATTAAAAAGGGTACATATGATCGAAATTACAGTGTCATTGCTATATTTTAAATGTTCAGCACATATCGTATCCGATCCACATGCACGATTATTATGCAACCGTGATATGGTAATGGGAAGATTGTCTTTATCACTAGAACTGTTCTGCATGGGGTCTTTTGCACAATTGATAAATTATATACTATACTAATACATTGCTATATAGATTTGCAATGTCTAGGTTTTATTCAAGTAACTGACTCCACTGAGTGTGTATTCAAATGTTGTGCTTATAAAATGTATCGACTCCTATACTACCTTTTGAATGAAAATAAACTCTTCCAAAAGTGATAGGACCTTAGTGCACCCATGCCATGGTAAGGACCTTAGGTTGGCATGCCAAAATGTAAAATCTCTACTTACCAACTTAAATGACTTAACCAAATCACTAATGGTAACCACTAGTAGCCTTACACAGGACTATGTTCTTACGACACTTTTGCTAGTGTCATATGACTGACTAGTGTCTTATGCCTAGTTAGTCCAACAACATTAGACCTAGCCTGGGCCTCGTTTATTATCTGACATGTCTTATGGCCCCGGCTAGGTCTAACTTCCATGATGATTTTGCCCTTGATGCGAGTTCAGCAGGTTTCGACATGCGGAACTAATTAAACTCCGAAAACATGGTAATATTACATAAAAAATGTGATTCAAGCATGCATACATACCTTATAAATACATACACACCATCCCGTACCCCCCTTAGACCATATTGATGCATAATTACGAAAATATTAGAGACAGGTTTGGAATTTTACGAAAATATCGGTCAGCTCCGGTAACATCGAAATTGCAAATCGTATCAGGAATTAACCGTCATTGCGACACTGCATCAACGAACAGTAGGTTTGCAATTAATAACGATTTTGTGTGTATACAAGCGCTATATAAATCAATCAAAGTTACCTGCTATCCTCAAAAATGGTTATTTTATCCCGAGTAATCGCGTGATAATTATCAATCTATTTGACAACAATTTCGTTTCAATAGTTTAAATTTTAACCCGGGACGAACAGACACAATGCCGGACATGCGGAAATGTCATTTTAGAGATTGGTAAGTTTACCTCATTTTACTTGTATAAATGACCATTTAATACAATAATATTGTGTTGAATCGCTTGATGTTATGTGTTTTTATATTGTTGTCAAGTATCAGTTGCATACTATCGCGGAAAAATGGTTTCGGCGGATCCAAAACTTGCATCAATGGAAAGAATAGTAAAGAGGTTAAACTCAATAATGGCCCCAAGAAAATTCTTAATAATAAATAACGCCGTTATTGAGTTTAACGACGTTGAACTAATGCCTAGTGTCTTATGACACTCAGGTCATATTGAAAAATGGCCACCATTTTTACGTGTGTAATTTTACATTTTATACTTAAACTCAAAAATTAGTGGAGCCATTTGTTCATATCATAAGCATGGCACATTTTATTATGACACTGGGGTCTATTTCTCCAAACTCCAAAGTTACGGATAGATCCATAAGTCAATTGTTTTTTTCTCAATCTTACAGAGATTGTGCATTTCTCGAAAATTCGTAGATTTACAAGATTTTGGGGATTTCCGTAAGTTTACGATCTTCATGATGTCATAGCCTTTTTCTGTAACTTTATGGGCACCTCAGACCCCATCCATAACTGTTTAAGTAAGAATTACGATACGGAGATATAATTTGAAAACTCCACATCTTTCTCGTAACTTTTTCAATTCCACGGAAATCGTAACTTTACGGATCCGCAACTTTACAGAGTTTGGACAAATAGACCCCTGGTGGAAAAATGGCCGCTATTTTCATGTGTGTTATTTTCATTTTTCACAACAACTTAAAAAGAAGTGCAGCGATTTTGGTGAGATATGTGCCTCTTTAGAAGCATATTACACTCTGTAATGACAATATGGCTATTAGGCTAGTGAGTGGCCATTTAGTATTTTTTTCACAAGTTTTGCTATAACTCAAAAAGTAGTGGAGGGATTTTGTAAAAATGGCAGCCATGGCCGTTCGAAAGGATTTGCTACACCTTGGCATTGCTGTTATCCAGTTCTATCAGCTTTATTTTTTATAAACACCTTCGAATGATATTGATTGTCCTTGTAGAGGTTGGATGGCATTAAAAAGTTGGACAAGATTAAAGATTGAATTCTTTCCCAGTGCTCCTGTTGCAACACTATAACTTAAAAAGTTAATGCAGATAATTAAAAGCACTTCATATATTTTTTCAAAATAAGCAGGCAAAATTGAGCCATTTATTTTGTAAGTAATTAGTGCTAGTGCTGAATGGCTTATTTTTCAAAATCAGGCCTACTATAGGCTTATGTTCTGTGTTGTATTAATCAATTTTGTATAAATAATATCAATATCAACGAATTGATATTGAGGGTGTCTTCAAGTGAATTTGGTGTTACTTTCTAGGTTTTTTGCATTTCCTTGATTTGCGTCTGGAACACTTGATTTTTCTCCTCTTGCATCTGCATTTCTTCTCACATGTGTTCCTTGGTGGAACACTTTCTTTGTTTTTGTAGATAATACCATTCTCAACACATGCTGTAAAGTATGAAATTGAGAGATGATATTGTGGATTCTCGTCAAATGATTTGAAATATGAAATTGAGTAGGTTTGGGTAGATTAAACTGGTTTACGACTGTTTTAGGCAAAAGATTAGTCTAGCTACAAGCCCCTGTGTCCCCCCTGTGTCCCCCCCCCCCTTGCCACACAGGTGAGAAGTTGTGTAGTGTGGGGGGGGTGTCACAGAGGCTTGTATCTAGACTAGCAAAAGGTTCTTGTGCCACTACCTGCTATTGGTGGAATTGGTTGATCATTAAAGATGCTGTTAGCTAATGTAAAAATACCTGATTTAGGTATCTTTTGTTTAGTTGTAGGTTCAGTTGTAACATCCTCATTGCATTCTGTTGGTTCTATCACACAACCCATGAACAATATGGCTTTAGTGACATCATCGCGTATAACAAACAAGAATGGATGGTCTGCCTTAAACTCAATTGGAAATTGTATAGATGTCACTCCAATAATTACAGCTGTTGCAGCTGCTGCCTCTGTGCCTATATCAAAAATGAGTTGTTCTTTTTTATTGGTTACTAACTCCTGACATCACTTGATACCTCTTGGACATAATTCTTTCTTTACAATTGATCACCGAAAGAGGACCTAAAATACTTTATTTAAACAAGTCTTCATTCTTTATTATGCACGGAAAATATACATGTGAGGACATGTGGAAGCTTTGTCTAACTATTAAATGTGAGCTACATATTTTGGTGTTGTAATACATACCTTCCTCATTGACCTCCACAAAAGCTTTATGTAGGATGCTGGTCACTTGTAGGTCTGTATCATTGCTCATACATGTCAGAGAACCTTTGTTGAATATGGCATTCATTCCAAGAGACTGTAGGATTGCTGTCAGATCAAATTCATGAGTGAAGGAAAATTTTGGAAGCCAGACGTTAACCTTTTGTTTTACCAAACCAGACAGTAAATCATCAAATTTTTTGTAGTCATTTCCAATCTTGTTTTCAAGATTTGTGATGCCAAACTTTTTGTTTGGAAGGATAACATACATGCTCAGTTTGCGATCCTTTTCCTGGCAGTCATACGGTAGTTTAAGTACTTTGCTGTCATACATCTCATTCTCTCCATATTCAAATTCATTTGTTCCATTAAACATCATATTGACACAAATTGTCTTTGTGGGACTAACACAGAAATCTGTTGGTTCTGTATCCTCTGGGAAGAAAGGCATCTTCCAAAGTCCTTTAAAGTAGATTGCATTCACTATTACCATGACTGTTGCAGCATTGAGTGCACCTTGTGGAATCAAATTCTCAATTCTGTCATTTGTATTGGCCATAACCCATGCATTAATGGCCTCCCTGACCTCTTCAAATTTGTTCATGAAGTCAACTTCATCGATCTTTGCATCATAGTAGGCTTGAACATTGTCAAGAAACTTTAGGATAAAAGTGTGCGTCTGCTCAACAAAGATCCCATTGGCTGAGAGGAGGGTGCAATTGTCGGTTGTTTTAAACATTCTTTCAGTTAGTTCTTTAAATGTCTGATGTAGCTGGTTTGGATAATTTTGTACAAATTTTGCGAGCCTCATGGCAGAGATCATTTCCTCCTTAGCTTCAGGACTTGTACCCAACATTGCTATTGCCAAGGCAGTTGTGATACTTATTGGTCCAAAGAATACATTTTTATTAGTCATTGTCTTCAGCTTATCATAGATGTCCAATGAGAATTGATTGTGGGCTTTTGCTAAATCTTGTACAGGAGCAATAGTTGTGAATATGAAATTGATGATTTTAAATATAAAATTGAGCGGTTTTCAAAGAGTAGCTAGATTACCCCCATTTACATTAACATATCCTGTAAAATATGAAATAGGAGACCCCATTCTGAACCCATACTGTAAATATGAAATTGAAGAGATATTTAATATTGTAGTTGGCCCCATCCTCAGCACACACCATATAAAATAGGAAACTTATAGGAGAATATAATGTAGATTCTCAAGAGGCACTGTAAAATATGACATTGATGAGAGATATTTAATATTTGGCATGTCCCCATTTCAACACAGGCTGTAAGATATGAAAGTGAGGAGAGACATTTAATAGTGTACAAATAGTGACTGCCATTGAGGGAAATAGTGCAAAATATTTTCCTCAAGGGAATATCCTGTCCACTGAACAAGTCAATGGACAGGATATTCCCGAGAGGAAAATTTTTACACTATTTCCCGAAAATGTGGCAGTCACTATTTGTTTTATTATATACCTGATAAGTACTCTGTAAACAAAAACAAAATGAGAAGTTGTAACTAGTTTTAACCTTTCTTTTGAAACAGGGCTTTTATCGGTTAGCCAACGGCAAGGGGTCATCTGCATGATAGAAAAATCGGGTAAAGATATATCGCTATTAAAAAATTGGCGCCCCATCTCCCTTTAAAATATAGATTATAAAATTGTGTCGAAAGTCGTTAGCAAGCGCATTTAATCGGTTCTCAGAGCCATTATTGGATCGGATCAGACTGCCAAAGGCAGACTGATTGGTGAAAATATTAGATTTATGGAGGATCTCCTTACATATACGAGAGATAAAAAGATTCCTGGTGTAGTATCGCTAATTGATTTTGAAAAAGCATACGATAGTTTGGAATGGAGTTACATTGATTATGCTTTGCATTATTTCAACTTCGGAGAACGACTTATCAGGTGGGTGAAGTTATTTTATACAGATATTAACAGTTGCGTCATTAACAATGGTCATTCTACAGGATGGTTTAAGCTGAACCGGGGCGTCCGGCAGGGGGATCCATTGAGCTGCTCCCTTTTTATAATATGTATAGAGGTCCTGGCTTTGAAAATCAGGCAGAATGAAAACGTGAAAGGTATTAACCTGAATGGTCATGAACAGAAAATAACCCTATACGCTGACGATACTTCCCTTTTTCTAAATGATGTAAATTCTTTAAAAGCAGCCCTTAACATTTTTGATCAGTTTTATTGGGTGTCAGGTCTTAAAATGAATCGGGAAAAAACTGAATGTTTCTATATTGGGGCATCGAAAGGGGACACTAGTAAAATCGAGGGGTTGAAATGGGTGGAGCGCCCTAGTAAATTTTTGGGAGTAAGTATATGCTATGATCGAAAGATAAATGATCAAACGAACTTTGGTACTAAACTTGTTTCTTTAGAGAGGATCTTAAATTTGTGGAGTAAGCGTAATCTGTCAATTTACGGTCGTGTGATGATAATCAAATCTTTAGCTGTCTCACAACTGGTATACTCTATGTCTATGACGGCCACCCCTGATTACGTTATTACGCAAGCAAACTGGCTGATCTATATCTTTCTTTGGAAAGGAGCCAGTGAAAAGATTAAACGTAATACCATATCTGGTGATTATAAAGACGGAGGAATTCGAATGTTAAATTTGACTTCAATGGAAAAAGCTTTAAAGATTATGTGGATAAAACGCTGAAATTTACTTTGCACAGTTCGGAGGCTTAAATTTTATCTTGCAATGTCGCTATGATGTCCGGTATTTCAAATATCCCATTCCGGAGTTTTATAAGGACATGCTTCGGTATTATTCTTCAGTCAATGAATGTGATGACCCACGGAATGGTGCTGAAGTTAAGAACGAATTTTTGTGGAATAACAAGAACATATTAAGGGAGGGTAAGCAAATTTTCAGGAAGGATCTATTTGAAAAACAAATACTCCAAATACGCGATCTTTTAGACGAAGAGGGCAAATTCTTAAGCCATCGGGATTTCAATCTGAAATTCACGATAAATATTAACTTTCTAGACTATATGGGAATTATATCAGCTATTCCATCGAAGTGGATCTCCTTATTAAAAAGCGACCGCACAATGATAAGTGTATCAAACTATGAGCCCAGATTGGAATCTATCCATATTGCAGGTAAGATTTTTGATATTTCACAGCTGACCACAAAGCTTATTCAGTCATGTATAAATGAAAATAATTTTAATTTATCAAAAAGTGTGCAACAAAGCGCCTCGCAGTTCAATGTCTCAGTAAATGACATATGTTCGATGGCTTATGGCCTAGTCACATAGCCCGGCCGATGTCTGGCATCGGTAGAGCTTGGTGGATTTTTTGGTGCCACCGAGCTCTCCTCATCGGAAGCAGAGCTCAGTGACGTGAACAGACTCCGTCCAAACATCTTCAGGCGACCGACCGAACACCGGCCGGTGACCGTACGGAGTCTGTCTCAAAATGGTAGTTTTTTTCTGCCGATGTGGCAGCAACTACCGGCCGGAGGTCGGCCGGACATCGGAAGGAATACGGCCGGTACCCGAGCAGGTAACAGGACACCGTGCGATCGCCGGCCGGGTTGTTAACGGGCTTTGAACAGTGACCGGCCAATGCTCTGTCCCACATCGGCCGGAGCTCGGTCGGAGCTCGGCCGCTGTCCGTTAAAAAACCTCGTCCTCTGGTTGTCTCAGATGCACGGGACACCGGCCAATACTCGGCCGTGCACCGGCCGACGTGTTTTCCGATGTGGTTACGATGGGGCTGCGATGGCATGATGAGGGAGCTCGGTGAAATTTAACTCCGAAGTTAAAATTTCACCGAGCTACCACCGATGCGGTTTTAAGCAACAAACGCCACGGATGTCCGGCCGGTGTTCGGCCGAGTTCGGTGAAAATTGCATCGCTGTGACTAGGCCATTACAGAGTAACAAAGAACAATTTTTTTCGCGAGCTGCAGTATAAAATCATTAATAATAATATTATAATGAATTGAATTGAATTGAAATTGAATTGAATTGAATAATATTTACGCGACAAACTTGTATCTGAAAAGAGTAAAGATAAGGAAAAGTGGCGCGTGTGACTTTTGTGGGGAGGAAGAAACTGTTCAGCACCAGTTCTGGATTTGCAAAAATGTACAACCTCTCATTAAAACATGAAAATGCATTGGGAGCCAAAGGGTATAGTATTAAAGGAACAGCACGTAATAGTGGGATATTTTGGGAACTTACTTTTCAAAGAATTCAATTTTGCTATTTTAATTTACAAGTACTATGTGCATACGAAGATTTTTAGAAGAGAACCTATATCATATTTGGGGTATAGGGCGTATCTTTCCGAGGGCTCAAAATTAGATAATTATGATTTCTAACTTTAAATAGCGTTCTATGCTTTATTTTATGGCATGATTTTTCCTCTATATTTATGTGACATTTACAGTATGCATGTGTCTGACTGGGATGTATGAAAGATGAGCGGGTATGGATGGGTAGGAATGTTGTGTGAAAGGAAGAACGTTTGGAGGTTGCCTTAAAATGTAAAATGTAAGAAGTTTAAACTGAAATAAAATAAACAGTACAAAAAAAAAGAAAAAAAAGTCTTCATTTCAATATCAAATGTTCACAGGTTCTTATTGGCATTTTACCTTTCAACTCCTATAATCTCAGATTTGGGGGAAGATAAAACGTACTATTGACTGGTCACATGACCTAACTGGTGATTAGTACAATTCATCTTCCCTGAAAGCAGGGATTGAGGACTTTCCAGGGAATTAGTTCATCTATTCCATGTCATGTGACCATGAATAAGCCAATGAGCATCTAGAATACATTTGAAGTATATAATAATATTTAATATTATATAGTATTTTATGTTTTTATATCAATTTGTTAATATTATGTGACTGTTTCTTTGCAATTGACAATTGATTGATAGATTATAGTTTCTTTTCACATTTATATCATGGTTTTGGGATATTTTTTTTTTCTTATGACTAGTATATATAGAGTTTGCTTTTTCTTGCTTGGTTCAATTACAACCTTTGGTAATTTCCCTTTGGTACTTTGTTTGGTGCTTAGATATTTTCATTTACTTATGATAACTTTATCTGTTTAAGCAAATTCAGGATGTCCATAAAGTCTCTTTACACTTTACACAGACTTTGTATTGTAATTGTAAAGAAACTCTATGGACCCCCTGTGTATAAAATATGTCACTTGTTACTGTGACAATAACATGGATAGATTTAACTGGCAAAATAGGTAGATGTGCCTGTTGCCACTATGACTACATGTCACTGGTTGATCGTAAAGATGTTATTAGGTTAAAATAAAATACCTGACATGAGGTTAGATGTAGGTTCAGTTGTCTTTGGGGGTACTGTTGTAGTCTCGGTAGGTTCACAGTCCCAGTCATCCCAATGAATAATCTCCCCATTATCATCACAATATGATCCATAGCACCAGACTTTGCCATCAGGCTGAACTTGCTTTCCTTCACTCAGCGTCTCACCAGGCACACATCCACCTTAAATTTTTAAAATAAATTGTTTTTGAAAAATGTTAAACCTGTGGAGAGTGAACCTTTTTATGCTGAGAAAAAATGTTCACTGTTGGTAGATATTCACTAGTCTGAGAGATATGTGTTCATTAACTCAGGGTTTACTGTATATTTAAATGAACAGTTTAAAAAGACATTTTTGATGGGAAATTTTGAATAAGGGGTCAGTTTCAACTACATGTATTTGGTTTGGTATGGTTCTGTTTTTGAACCACTAAACTTGGTTTCTGGTTTGGTTATTTGGTTCTTATCGTACTTTTAGGCTGTATTCTTCTATCAGTAAAAGAATATAAAACAAATCTAGTCTGTACCATTGCCATGTATTTATTTCTGAGCTATAGGCTATGTCTTGATATTTCACAAATATAATATACAAAACATTTAAATGTTTAAAAAAGTATGTCATCTGAATCTGATACTTGGACGCTATTATCTATCCCAACCATTTTTTCTCAATTCACATCTGCAGCAGACATTTTCTTGATCTTTGTGATTTCAGAGAATGTGCTTTTACAAACTGTATTTTCCCCGCAATTAATGTTTCAAATTAATGTTAGTGAACCAAACGAGACTGAACGAAGCGCCAAGGTCAATGATGGTCAGAGCTGAAACTTTAAATTCAGAACTGAAATTCAAAAGTTAAGACAAACCTGGTGGTGTAGTAGGAATGGTTGTGGAGATGACTGGAGTCGTTGGCACTTGGGTAGTAACATCCTTACTACATTCTGTTGGTTGCATCACACGACCCATGAACAATATGGTTTTAGTGATATCATCGCGTATCACAAACAAGAATGGATGGTCTGCTCTAAACTCAATGGGGCGCAGGATTGCTGTCAATTTAATGAGAATAGCTGTTGCAGCTGCTGCTTCCATACCTACATAAAAAATGAACTGTTATTTCTCTTGAGCATAATTCTCTCTATACAGATGATCACAAAATAGTTGTATGAGAATTGAGAACATAGCAGAGCTTTGACTTCAGGAAATAAAGGTTCTGATTGTAGAATCAATGCCCTGTTATACCAGATGTAACAAACTGTCATGTAAATATTACAAATCTCATATAATTTCTGGAAAATACTATTTACCATTTAGACTGTGGACTACTCTGATAATTGTAACTTCTGCTTTTCATGGAAGGTCACACATTCCAACATATTTCAAACAGTCTGTATGATTATGCTGGGCACTTTCTGGGTAGTTGGACTTCATGTAGGGGTGGCAGACGTCCCCCAGGCCGATTTATACCCCCACCCCAAGAAAACCTTGGGAGTACTTTAATACCACCTAATAAAAAGAATACTAATGCATGTCATACATTCATAGTTTTTTAGTAGGCAGGGCATACCATGGTTAGTCAGTGCCAGAAATTTCCAATCTCTAACTTATATGGTTACCATGGAAACTGTATTTATATCTCAAAATCTTCTCAATTTGACCTCCTCCCAAATATGTCCCTTCGCTCTCAAAGTGAAATATTTGCAAATTTGTTAGGAATTTGTGGCTACCACTTTGTCAAAAGTTGTATAAATATGTATATATTCACACTAGAGCACTAAAAAGTTGATATAATGCTCTAATAAATCAATAATATTTATCAAATATAGTCGCACACAACTTCTTTTAGGGAAAAGTGGGCGTGGCACTTTTTGGTACTTGCGTAATTGTTGCAGCATTAAGCGAAAAATACATATTACACTAACAACAATTGACATTTAATTATCATCTACTAACATTGTGTAACATTGTAATATGTTCATTATCATTATTAGATACTTAAGATATTTTATGTAAGTGTTATCATGAACCTTCCTTTTATCCCTATACCATAGAAGGTGGGCATCACCAATGGTGTCAAACTAACTTTTCTGTTTCATTTATTTTTTACCATAGACAGGGGAAAAAGCTTTACTTGAAGTAGTGACCTCATTAGGTGCTATATATATGGATAGATGGATTGATACTAGTAGGTAGATGGCAGCACTTGTGCTAGTTGGGCTAGATACTAGTGTTTACCATTGACTTGACATATTTCACTTAGTCTATTGATTTACCATATTCATTCTGTTGGATTAAAGTAAACCTGCATTTGCAATGAATTTGATGATGTTCAGATTGTGTTTGAAACTTGATGATAATCAGATTGTGTTTGAGACTGGATGTTGTTCAGATTGTGTATATATGAACTTTAAAAGGACCACTGAAACAATAAGTCAATGTTTAAGATTCTTTAAAATTATGTCAATGTCATCATTTGCAACTTTTTCACTATTTGATAATTTAACCCATTATTCTTTATTGCTGATTAAAAATTGTAAGGCATTTAAATGACCTAGTGAAGCCAGTGATATGAATTGGACTTATTCATTGATTTACAGTAAAATGGAATATTGTGAAGAACAAGAGAACTGTTCCATAGCTTCACAGGAAATATGAGAGCAAAGTCAACAAGGGATGTGAGAAACTAGGCTGTTTACATAGAGAGATTTAGAACTCTCCAGGGAAGTGTCTCTATTTGGTATAAAATACACAGGTCTATTCATGCATACCATTTTAAATATGAATCAAAATTAGTGATATCCGTGTTTCTGGTGAAAGCATCAATTGAAAGAGACAAACATCCTACTCCTATGGTATAAAATATAAGGAAGTTCGAAGCAGTAAAAAGGTATTACCATTTTAGATTTGATTGAATAAATTGAATCAGTGGCAATTTCTAAATTTTGATATGTTAAAAGAGGCTCTGTTGGTTAGATGTAATGGGAGAATTAGCTGCATGTTAAAGGTGGCATTTTGCTCAGTTTATAACAAAATTGATATTTAGCCCGAAACAGTAATAAATATTAAGCAAATATTTCATTCTATGGAGGGAAATACCTACGGGCTGTGGGCAATACATATTGCAAAAATCATTGAAGGTGCAGTTGTCAGAATCCCCAGGCAGGCAATACGCAGGGCAATAAGGGATACATATTTTATATGCCAATAATTCAGGGAGCTGTGAAATACGCTATGGTATTTTTAGTCCCATAGTACTGAATTAGCCAATCAAATCACACGATTAATAGCAATGATGTAATAATTAGTGCTACTTCCATGAACACCCGTTTTGTAGAATAAGATTCTGATTCCCGTAAAAAAAATATGAAAATACAGGCACAAACAAAGTGCATTTCGAAACTCTGCTTTTGGATATTGATAAATTGAATGATATTGGCTAAAAACTTCTGTCAGAATTGAAATAATTTTTCCCCAAGAAAAGTCAACATTTCAAAACAACAGCAATAGCTAGAACTATCCTATTTAGATGTTTACTTGACACTGGAGAGGTTAAGCCAATATGGTTTTTCAAAACGTATACGTAAACGCAAAGTACATTGAATCAACATAGGATTGTATCGCTTTAGTCTACTTCAGATACCCGTTCAACTTCAAAGTTGCGTGTTTAGAACGGGAGATTTTAAATTTCACGTTGCTATCAACGGGAATCATTATACTCATGTCTGTTGAATACTATCCTTGCAATTTTGATTTCGATGCAGAGTATAATTCTTTCTGAAGAAGATGATGTATGTTACGCATGATTTAACTCCAATAATCTTACGAAAAGAGCTCGTTTAAAATATGTATTAGAAAACCAGCTATTGAACTTCATCAATGGGATACTATGTAATCATTACAAGCTATGGTGTAGTCTAAACAAACACTAGAGCTGAACGGCTATTTATGTGTGAACTCTACATGTATTTGTATAGGGCCGATTGATACGTTTAAGTTGCGTTTTGGATTTTATACGGTAGCTTAACCTCTCCAGTATGTAGAATTGGGGAATCCGGACAGAGAATATTAACAGAAGTAGAAAGATTGATAAAGAAAATGGAGTTTTAGTGTGGGGGGGGGGGCATGTAATTGTATAGTTGTTTATGTAACAATCATTTCATAAAATTGATAAAATGACATATTCTAGACAAGGATAGGCATTTGCCATCATAAACTATGAGGGATTATGACTCATAAACTTAACTACTGGTATGGATATTTGGGGTAGTAATATGGAACATACGTTATATGGAAACTGTAACATTATAAGATCTTGTCCAATTTCAGTCATACCTGATTATAAAGGACCATTTATGTTACAGCATCAGGGCATATTACGTATAATATTAAGTTACTTAGGTATAAGTTATAAATTATGACTGTCATCGTTTCTACTGTGCCAAAATCATTCAACCAATTTTAAAATGGAATACGAGAACAAGATTTCTTATTTTAGGTTGTATTCATATGTCTAATAATAATTGATATTAAACATATTTACTTTTATTGTTCTTATACACTAAACAGATTTGTTTAGATATTATTTTAAGTTTCAACATAACAAACCACTATCCATATTGAAGGAATCACTGAAGGTACAGCATTTTGGAAATGTGTATTGCGAAATACTAAAAGGAGTTATACCAGTACCTTGTTTACCATGAGTCAATGAATGCATCATATAATATCTGCAAAATGATGCACTATGCAATTCATACATGGAATGATTTATTTTGCCATATTAGAATCAAGTATTATCTTTAATCCATTGGATAGATCATGTACCTGATGTTGATGTATTGATAATAGAATCAGTTAGTCAATTGTGAGACACCATTTGTCCGAGAAAATAAGAAATCTTAGTTATGTATTAAGGCAGGGCATAACATTTCACCTATCATTTATTTATGTTTACTACATCCCCTTTACTAGTTAGTATTACCTTCCCTTTTAAAGCAGAGTGAGATATCGTTGAAATGTGGCGCTCATGCACGATATATGAAAAAATGATCATACTTCATAGTTCCACTGTCATTTAAGCCCGATTTGGTACAAATGTCAAAGTATAATGTCAACTCAAAAGTAGTTTAATTCAATGAAAATAAAAAATATCTAAATCGACAATTACTGTCTGCCATCTTAGATGCGAAGGTTACGGCCGTTGCCTTCGCTTGGTGCTGATCAGTGTCCTTGCTCTGGTACAAATTGTCATTGCCTTCTGTTTGTAACCCCTCCCTCCTCGATAAAGGCCATGAATATGAAGATGATTTAGAGGTATTATGAGATATACTAGTGAAGGGTTGTTTTATGATAAATGAGTTCATATAACTTAATCCAAGTCATAACAAGTATGCAAATCACACCAGCATGAGATAACATCATACTCAAAGGATGGAACAGTCCATTACTTTTCAATTGCATAAAATGGCTCTAACTCTGACAAATGTATTAATCAATTTTAACTCATAGCTCTTGATCAATGGAACCATTCATATTCTAGGTACAAGTCAATGAATACGACTTTGACAAACTAAAAAGACTAAGGACCTCTAAAAGTCTAAAAGACTAAAAGTTAATTTGACCATTGATGACCTATGATAGGGAAAGGTCATGATAACACTTATATAAAAAAATATTTAAAGTATCTAATAATGATAATGAACATATTACAATGTTACACAATGTTAGTAGATGCTAATTAAATGTCAATTGTTATTAGTGTAATATATATTTTTCATTTAATGCTGCAACAATTACACAAGTACCAAAAAGTGCCACGCCCACTTTTCCCTTAAAGCAGTTGTGTGTGACTACATGTGATAAATATTATTAATTTATGGGATCATTATATCAAGTTTTTAGTGCTTTAGTGTGAATACATACATATTAATTCAACTTTTGACAAAGTAGCAGCCACAAAATCCAAACAGATTTGCAAATATTTCACTTTGAGAACTAAAGGACATATTTGGGACTGGGTCAAATTGAGAAGATTGTGAGATATAAATACTGTTTCCATGGTAACCATATAAGTCAGAGATTGGAAATTTCTGGCACTGACTAACCATGGCATGCCCTACCCACTATAAAACAATGAATATCTGATATGCATTAGTATTCTTTTTATTGGGTGGTATTAAAGTACCCCCAAGGTTTTGTTGGGGTAGGGGTATAAATTGGCCTGAGGGCCGTCTGCCACCCCTACATAAAGTCCAACTACCCAGAAAGTGTCCAGCATAATCATACAGATTGTTTGAAATATGTTGGAATGTGTGACCTTCCATGAAAAGCAGAATGCATTTCTAGAGCACTTCTACAGAATAGTCCACAGTCTAATTACTATTAATGTGAGTTAAATATGTTTAGTATTATAGATAATACATACCTTCTTCATTGACTTCCACAAAAGCTTTGTGTATGACATCAGTGACTAGTAGGCTGGTATCATTGCTCATCCGCGTCAGAGAACCTCTGCTGAATATGGCATTCATTCCAAGAGACTTCAAGATAGCTGTCAGTTCGAATTCATGAGTGAAGGAAAATTTTGGAAGCCAGACTTTAACCTTTTGTTCTCTCAAACCAGACAGTAGATTATCAACATTGTTGTAGTTTTTTGAAATTTTGGCTTCAAGATCTGCGATGCCAAACTTTTTGTTTGGTAGGATAACATACATGCTCAGTTTGCAATCCTTTTCCTGACAGCCATACGGTAGTTTAAGCACTTTGCTGTCAAACATCTCATTCTCTCCATATTCAAATTCATTTGTTCTGTTAAACATCATATCGACACAAATCGTCTTTGTGGGACTAACATAGAAATCTGTTGGTTGTGTATCCTCTGGGAAGAAAGGCATCTTCCAAAGTCCTTTAAAGTAGATTGCATTCACTATTACCATGACTGTTGCAGCATCGAGTGCACCTTGTGGAATCAAATTCCCAATTCTGTTATTTGTGTTGGCCATAACCCATGCATTAATGGCCCTCCTGACCACTTCAAATTTGTTCATGAAGTCAACTTCATCGATCTTTGCATCATAGTAGGCTTGAACATTGTCAAGAAACTGTGGGATAAAAGTGTGCGTCTGCTCAACAAAGATCCCATTGGCTGAGAGGAGGGTGCAATTGTCGGTTGTTTTAAACATTCTTTCAGTTAGTTCTTTAAATGTCTGATGTAGCTGGTTTGGATAATTTTGTACAAAATCTGTGAGCCTCATGGCAGAGATCATTTCCTCCTTAGCTTCAGGACTTGTACCCAACATTGCTATTGCCAAGGCAGTTGTGATACTTATTGGTCCAAAGAATACATTTTTATTAGTCATTGTCTTCAGCTTATCATAGATGTCCAATGAGAATTGATTGTGGGCTTTTGCTAAATCTTGTACAGGAGCAGCTGCAACAGTTGTGAATACGAAATTGATGATATTAAATATAAATTTGAGGGGTATTCAAAGAGTAGCTAGATTACCCCAATTATTAACATATCCTGTAAAATATGAAAAAGGAGACCCCATTCTGAACCCATACTGTAAATATAAAATTGAAGAGATATTTAATATTGTAGTTGGCCCCATCCTCAGCACACACCATATGAAATAGGAAACTTAAAGGAGAATATAATGTAGATTCTCAACATGCACTGTAAAATATGACATTGATGAGAGATATTTAATATTTGGCATGTCCCCATTTCTACACAGGTTGTAAGATATGAAAGTGAGGAGAGACATTTAATAGTATTTAATATTATATAGTATTTTATGTTTTTATATCATTTTGTTGATATTATGTAACTGTTTCTTTGCAATTGACAATTGATTGATAGATTACTTTCTTTTCACATTTAGATCATGGTTTTGGGATATATGTTCTTTTTCTTATGACTAGTATATATAGAGTTTGCTTTTTCTTGCTTGGTTCAATTACACCTTTTGGTAATTTCCCTTTGGTACTTAGTTTGGTGCTTAGATATTTCCATTTACTTATGATAACTTTATCTCTTTAACAAATTCAGGATGTCCATAAAGTCTCTTTATACTTTACCCATACTTTGTAGTGTAATTGTAGAGAAACTCTATGGACCCCCTGTGTATATCACTTGTTTCCGTGGCAATAACATGGATAGATTTAACTGGCAAGCTAGGTAGATGTGCCTGTTGCGACTATGACTACATGTCACTAGTTGATCGTAAAGATGTCATTAGGTTAAAATAAAATACCTGACATGAGTTTAGATGTAGGTTCAGTTGTCTTTGAGGGTACTGTTGTAGTCTCGGTAGGTTCACAGTCCCAGTCATCCCAATGAATAATCTCCCCATTATCATCACAATATGATCCATAGCACCAGACTTTGCCATCAGGCTGAATGTCCTTTCCTTCACTCAGCGTCTCACCGGGCACACATCCACCTTCAGTTTAAAAAAATGTTTTTTGAAAAATGGTAAAACTGTGTATAGTGAACCTTTTTATGCTGAGAAAAAATACTCACTGTTGGTAGATGTTCACTAGTCTGAGAGAGATATATTCACTAACTCAGGGTTTACTGTATATTTAAATGAACAGTTCAAAAAAGACATTTTTGATGGGAATTTTTGAATAAGGGGTCAGTTTCAACTACATGTATTTGGTTTGGTATGGTTCTGTTTTTGAACCCCTAAACTTGGTCTCTGGTTTGGTTATTTGGTTCTTATAGTACTTTTAGGCTGTTTTCTTCTTTTAGTAAAGAATATAAAACAAATCTAGTCTGTATCATTGCCATGTATTTTAGCTGTAGGCTATGTCTTGATATTTAACAAATATAATATACAAAACATTTAAATGTTTAAAAAATTATGTCATCTGAATCTGATACTTGGACGCTATTATCTATCTCAACCATTTTTTCTCAATTCACATCTGCAGCAGACATTTTCTTGATCTTTGTGATTTCAGAGAATGTGCTTTTACAAACTGTATTTTCCCCGTTATTAATGTTTCAAATTAATGTTAGTGAACCAAACGATTTTTCATACTGAATGAAGTGTCAAGGTCAATTATGGTAAGAGCTGAAACTGAAAATTCAGAACTGAAATTCAAAAGTTTAGACTCACCTGGTGGTGTAGTAGGAATGGTTGTGGAGATGACTGGAGTCATTGGCACTTGGGTAGTACCATCCTTACTACATTCTGTTGGTTGCATCACACGACCCATGAACAATATGGCTTTAGTGACATCATCGCGTATAACAAACAAGAATGGATGGTCTGCCTTAAACTCAATGGGGCGCAGGATTGCTGTCAATTTAATGAGAATAGCTGTTGCAGCTGCTGCTTCTGTACCTACATAAAAACTGAACTGTTATTTCTCTTTAGCATAATTTCCTCTTTAGATGATCACAAAATAGTTGTTGAGGACATAGCAGAGCTTTGACTTCAGGAAATAAAGATTCTGATTGTAGAATCAATGCCCTGTTGTACCAGATGTAACAAACTGTCATGTAAATATTACTATTTTCCATATTACTATTAAATGTGAGTTAAATATGTTGAGTATTATGAATAATACATACCTTCTTCATTGACTTCCACAAAAGCTTTGTGTATGACATCGGTGACTAGTAGGCTGGTATCATTGCTCATCCGCGTCAGAGAACCTGTATTGAATATAGCATACATTCCAAGAGACTTCAGGATCTTGGTCAGTTCAAATGCATGAGTGAAGCAAAATTTTGGAAGCCAGACTTTAACCTTTTGTTTCCTCAAACCAAACAGTAGATTATCAACATTGTTGTAGTTATTTGTAATTTCATCTTCAAGATCTGTGATGCCAAACTTTTTGTTTGGGAGGATAACATACATGCTCAGTTTGCGATCCTTTTCCTGACAGTCATACGGTAGTTTTAGTACTTTGCTGTCAAACATCTCATTCTCTCCATATTCAAATTCATTTGTTCTGTTAAACATCATATTGACACGAATCGTCTTTGTGGAACTAACATAGAAATCTGTTGGTTCTGTATCCTCTGGGAAGAAAGGCATCTTCCAGAGTCCTTTAAAGTAGATTGCATTCACAATCACCATGACTGTTGCAGCATCAAGTGCACCTTGTGGAATCAAATTCTCAATTCTGTCATTTGTATTGTTCATAACCCATTCATTAATAACCTCTCTGACTTCTGCATATGCATTCATGAAATCAACTTCATCAATTTCCGCATCATAGTAGGTTTGAACATCGTCAAGAAACTGTAGGATAAAAGGGTGTGTCTGCTCAGCAAAGATCCCATTGGCTGAGAGGAGGGTGCAATTGTCGGTTGTTTTAAACAATCTTTCAGTGAATTCTCTAAATGTCTGATGTAACTGGTTTGGATGATTTCCTACAAAAGCTGTGAGCCTCATGGCAGAGATCATTTCCTTTTCAGCTTTAGGACTTGTACCCAACATTGCTATAGCCAAGGCAGTTGTGATACTTATGGGTCCAAAGAATACATTTTCATCAGTCATGGTCCTCAGTTTCTCATAGATGTCCAATGAAAAACGATTGTGGGCTTTTGCTAAATCTTGTAGAGGGGTTGCTGCTTCAGTTGTCATGGTAACATATAGTAGTGTTGCCAAGACTCCTAATAGTAACTTTTGTATCATCTTCCCTATATAAATTGTCAAGATATTGTCGACATTGAAAATATTGAAGTTACTCAAAAAAATCAAAGTGAATCAGTATTGCTTGAAATGTATTGTTTGTAAATATTTTTCTTCTAATGATTTTATTTAGAATTATTCATAAACTAGTTGAAGTCTTACCTTTAAATCAGCAACAGCATCAATGATCAATGATGAAACGTTCAGCGTGTTTTATTTATACAATCTAGGCACCTTCTCTAATTTGCCATCTCATCATGATCCTGCATCAGTGCATTTTATTCAGGGATTTCAATTATTGAAGATTAATCATTGTATGTTGTATTTTGGTTTGTTGCTTTGACAATGCTATCATGACATTAGTTTACAATGCAATTCTGCAGATTGGATCAGCAACTTCATAAAGTAAATCAAATATAATGGTTTGGTTAGAAAGGGCCTATTATTGTATTTAGAGATTGCTAAATTATTTGTATAAATAGAGTAAGGGGAGATAATGCTGCATTGAATATATGTCTAATATGAAAACAAAAACAGAAGCTATGATGACTCATGATGACTGGTAATAAATTGTGAATCTATTTAATTAAAATTATCATGGTATTGTGATTGTGAAAGAGTAACTGATCAACACCACCCAAAGTCAACTTAACCTATGTAATCTTTTGTGAAATCTCATCAAAGGTTAATTATCAGATTCGTGTTTGTTGTATGTGTATTCACAGTTAAAGTATTTTTGATATACTACGTAGTACCCTAGAAAATTGGAAAGTGGAAAATCTGATTTCTCAATTTAACTTTTATTGCATTATTGAAAGATGAAACCAACTCTTCTGAACATTTCAATTTTAATACTTCAAAAATATCCTTTTTATTATTATTATTATCTATCAAATGAGTTTCATATCAGTGTAAGCTTTGCACTAAGGTGGTTATTTGCAGTACTACACAACACTTAAATGCCATAAATCATTTAAGCATTTTTATTATCAACAGCATTTATTGATATATGTCGAGTTTTAGGCTAGTATCATCACATTCCTTTAGTTTTTCTACAGGCCTTTGTTCTACGTCTCGAACACCTGACTTTTCTCTTCTTGCATCTGCATTTCTTCTCACATTCGTTCCTTGGTGGAACACTTTCTTTGTTCATGTAGATAACTCCATTCTCAATACATGCTGTAAAATAAAGAGTAAAGGAGACATTGATTCATTGCTGTATTGGCCCCATACTTTTTTGGAGAAACTAAATAATCCCAAAAGCACTTAATGGCTTTTTTGCTGTTTGATACATTCATTGTTATTCCCCTTTGTGCCCTAGTCCTAGCTGTGCCAGTAGAGATACTTGAGATCTTCTAACATGAGGTTTTTGAAATAGAATTTTGTCAGAATAGCACATTTTCTCTAAATCATTTCTCATGAAAAACACGAAGTACACTCTCTTATTGCATACCTGTTTTTGGAACTTTGGGTGTAGTCATAGATTCAGTGGTAGGTTCAATTGTTGGTTCCATCGTAGGTTCAGTTGTAGCTTTAGTTGATGGTTCTGTTTTTGGTTCGGTTGTAGGTTCAGTTGTAGGTACAGTTGTCATTGGTGGTTCAGTGGTAGGTCCACAGTCAAAGTTATCCCAAGCAAATAGCTCCCCATTTTCACAATATGTTCCATAGCACCAGACTTTGCCATCAGGCTGAATGTCCCTTCCTTCTTCTATGGTTTCACCAGGCACACATCCACCTGGAGTTATAGATTTACGTACAACATGTAAAGTTGCAAATTCAGTATCACTTCAGAGTTATATCACATTGTTTTAATGGTTTAGTATGTTACCACCAAGAAGTGGTGACATATTGTTATGGTCTCCGTTTTTTTTGTGGTGGTGGTTGGCAGGTGGCAGGTGGCAGTTGGCAGTTGGCGTCTGTAACAAATTCTTAAAACTTCCAATAACTTAACAAATTCTGTTTAGACTGACTTATTTTTTCCAAATCATCTACACGTTTTCAGAAGTTCAAATCTGACTTCACATTTAAGATTTGACCTTCAATGACCTTTTCAAGGTCTTAAAAAGGTCTAAAAGTTATTTTTTCAACGTTTTAAATTGACAAAAATCTTTTTTTTACAAAATCATCTACAAGTTATCAGAAGTTCAAAATCTGATTATAGATTTGAGATTTCATCTTCAATGACCTTCTCAGGGTCAAAAAAGGTATTTTTTCAACTTGCTTCAAATTGACCAATTTTTCTTCATCAATCATCAAATCATCTACAGAGTTCTCAGGAATTCAAGAACAAATAATATTGTGAGCAACTAGGTGGTGACATTTTGTCATTTTAAGGATATACCAGTGTAACCTCCGAAAAAATCGACCATTTTCAATCTCAACGAAACTAGGTTTTTATTATAGACCTAGATGTAGCTATTCGAAAAATGTAATAAAAAAGGTGGGTCAACGGATTAGTTTTTTCATGAGAAGCTTCTGAAAATAGGTGTGACATTATCATCATTTGAACATTTGAGGCGCCATTGATTCCAAAGCAAAAAAACATATTTTCCTATATTTCGTTGATAAAATGATGATTTAGGGAGTACTGACGATTTTTTCAAGCCAAGATAAACTTCTTTTATACATAATTACATTGGTTCGAATATTGGTACACTCAGGACATTTTTTCTTACATTTTTCACTTAAAGTGTTACCCCTACCCCAACAATATTTGTGAATTTTTGTAACGTTTTTCCATTAAAAATATATCTTTTTCATTTTCGCATTTTGACACGTTTTGAATCGAAAATTACGCAAATTTCCAATGGATTGTGGTATTTTATTTATTTGCTTATTCTAAAAAAGGTGTTCTCATGTTTATTTTGATATAAAAAAATAGGGTCAACGGTCTGTTTTACGTTTGAAAATGCCGTTGAAGATTGGTGTGCTTTAACAATGATACAAAAGCTACTGGTCAATTCGCGTCATAATTTAACTAGATATATGACGTCTTTCTCAAGAATTAACAAAATCGACTGCTCACAAAAACACAAACTAGCTAAGTCCACATGATAAACATCATTTCAAAATATTATAAATTATGAATAAATTGAGGGCTAGATGCCCCAGTAAGACATTCATTCAATAACGATGATTTAAAATGGCTAATAATAGCCATATTTGACTCCTATTCTAATATACAGGGTGGTCCAAAAAAAAGTGAACCCCTGCAACAGGCTACATTTTTCTTAATACATGCATGAATTTGCTCATATTATCACATGTTGTAGAGAAAGATCTAAAATTTTGGTTGATGCCATATATAATTTATTCTCAGTCTTAAATTTGGAAGAAATTACAAGCGTTTAACAAACATGCCTGGAAATTAGATATTGTACAAAATTTTACAAATGTGATTCACGGAAATTGTTGAAACACATTGGATGATCTTAAACAGCTTTCAGTTAGAGATACAAGTTTAAAACCCTACCATATGACAAAAGGGACACTATTCAAGCAGAAAACACATTTCCCACTTTCATTGATCATTTTGAAGCATTTTTAACTGTTCAACAGTTCAGGGGTATGTTACCTACACCAACAGTTAGAGGGGGCCTCTTATGGAAGGAAGTTGCCCCCTGTGACCAGGAATCTGATAACCCCTTCATCAAATATGTTTAAAAAAATCAAAAGAAAATCCAATATTCAATGTTTTGAGCCATATATCATTAGAATTCGTCCATGATTTATGAAGATATTAACATTTCAAGATCATATAGGGGTATGTTCATGGTTTCACTGGAAAATGTTTTCGTCTGTGGAAGCTTAGCACATCTCTTTACAAATGTAGGATGCTAGTTTTAAGCCATGATGTGCAGGATTTAATATTAAAGATGTTAATTTAAGAGCAAAAAAGGCTCCAAAACTTAATGAAATATGTAGTTTGGATGTTCATTTATGTCTGTGGATTATATTTTATACCACAAACACTTTATAAATACCTGAAATTTGCAATAAAAGTGCCCAAAAATTGTTGTTTCGAAATTCTCCATTTTTCCTGTATCGCGCTAGTCACGTGACCATTACGCGTAGCAGGCAATGTACAGATATTACAGTACATATAATATGTTCAATATGGCAAACATCAGCGATTCTGATTCCCGGGTTCTGGGAAATGGCTATATAAATCGGCGAGAGGGTGTAATTTGAATGAAGACAATTTAAGGAGGGGAAATGTGTGCAAATATGGCAGTAAGAGAGCAGATATGGGGACTTTAGACAAGAACTATGACGGAGAATCAACTAAAAATGTGAGTTCTGGAATGAAGACCCGTTGCCATTGACTGAAGATTCCAGCGATCCTATTATCATTCTCAGTTTGAATCTAGACGCGGAAAACAGATTATGAAAACAGGTTTTCTGCAAAGTTATCAAATTTAGAAAATATGGATCTTGTTTTTGAGTGGCTTAACAAGCATTTAGATACAAGACTTGGCCCTATCTCTTGTCAAATACATGCACTGGACTTGCAGTCCTAAATTGGCCATTGCAAATTGCAAAATCAGATCGTCAAATTAATCGCTTCGTTTTTAAACCTACGCTTCATATCTTCTTCCAAAACTTTAGGTTTCGATAGAGATAAGTTATAACTTGTACAGGAAAAAATGGCAGATCCTACCTTAATTTAGAATCGCTGATTTCTCTGGACAAATTCCGAGAAGAAATTGTTCAACATCGCGATCACCTCAGACAACATGTCGCGTGCGTGTCACCCTGAACTCACGTGATAAAATACGGCATCTTGATTGGTTACTACTCGTGTTGTCATGACGCGAAAAGCAGTAGTAAACACTGAATATGTTAATGAACTGCCATATATGGAACAATTGTCTTTCTGATTGGTTAACTTTACACGCGTCCTAAATGAATATAGTAGTCGTAGTAAATGATTCATTGATAACTCTGAAAGTGGGCGTGATCAGCTTCATTTTGACACCAAATTCAAGATGTTTCAAATCAAAATGGCCTCGCAAGACGAGGTTGAAATATCAGCAATTTGATACTGATATGGTCTACGATAGATCAAAATTGCCTGCCCCGCGTCATATGTCACGTGAGCCTATATTTGTTGAAAAATGAAAGAGATAGTGACACTTTTTAATCTTAAGTTTATACCAATATTACAAACACATATCTATTTTTTTCATTATATATTTATTTCTTCATTATACATACATTTGTTTTATACTACATTGATTTATTTTTGCAAAACCTTTGCTATTAGATCTTTAAACAAAGTCAGAAAATATTAGTTCTTTAAGACTGCAGCTTAAAAAATTCTCAGGGGAAAGGTGTTAAAGGGTTGAAGAATTGCAGATACTGAAAATCACAATTTGTCAATTTTCAGTAATGTTGGGTTAGGGCTTATATAATTTCTGCAAATTTCAAGACTAAGAAAAATGTATGGCCCCAACATAAATTTTAGACCTTCCTCTACAACATGTGAAAATAAAAAAGAATTCCTGCAAGTAATAAGGGAAATATGGCCAGTTGCAGGGGTTCACTTTTTTTTGGACCACCCTGTATATGCTAATATTTCTGTTCATTATTCGGGAAAGGCCCGTTACATTTGAGGTTAACAATTGTGAAAACTCAACATGTCCTGTCTTAATGAACTCCCTTCACAAGTATAACCTCACAGATCAGGCATGAATGATTTCACTCGTGATATATAGCATGCATGCTTTTTGATGATTTTCGGGTGGGGTTGTACATTCCTTTTGCATTCCTCACCCCGAGGTCCCCACTTATGTAAAGCTGTCGGATTTGAGCAATTGTAGTACTGAGTGTAGTACACGAATAATGTGTTTCTGTGAATGGCTATGGACGTTTTTCGCATTGTATCTGGCATGTTCGATCATGGTCGTTAATACTCACTGGGAAAATATTTTTAACTGGTAATTATAATTATAAAAATATAGATTAATAACATAAATTGAACAAAGGTTTGAATGGCTTGTTTGACATTTTGATTGTATTTGTTTTGACAGAAAGGAAAAACGAAACAAGGTAATGATTTCAATAGAAATACATATAAATGAATGTTCATGCACGGACTTTAAGTGTCCGTAGTTCATGTAATAAGTGTATACATGAATTATAGAAATTCCAAAATAGAATACTGTATTTTACAGTTGCCTTGATATTAAATACCCCTGGTCAATACATAGGCTATAGACTATAACTAATGAAAACTCATACAGACTGTAGCGAAATAAGAAGCAAGTTACAAATTAGATTTGTCGTTTTTGTAATACATGGGCACATACACATATACTGCTAGGATAAACGAAAGAAACGGACACGAAATTCGAATGAAACAAGAATATACAAAAAACTTCTGAATTATTTGGAAGAATTGATGACGTATAGTTCATTTGTTTTTTTATTTGTTGATGGGGCAATATGTCACTGACGTCACAGATAATGGTATCATATTCCAAGAACCCATTAACAAAAGTGTTATATGACATCATGATAAAACAACATTGAAAATGAGAATCTCTTAGTTGCTATGGATTGCTATGTCGTAAAGCGTCATATCGTCATTCTGCGTCTTTGATATTTAATACAGAACACTTGTCAAACGTGAAGTTAATAAACGAGCTTTTCATAGAGGTGTTAATTTTCTATTTCTGTAATTTAAAAAATATATCACCATTGTCGTAAGGGTTACACTGGTATAATCCTTAATGCCATGTATACTTCTAGTTATTAGTAACTTCTAGTGTTTGCATCTGTTTGTTATTTGTATTTCAAATGTTGCTCTTCAAGTATTCTCATAATAAATATCTGAACTGAATTTCAAAAGTTTAGACTCACCTTGGGTTGTAGTAGGAATGGTTGTGGAGATGGCTAGAGTGGTTGGCACTTGTGTAGTAACATCCTTACTACATTCTGTTGGTTGCATCACACGACCCATGAACAATATGGCTTTAGTGACATCATCGCGTATAACAAACAAGAATGGATGATCTGCTCTAAACTCAATTGGAAATTGTATAGATGTCACTCCAATAATTATAGCTGTTGCAGCTGCTGCCTCTGTACCTATATCAAAGATGGATTTTTGTTATTGACACCATCATTTTTTTATTCAAAAAATAACATATATACAATATATTGACACCACCATGTGAACCATTCTTCTAAGACATAGTTCATACTATAAAGTTGATTACTGATAGACAGACCTCAAATTTTAGTATGTACTGATGAAAGGTCTTACCAATATTTTATACATGTATACACATTTTGAACAACCCAGCTCTTAAAATCCAAGTGCTGCTCAGGGTTAATTTAGTGTTTCAAGAACTGCAGTTAGCATGCTTACAAAGTCGCCATGTGATCGTTGGTAAATCCATTCAATGAAGTGTGGAATCCATTCAATAATTTTGAGACACAATTTGTTTTCAAAAGAGAGATAATACCTCAGCAGAGGCACTGAATCTTGTGGCATTTTTTACTCCAATTGTCTGATCTGGGATTTGAACCATGTCTTGTTGCTCCAGAAGAACAGGTTTTTGATTTTCTTTTAATAAATTAGACAGGCCATTAGGTTGTTGAAATCATTGGAAGCAATTTTGGACCAGTTGTATTTTTTGAACATGTATAGATAAGAACAAACTACAACACATACCTTCCTCATTGACCTCCACAAAAGCTTTATGTAGGATACTTGTCACTTGTAGGTCTGTATCATTGCTCATGCATGTCAGAGAACCTTTGTTGAATATGGCATTCATTCCAAGAGACTTCAGGATTGCTGTCAGTTCAAATTCATAAGTGAAGGAAAATTTTGGAAGCCAAACACTGACTTCCTTCTCTTCCAGGCCATTGAATAAATGTCCAAACTTGTTATAGTCATTCACAATTTCATTTTCAAGATCTGTGATGCCAAACCTTTTGTTTGGTAGGATAACATACATGCTCAATTTGCGGTCCTTTTCCTGGCAGTCATATGGTAGTTTAAGCACTTTGCTATCAAACTTTCTGCTTTCACCATAACTGTATTTGTCTGATTTCTTAAACATCATATCTGCACAGATCTTCTCCATGGGTTTAGTGTAGAAATCTGTTGGTTGTGTGTCCTCTGGGAGGAAAGGAATCTTCCAAAGTCCTTTAAAGTAGATTGCATTCACAATCACCATGACTGTTGCAGCATCAAGTGCACCTTGTGGAATCAAATTCTTAATTTTGTCATTTGTATTGTCCATAACCCATTCATTAATAGCCTCTCTGACATCTTCAAATGCATTCTTGAAGTCAACTTCATCAATTTCCGCATCGTAGTTAGTTTGAACATCGTCAAGAAACTTTTGGATGAAAGGGTGTGTCTGCTCAGCAAAGATCCCATTGGCTGAGAGGAGGGTGCAATTTTCAGTTATTTTAAACAATTTTCCAGCCAGTTCTCTAAATGTCTCATGTAGTATGTTTGGATCATTTTTCACAAATTTTGTGAGACTCATTGCAGAGATCATTTCCTGTTCAGCCTCGTGACTTGTACCCAACATTGCTATTGCCAAGGCAGTTGTAATACTTATAGGCCCAAAGAATACATTTTCATCAGTCATGGTCTTCAGTTTCTCATAGATGTCCAATGAGAAACGATTGTGGGCTTTTGCTAAATCTTGTAGAGGGGTTGCTGCTTCAATTGTCATGGTTACACATAGTAGTGTTGCCAAGACTCCTAATACTAACTTTTGTATCATCTTCCTATAAAAGTGTCAAGATATTGTCAACATTGAGAATATTGAAGTTACTCAAAATAAATCAAAGTGAATTGGTATTGCTTGAAATGTATTGTTTGTAAATATTTTTCTTCTAATGATTTTATTTAGACTTATTCCAAACTAGTTGAAGTCTTACCTTCAATCACCAACAGCATCAATGATGAAGGATGAAACGTTCAGTGTGTTTTAGTAATACAATCTAGCCACCTTCTCTAATTTGCCATCTCATCATGATCATGCATTAGTGCATTTACTCAGGGATTTTAATTATTGAAGATTAATCATTGTATTTTGTATTTTGGTTCGTTGTTTTGATTATGCTATTGACATTAGTCTACAATGCAAGTTTGCTGATTGGATCAGCAACTTCATCAAGTAAATTGAATATAATGGTTTGATTTGAAAGGGCCTATTATTGTATTTAGAGATTGCTAAATGATTTGTATAAATAGAGCTAGGGGAGATAATGCTGCATTGAATATATGTCTAGTATGAAAACAAAAACAGAAGCTATGATGACTCATGATGACTGGTAATGAATTGTGAATCTATTTAATTAAAATTTTTATGGTATTGTGAAAGAGAAAATGATCACTCCACCCAAGTCAACTTAACCTATGTAATCTTTTGTGAAATCTCATCAAAGGTTAATTATCAGATTCGTGTTTGTTGTATGTGTATTCACAGTTAAAGTATTTTTGATATACATGTATATAGTACCCTAGAAAATTGAAAAGTGGAAAATCTGATTTCTCAATTTAACTTTTATTGCATTATTGAAAGATGAAACCAACTCTTCTGAACATTTCAATTTTAATACTTCAAAAATATCCTTTTTATTATAATTATCTATCAAATGAGTTATCATATCAGTGCAAGCTTTGCACTTAGGTGGTTATTTGCAGGACTACACAACACTTAAATGCCATAAATCATTTCAACATTTATATTATCAACAGCATTTATTGATATATGTTTAACAGATTTTTGGGCTAGTATCATCACATTCCTTTAGTTTTTCTACAGGCCTTTGTTCTACGTCTCGAACACCTGACTTTTCTCTTCCTGCACCTGCATTTCTTCTCACATGTGTTCCTTGGTGGAACACTTTCTTTGTTCATGTAGATAACTCCATTCTCAATACATGCTGTAAAATAAAGAGTTAAAGAGACATTTATTCATTGCTGCATTGGCCCCATACTATTTTGGAGAAACTAAATAACCCCAAAAGCACTTGTGCCCTTGTCCTAGCTGTGCCAGTAGAGATACTTGATATCTTCTAACATGAGGTTAAATTTGAAATAGAATTTTGTCAGAATAGCACATTTTCACTAAATCATTTAATCATGAAAAACACTAAGTATACTCTCATACATCCTTGGCCCAAGAGTAATTCATTGCATTACATGATCTGCTATGAAAGCAGTGAAGGAACGATCTTGAAGGATGCTCTCATATTGCATACCTGTTTTTGGAACTTTGGGTGTAGTCATAGATTCAGTGGTAGGTTCTGTTGTTGGTTGCATTGTAGGTTCAGTTGTAGCTTTAGTTGGTTCTGTTTTTGGTTCAGTTGTAGGTCCAGTTGTCATTGGTGGTTCAGTGGTAGGTCCACAGTCAAAGTTATCCCAAGCAAATAGCTCCCCATTTTCACAATATGTTCCATAGCACCAGACTTTGCCATCAGGCTGAATGTCCTTTCCTTCTTCTATGGTTTCACCAGGCACACAGCCACCTGGAGTTATGGATTTATGTATTAACATGTAAAGTTGCAAATTCAGTACCACTTCAGAGTTATATCACATTGTTTTAATGGTTTATTATGTTACCACCAAGAAGTGGTGACATATTGTTATGGTCTCCGTTTTTTGTGGTGGTGGTTGGCAGTTGGCAATCGGCAGATGGCAGGTGGCAGTTGGTGTCTGTAACAAATTCTTAAAATTTCCAATAACTTAACAAATACTGTTTAGACTGATTTCATTTTTTTCCAAATCATGTACAAGTTTTCAGAAGTTCAAATCTGACTTCACATTTAAGATTTGACCTTCAATGACCTTTTCAACTTTCTTCAAATTGACAAAAATCTTTTTTTCAAAATCAGCTGCAAGTCAGAAGTACAAAATCTGATTATAGATTTGAGATTTCATCTTCACTGACCTTCTCAGGGTCAGAAAAGGTATTTTTTCAACTTGCTTCAAATTGACCTATTTTTCTTCATCAATCATCAAATCATCTGCAGAGTTCTCAGGAATTCAAATCTGACTTCAGATTGAACAAATAATATTGTGAGCAACTAGGTGATGACATGTTAATGCCTTGTATACTTCTAGTGATTAGTAACTTCTAGTGTTTGCATCTGTTTGTTATTTGTATTTCAAATGTTGCTCTTCAAGTATTCTCATAATAAATATCTGAACTGAATTTCAAAAGTTAAGACTAACCTGGTGGTGTAGTAGGAATGGTTGTGGAGATGACTGGAGTGGTTGGCACTTTGGTAGTAACACCCCCACTGCATTCTGTTGGTTGCATCACACGACCCATGAACAATATGGCTTTAGTGACATCATCGCGTATTACAAACAAGAATGGATGGTCTGCTCTAAACTCAATTGGAAATTGTATAGATGTCACTCCAATAATTATAGCTGTTGCAGCTGCTGCCTCTGTACCTATATCAAAGATGGATTTTTGTTATTGACACCATCATTGTTTTATTGAAAAAATAACATATATACAATATATTGACACCACCATTTAATGTGAACCATTCTTCTAAGACATAGTTCATACTATAAAAATGATTACTGATAGACAGACCTCAAATTTTAGTATGTACTGATGAAAGGTCTTACCAATATTTTATACATGTATACACATTTTGAACAAACCAGCTCTTAAAATACAAGTGCTGCTCAGGGTTAATTGGGTGTTTCAAGAACTGCACTTGGCATGCTTACAAAGTCGCCATGTGATCGTTGGTAGATTCATTCAATGAAGTGTGGAATCCATTCAATAATTTTGAGACACAATTTGTTTTCAAGAGAGATTATACCTCAGTAGAGGCACTGAATCTTGTGGCATTTTTTACTCCAATTGTCTGATCTGGGATTTGAACCATGTCTTGTTGCTCCAGAAGAACAGGTTTTTGATTTTCTTTTAATAAATTAGGCAGGCCAATTTTGGACCAGTTGTATTTTTTGAACATGTATAGATAAGAACAAACTACAACACATACCTTCCTCATTGACCTCCACAAAAGCTTTATGTAGGATACTTGTCACTTGTAGGTCTGTATCATTGCTCATGCATGTCAGAGAACCTTTGTTGAATATGGCATTCATTCCAAGAGACTTCAGGATTGCTGTCAGTTCAAATTCATAAGTGAAGGAAAATTTTGGAAGCCAAACACTGACTTCCTTCTCTTCCAGGCCATTGAATAAATGTCCAAACTTGTTATAGTCATTCACAATTTCATTTTCAAGATCTGTGATGCCAAACCTTTTGTTTGGTAGGATAACATACATGCTCAATTTGCGGTCCTTTTCCTGGCAGTCATATGGTAGTTTAAGCACTTTGCTATCAAACTTTCTGCTTTCACCATAACTGTATTTGTCTGATTTCTTAAACATCATATCTGCACAGATCTTCTCCATGGGTTTAGTGTAGAAATCTGTTGGTTGTGTGTCCTCTGGGAGGAAAGGAATCTTCCAAAGTCCTTTAAAGTAGATTGCATTCACAATCACCATGATCCCATTGGCCGAGAGGAGGGTGCAATTTTCAGTTATTTTAAACAGTTTTCCAGCCAGTTCTCTAAATGTCTCATGTAGTATGTTTGGATCATTTTTCACAAATTTTGTGAGACTCATTGCAGAGATCATTTCCTGTTCAGCCTCGTGACTTGTACCCAACATTGCTATTGCCAAGGCAGTTGTAATACTTATAGGTCCAAAGAATACATTTTCATCAGTCATGGTCTTCAGTTTCTCATAGATGTCCAATGAGAAACGATTGTGGGCTTTTGCTAAATCTTGTAGAGGGGTTGCTGCTTCAATTGTCATGGTTACACATAGTAGTGTTGCCAAGACTCCTAATACTAACTTTTGTATCATCTTCCTATAAAAGTGTCAAGATATTGTCAACATTGAGAATATTGAAGTTACTCAAAATAAATCAAAGTGAATTGGTATTGCTTGAAATGTATTGTTTGTAAATATTTTTCTTCTAATGATTTTATTTAGACTTATTCCAAACTAGTTGAAGTCTTACCTTCAATCACCAACAGCATCAGTGATGAAGGATGAAACGTTCAGTGTGTTTTAGTAATACAATCTAGCCACCTTCTCTAATTTGCCATCTCATCATGATCATGCATTAGTGCATTAACTCAGGGATTTTAATTATTGAAGATTAATCATTGTATTTTGTATTTTGGTTCGTTGTTTTGATTATGCTATTGACATTAGTCTACAATGCAAGTTTGCTGATTGGATCAGCAACTTCATCAAGTAAATTGAATATAATGGTTTGATTTGAAAGGGCCTATTATTATATTTATAGATTGCTAAATGATTTGTATAAATAGAGCTAGGGGAGATAATGCTGCATTGAATATATGTCTAGTATGAAAACAAAAACAGAAGCTATGATGACTCATGATGACTGGTAATGAATTGTGAATCTATTTAATTAAAATTTTTATGGTATTTTGAAAGAGAAAATGATCACTCCAACCAAGTCAACTTAACCTATGTAATCTTTTGTGAAATCTCATCAAAGGTTAATTATCAGATTCGTGTTTGTTGTATGTGTATTCACAGTTAAAGTATTTTTGATATACATGTATATAGTACCCTAGAAAATTGAAAAGTGGAAAATCTGATTTCTCAATTTAACTTTTATTGCATTATTGAAAGATGAAACCAACTCTTCTGAACATTTCAATTTTAATACTTCAAAAATATCCTTTTTATTATAATTATCTATCAAATGAGTTTCATATCAGTGCAAGCTTTGCACTTAGGTGGTTATTTGCAGGACTACACAACACTTAAATGCCATAAATCATTTCAACATTTATATTATCAACAGCATTTATTGATATATGTTTAACAGATTTTTTGGCTAGTATCATCACATTCCTTTAGTTTTTCTACAGGCCTTTGTTCTACGTCTCAAACACCTGACTTTTCTCTTCCTGCACCTGCATTTCTTCTCACATGTGTTCCTTGGTGGAACACTTTCTTTGTTCATGTAGATAACTCCATTCTCAATACATGCTGTAAAATAAAGAGTTAGAGAGACATTGACTCATTGCTGTATTTGCCCCATACTTTTTTGGAGAAACTAAATAATCCCAAAAGCACTCAATGTCCTTTTTTGCTGTTTGATACATTCACTGTTATTCCCCTTTGTGCCCTTGTCCTAGCTGTGCCAGTAGAGATACTTGAAATCTTCTAACATGAGGTTAAATTTGAAATAAAATTTTGTCAGAATAGCACATTTTCACTAAATCATTTTCTCATGAAAACACAAAGTATACTCTCATATTGCATACCTGTTTTTGGAACTTTGGGTGTAGTCATAGATTCAGTGGTAGGTTCAATTGTTGGTTCCATCGTAGGTTCAGTTGTAGCTTTAGTTGTTGGTTCTGTTTTTGGTTCGGTTGTAGGTTCAGTTGTAGGTACAGTTGTCATTGGTGGTTCAGTGGTAGGTCCACAGTCAAAGTTATCCCAAGCAAACAGCTCCCCATTTTCACAATATGTTCCATAACACCAGACTTTGCCATCAGGCTGAACTTGCTTTCCTTCTTCTATGGTTTCACCAGGCACACAGCCACCTGAAGTTATGGATTTATGTATTACCATGTAAAGTTGCAAATTCAGTATCACTTCAGAGTTATATCACATTGTTTTAATGGTTTACTTTGTCACCACTAAGTGGTGGCATATTGTTATGGTCTCCATTTTTTGTGGCGGTGGTTGGTGATCGGCGGGTGAGATTGGCGTCTGTAACAAATTCTTAAAACTTCCAATAACTTAACAAATACTGTTTAGACTGATTTCATTTTTTCCAAATCATGTACATGTTTTCAGAAGTTCAAATCTGACTTCACATTTAAGATTTGACCTTCAATGACCTTTTCAAGGTCTTAAAAAAGGTCAAAAAGGTATTTTTTCAACTTGCTTCAAATTGACAAAAATCTTTTTTTCAAAATCATCAACAAGTTTTCAGAAGTTCAAATCTGACTTCACATTTAAGATTTGACCTTCAATGACCTTTTCAAGGTCTTAAAAAAGGTCAAAAAAGGTATTTTTTCAACTTGCTTCAAATTGACATATTTTTCTTCATCAATCATCAAATCATCTACAGAGTTCTCAGGAATTCAAATCTGACTTAACAAATAATATTGCGATCAACTAGGTGATGACATGTTAATGCCATGTATACTTCTAGTTATTAGTAACTTTTAGTGTTTGCATCTGTTTGTTATTTGTATTTCAAATGTTTTTCTTCAAGTATTCTAATAATAAATATCTGAACTGAAATTTGAAAGTTAAGACTAACCTGGGGTTGTAGTAGGAATGGTTGTGGAGATGAATGGAGTGGTTGGCACTTGTGTAGTAACATCCTTACTACATTCTGTAGGTTCCATCACACGACCCATGAACAATATGGCTTTAGTGACATCATCGCGTATTACAAACAAGAATGGATGATCTGCTCTAAACTCAATTGGAAATTGTATAGATGTCACTCCAACAACAATGGCTGTTGCTGCTGCTGCCTCTGTACCTATAACAAAGATGGATTTTTATTATTGACACCAACATTTTTTATTCAAAAAATAACATATATACAATATATTGACACCACCATGTGAACCATTCTTCTAAGACATAGTTCATACTATAAAGATGATAACTGAAAGACAGACTTCAAATTTTAGTATGTACTGATGAAAGGTCTTACCAATATTTTGTACATGTATACACATTTTGAACAACCCAGCTCTTGAAATCCAAGTGCTGCTCAGGTTTAATTGAGTGAACTGCAGTTAGCATGCTTACAAAGTTGCCATGTGATCGTTGGTAAATTCATTCAATGAAGTGTGGAATCCATTCGATAATTTTGAGAGACAATTTGTTTTCAAAAGAGAGATTATACCTCAGCAGAGGCACTGAATCTTGTGGCATTTTTTACTCCAATTGTCTGATCTGGGATTTGAATCAAGGTCTTATTGCTCTAGAAGAACAGGTTTCTGCTTTTCTTTTAATAAATTAAACAGGCCATTAGGTTGTTGAAACCATTGTAAGCAATTTTGGACCAGTTGTATTTTTTGAACATGTATAGATAACAAACTACAACACATACCTTCCTCATTGACCTCCACAAAAGCTTTATGTAGGATGCTTGTCACTTCTAGGTCTGTATCATTGCTCATACGTGTCAGAGAACCTTTGTTGAATATGGCATTCATTCCAAGAGACTTCAGGATTGCTGTCAGGTCAAATTCATGAGTGAAGGAAAATTTTGGAAGCCAAACACTGACTTCTTTCTCTTCCAGGCCATTGAATAAATGTCCAAATTTGTTATAGTCATTCACAATTTCATTTTCAAGATCTGTGATGCCAAACCGTTTGTTTGGAAGGATAACATACATGCTCAGTTTGCGGTCCTTTTCCTGGCAGTCATATGGTAGTTTAAGCACTTTGCTATCAAACTTTCTGCTTTCACCATAACTGTATTTGTCTGATTTCTTAAACATCATATCTGCACAGATCTTCTCCATGGGTTTTGTATAGAAATCTGTTGGTTGTGTGTCCTCTGGGAGAAAAGGAATCTTCCAAAGTCCTTTAAAGTAGATTGCATTCACTATTACCATGACTGTTGCAGCATTGAGTGCACCTTGTGGAATCAAATTCTTGATTTTGTCATTTGTATTGTCCATAACCCATTCATTAATAGCCTCTCTGACATCTTCAAATGCATTCTTGAAGTCAACTTCATCAATTTCCGCATCGTAGTTAGTTTGAACATCGTCAAGAAACTCTTGGATGAAAGGGTGTGTCTCCTCAGCAAAGATCCCATTGGCTGAGAGGAGGGTGCAATTTTCAGTTATTTTAAACAATTTTCCAGCCAGTTCTCTAAATGTCTCATGTAGTATGTTTGGATCATTTTTCACAAATTTTGTGAGACCCATGGCAGAAATCATTTCCTGTTCAGCCTGTGGACTTGTACCCATCATTGCTATAGCCAGGGCAGTTGTAATACTTATAGGTCCAAAGAATACATTTTCATCAGTCATGGTCTTCAGTTTTTCATAGATATGTATCGAGAAACGATTGTGAGCTTTTGCTAAATCCCGCAGAGGTGTGGCTGCATCAGTTGTCATGGTAACACATAGCAGTGTCGCTATGACAACTACAACTAATTTTTGTATCATCTTCCCTAAATAAATTGTAGAGAAATTGTTAACACAGTGTATTACAAAAATTCAATTATACTATTATAATCATTATTTCTGAGAAATAAATCAGTGTGCTGTAATAAGAAATAAAGATGAGTTGAAAATACATTATGTCTAATAAGGATCAGCTTCTGAAATTGATTTTCTTTGTATTATACATAAAGTCTCACCTGTTATATCACCAACAACTTCTGTTCAACTGTACAACCAGTATTGTGGCTTTATACGAACATAATCTAGGCATCACTGGCTTCAAATTTTTACCCTCATTATTAAGCATGAGTTCACATTTCGTTCAAGGATTTCAATTATTGAAAAGTGAAAGATTAATCATGGTAATTGCATATTCTGCATAGGTGCTATGATTTTTAATTATTTCACGTTAAGTGTCATTTTAATTTATAATGCATGCTCATGTTTTTATTGGTCAGTTCTGATAAAGATCTGATGAAGATAAGTGTGACATGGAAATAAAAAACAAAAATTAATAATGCATTGTGATTCATTTAATTATTAATTAAAAATATTGACCAGGTGTCAATCAGTCATTTTCAGTGAAAACCTATTTCATCACCATAAAAATTCCAAAATAATTATTCTGCACTTACCGGTATGTTTAAATTGATTAAGTAATTTATGTATACCATAGGCTTCTTGTTTGGTGGAAGTTTATGAAACTGTTCTAATGGCGTGTGGTGTCATATTTACTCATTAGTTATACCTCAAAACTATCATAAGATTGTTTTTTATCTATTTATGTGAGTGTGAACCAGACTGTTCATGTTTGAATTTGTAATTTCAGAGGGTTGATCTGGAGATGTCTGTTAAAACTACCAGAAAACCATACAGTTAATGTTTGAATTTGTAATTTCAGAGGGTTTATCTGGAGATGTCTGTTAAAACTACCAGAAAACCATACAGTTTATGGTGAATTTGTATATTCAGAGGGTTGATCTGTAAATGTCTGTTTAAACTACCAGAAAACCATAAAGTTAATGTTTGAATTTGTAATTTCAGAGGGTTTATCTGGAGATGTCTGTTTAAAATACCAGAAAACCATACAGTATGTTTGAATTTGTAATTTCAGAGGGTTTATCTGAAGATGTCTGTTAAAACTACCAGAAAACCATACAGTTAATGTTTGAATTTGTAATTTCAGAGGGTTTATCTGGAGATGTCTGTTAAAACTACCAGAAAACCATACAGTTAATGTTTGAATTTGTAATTTCAGAGGGTTTATCTGAAGATGTCTGTTAAAACTACCAGAAAACCATACAGTTAATGTTTGAATTTGTAATTTCAGAGGGTTTATCTGGAGATGTCTGTTAAAACTACCAGAAAACCATACAGTATGTTTGAATTTGTAATTTCAGAGGGTTGATCTGAAGATGTCTGTTAAAACTACCAGAAAACCATACAGTTTATGGTGAATTTGTATTTTTAGAGGGTTTATCTGTAGATGTCTGTTAAAACTACCAGAAAACCATACAGTTAATGTTTGAATTTGTAATTTCAGAGGGTTTATCTGGAGATGTCTGTTAAAACTACCAGAAAACCATACAGTTAATGTTTGAATATGTAATTTCAGAGGGTTTATCTGGAGATGACTGTTAAAACTACCAGAAAACCATACAGTATGTTTGAATTTGTAATTTCAGAGGGTTTATCTGGAGATGTCTGTTAAAACTACCAGAAAACCATACAGCTTATGCTGCCCTGGTAGACAAAGGAACACACTCAATGTATGCCAACATCCACCAACAATATCCAATCAAAAGTAGAAAGTTGCTGAGAATCTTACAAAGGTATGAATTTAGAATTACACTACCTAACACGTTTTAATGCATTAGCTAGCCCATTAATTATTGTTCTGATTGAATTATTTTTGCTATTGTTGTAAATTTATAGCTAATTAAGCAACCTCAGGATTTGACTTTGGAAATAAAATTTAAAACATTTTCAAAATAGGGTACATGTTCTTGTTGATTATTGAATTGAATAATGAATATACATGTCCTTACATTTCTAAATCATTGTTTAATAATGTATTTATTCTTAGGACTTTATCATGTATAGCCCATTGGTCTCCTATTTTTGGTGAGACACAGTTCCTGCCCCTCATGGCATTCCCATTTGTGAAGCTCTTCCAAAACAACCAACTTGTGTGCTTTGAGATTATTGCATCCATATTAGGTAAGCTTTCTCCTAGTCCATATTAGGCATTAGATCATCTTGTTCACATGGATTTAGTGTACATATTGCCCTTATCATTCACTATCATAGATTCTATAAATGAATTATATTTTGTATATGTAGATTTGCATATTTTGATTACATAATTCTATTTTGTTTACGTACATACAGATTTCCAATCATCTACTTGTTTTCAGTAAACTGGTGTCAACACTGGTTTGAGTTCTTTCCGAACCCTCCCATTAACATGCTGGCAATGGTAGAGAATCTATTAGGTCACCATGACAAACATTTACTTCAGCACTTTGTCAAATATGGAGTCACCTCACAGGTAGGCTAATATTGTAAGATAATTCACTGATGTTTCGTGACTTTTGGGGAGTATGGCATTTTAGCAAGTAAATATTATATCTGCTATAGGCGGACCATAAATAATTTTCCATCTTCCTCATCAATTATATGAAAGAGAGATGGTCTAGTGAAGTAAATCAGATTGCTTAAAAGGTTTGTTGATTTCATGTCAAAATTGATATTTAGTTGGCCTGTAAAATATTCTTTTAGTGTTGATTTTGTGAATGCAAATCCCAAGGTAAGGTTGTTGATTCTTTCAAAAATGGATGTCTCTTGATATGTCTGCATATTATTTCAGAAAAATGAAATTATTAAATCTCACCAATTATTTCCTTATTTTCAACACCACAAGTGGTGACGTATTGTTATAGATGGTTGTTGGAGTTTGGTGTCTGTAACAAATGGCAAGTGATGACATCTTGCATGTTAATGCCTTGTACTATAGATTTATAACATATAAATATTTCAGATTTATGCCTGGCCACTTCTGGAGACTGTGATGTCAGAGGTGCTTACAAAAGATGAGTGGCTGATGGTGTGGGATAATATATTTAGTAACCCCCCTGGTTACATGTTACTGCTCATTGTGGCTTACTGCATATGTAACAGAGGGCCACTCATGAACTGCACTGAGTTGGATGATTTCAAAGTAGGTGGACATCTCTTATATTTTTTATCAAACTGAGTGGCAACATATTGTTAAACTCACCATTTTGTGAATGGTGTTTATTGTCTGCATTTTGTGGTTAGTGTCTATAACTGGTTTTGCCACCAGCAATAACTAGTGGTGATATTTCATGTTAATGCCTTGCTTTTTGAATTAAATAAGGTTACTGTTGGTTATTATATGATGCCCCGGGATCATTGCTAGGGGCTTTCATAAAGTTGAATAGTTCCTAAGTCCAATGTTCTTTTACTGTTACATCATGAAATCTATGGTTATAACAATTGATATATGAATCATAAATCATAAATGACCTCCTGGCAAACAAGGCAGGTGACGTTCATTTTTTAACTTTTCACTAAGCAATTAATATTGTTTGTTCACCCGCTATGGCTCAAGTCCACCCGCTATGGCTCAGTGAAAGAGTCAAGGTTACCAATATCGCTTGGCCTGGGTTCGATTCCCGGTTCAGACAAGTTTGTTTTTGCATTATGTAATTCTGGGTGTTTCACTAAGTGGTTCACGACTTGTATAAAAGGCTGTGGTGTGTACTTGAATGTCTATGTACCCATGCACAAAAAAGAACACTATCTTCGAGCGTAAAATACGTAAAATATGGAATATACCAACGAGGTATTGCTCGCCAAATATGGCGGTAACCAAGATACAATACAATACAATAACTCAGCAAGTTAGAAATTATCTCTTCTTTTGTTTGGTACTAGGGATTCAAAAGCTAGAAAATGTGATAGGATTGCAGAAATGTTGAGACTATGGGAGCTAAATGGCCATGTAAGATGAAACTAACATAAAGTACTAATTGTATTTCAGTACTTCTTCCACCATCGCAATGCAGTAGATGTGCGAGAGGTTATAGAGGAAGCATACAGACTTCAAAAGGGAACACCAAATGATGTCAACCCAGAAGTGAAATTGGAAGACTTTCAATCACTCACTAAAGGCCAATATCCTGTGTTTAACAAGTTCCCAAAGTTTATTGTGGACTATCAGGTATAATGTGCAACACATATAGTACTGATGCACTGACTACATTTATTAGGGGAACACCTCTGAAAGTTTATTTGTGGAACACTTTCCCAATAGAATGCTTTTTAGTACCATAGGTGTTCCATTGGCACAGGTTTTACTGTATTCGATAAAAACATATTTTGCTTGATATAGGCATTGTCAACTTATCTTTCTAAATGCATATTTCAGCATGTTGGAGCAATGAGAATAGAAAAAGCAGTAATGGGTTTTAAACATAGTGTTTCTTGTAATATTCAAATTCTGTAGAGTACATGTGCTGAATTTAATTCCATGCTTATAGGTCAGGGAACGAGAGAAGATACAGAAGGAAGAGGAAGAATACCTCAGACAAAGGTGAGAATTATAATTCTAAATCAAAATTGCAATGTAATAAAATTCTTACAATGTAAGATACAAGTACAATATCCTCTAAATAAATGATTGTGCATGAAATTTTCTGGAAATTATAATGAAAGTTTGGTGATCGATGTTTAAAATTTAGTGGTCAAACTCCAGTTAGTTTCTCTCTTTGCATTATTTGTTGATCACCCCTTGTATCTATACAAAAAAAACAATATTCTTACTTGGCAATCATGGACGTTGCATTCAACAACAAAACAGACCAAGAGAAATCTGTTTCTCTGAGAATCATTAAATATATGTTAAAATACTTATCAATTCAACTTAAAACTTTAACAGACACAAGGGCACACATGGCTGGGTAAATTACATGTCCGCCATTTTGATCTTCAAAGTGTGACTTTTTATATCAATGTGTGTCTTGTTCTATTGCAGACAGTTAACATTGGAGCTTCATCGTGAGGCAGAGAAACACAGGAGGGAGGAAGGAAACTGGCAGAGACAGCAAGAGATTTTACAACAAGCAGAGGAAAGACGTAAACACATCTTGGCTGAGGAAGAGCAGAAACTGCAGGACCAGAGAACAAGGTCAGTGAATGAATATAGGTCATATAATGGGAGGAAAGATATGGAATTTATTCTGAGGGAAAATATGATATTTTCTTGATGCTGTTGGCTGAGTCTGAATCTTTACTCACTGCTTTTAGAAATGATCAAATTTATGTTTTATTGATGAAAAATATTAGAATACATGTTAGATGGGATAATTAAACTAATGTATTAATTTCAGTTTTATAGCTAGTAATGGCTAAAAGTTTCAATGAATAGAAATATTGTTGTGACACCAAACATGTTTGTCATTGGATTGTCATAACTTCATATTTCATGTTTGAATATCGATTGTAAATGCCAAATTAAAGTGATCCTGAAATTATAAGTATTGTACTGTACTGATTTCATATTTAGAATATTGATTGAAAAATAAACAGCTTGTGGGCAATTCATTGAGTCCATTCTGCACTGTCTCTTATTGTCCTGAATCAAATGATATTTATTCTGAAATGCTGTTTTGAAATGGTTTTAATGTTATTTTGATGTGTTTCATTTATTATTAATATTACATTAAGGTAGTCTCTTGTACAGGATTCTGCAGAGTCACATAAATCTGGGAGATAATAACTGGCTATTGTGGTAGACAAAACAGTAGATGCACTAATCTGCACAAACGATATGTAAAGAACGGGGGTCTTGGAAAATGATCAATCAAATACATAAACACACTGTCAGTATTCTCTGAGTTTTGGACAATAACTTTAATTTCTTTACTGATCATCATGGATGAGAAATTTTTGTAAGATTGAATTAAACTGTTGCAAAGATTTTTCATCAATTTTCCAACATGATTTTTTGTCTCTATGTACAGAAAATGTCCTTCCAGACCATGTGATTGTGCTGACATTGTGTTGGTTGTACCTCTGAAGAATGCTGTCCATGTTGTGCTGGTTGTGCTGATTGTTCTGTGGATCTAATCGTGGTTGTGCACTTTTGATATCAAAAACAACTTCATTACTTAAGCAACCTACAAGATAAAACCAAATATAATATCCTATTAATTACTTGTAATCTTCACATGGGTCATATGACGATCGTTATGTTGGATCTCAGGGAAATCTGTAATGTTTTTAGAAATAGATTTTTGAGATGTAGTTTGTGCAATGATAACCAAATTAAGGACTATTTGCTTAAATTACCCATAATGCCTTTTGCATCTGGCGGCAATCCTGTGATATCTGTAATCCCAAAGTTGAGAAAGGGTCGACCGCGGGCCATTCCTTTCCGCACAATGTTGATCCTTATTTCCCCATTGTACATTTCCTGCCCGTTGATCATGGTCTTGCCATTCTTCAGGTTTATATTACACTGTTTCCCCGTAAGATCAATCTTCCCCAGTTGGGTCATGTGGGTTCTTGTTTTAGCCCCTCCTAGCCAGTCCAAGATCAGAGTTGGTCCGAGTGGTTGCATTGCCGTGATCAGTGTTGGAGTGATACTGATTTTGACCCCATCTTGCCTTATTGTCAGCTCATCTACATACTCTGTGAGTTTCCCTGGGATGTCGTTGTCGCCAGGAATGGAGATGAACTTAGAGGTGACCTCTGAATGGTATATGTAATAAGGGAATAACATTGAAATTAATATGGGGGTTACTTGTTCTGGGTCTAATGTATTATAAAGTCACTTCTACAAGCCAGAAAAAAATTGAGATTTTGTTAAGTTTGTAACTGAGCTGCCTTATATAAATAAGTTAAAATCTGAGTATTCTCACACTGCTATACCTAACACCTAGAAATGCATAAGATACTTTGTTCGTCTAATTGGATTGTTTAGTATATTTTTGAAAGTACCTTATCAACATCTAACTTTCAACCGATAAACCATTAATAAGGAACAGACAAATAAAAACCAATATATAATCATTACTAATAAGCCAAATGGGTTGCTCATGAACACCAAATGCAAGGTATAGTAGTGTGTATTCTTCGCATTTGTACTTCCCTAGTTTGTTAAAAGTGACACTTCTTATACCAAAGTTCTTTTTCATGGGTTTAATGTATCATGCGAGCATTTCGTAAGACACTCAGATAAAGGTAAATAAAGCATGGAAAAAATGGAAAAGAAGAAATACAGATTACTAATTAAAATACAAGAAATACCTAGTCCATTTTCCTGTAGAAAGAGATATGACTGCCCTGGTTGTCCAATGAAATCATAACACAACTTTTCTCCTGTTCCCTTAATTGACTGAGACACATGGGGATCACCACATACCAAGATGCCTGTAACATTAAAAGACCAATGATAGAACCCTGGGAACATACTCAATAATAGTCAGTATATAGATACAGTAAAACCTTTAAAGTATTTGGTGTTCAGAGTCAAATGTTCTCTATATTCTAACTTACCCTGCATGTTAGACCTGCAGAACTTCCTATAAGCCTGATGTTTGCAGTCACTATCCTCTTTACATTGGTAACATTTACAGTCAGTTTTGTCACATGTTTTGAATGGGTGAGACCTACACATACTGTTAGTTACACATTCAAGTCCTTCATCTACAGCAACTGGAAATATGTGAAAAGGAGAATTGGTTGTAGCTTTGGAGTTCAGCTTTGGTGGTTGTTATCTGTGGCAGGTGCTAATGTTGAAATTTTGCCTTTTGTCATTGTAGGAACCGCCTACTAGGGCCGGGATAACAACTGCGGAAAATTTTCTTCCTGGCTTATTATCAAAGGACCAATTGAATCGTTTGAATCAAAATTGCATTAAATACAAATTTTTGTCAATTTCCACATATTTAGGATTTTAGCCTGCTGCTTTCTTACTACCTCCTCAGTGGTAAAATACATGCACATGTACAAACATATTTATGTCATACTCACTTTGTTTACAATGACTCAGACTATACTCAAGTAGTTTCTGTATGTCATCAAAATAAAATTTGATTGATGATGTCAACTTTCCGAGAAGAATTTTATTCTTATCATTGTTTCCCAGAGCTTCGATCACTTGCTTATAAAACGTTATGTCATTTTTTATTTCACGTATTAGGCCCTCAATTTGTGAAGATACTGCAGCAAATCCTTCACAAATATTGGCTTTGAGGACAGACCGATCGCAATATAGATTTCCATCAAGTGTAGTACGCCAGAGGTTGGATCTCGGGCCCCCAGGGCCATACTGCTCAAGGAGGGAGTCAAGTAGTGGTGTGCCATATATGGTCGTTTGTTGGGTGTTTGCATCGTCATCAAAATTGATAAACAACATGGTGTATTCTCCTAATAGAGCCTCAATTTCACACCAGTTCTCTGTACCTGGAATACATTATTGCGGTAGAGGCTTTAATATAGATTTGTGGTTTTATAAAGTGATAAAGTGGTTCCATATTGTTATGCTATGGAGCTTCAATTCTCAAATCAATTCTTGATCTTAACAGTCAAGAAGGGGTGTTCTGGGAGTTATAAATTATAAATTATATTTTATTTATAAGTAGTCCTGCTTTTTATCGCAGAGTTTCATAGAAAGTCTATTTACACCTATTTATAATAAACCTTTTTACATGTATTGAGTTAGCATAGTTTAAAGAGAATGTCTATATGTGCCAAACCCCTTGAACACAAAAGAATAATCTCAGTAAATTGAGTATCACCTAAATGAAAGTCAACTGCCAAGTACTGTTTCTAAAACTATATTCTCATCCATATCGAGCAATCTGACACAATTCTCTATGGACAGGGAGTTTAAAATGATTCAAAACAATACCATATAGATATAACATAATACAATATATGTACAATAAAACACAATAGAATCTAAGACAATACAATTCATATACTACAATATGATGCAATACATGTTCAATAAAATTCAATACAATACATGTATTACAATACAATACAATACAATACAATGCAATGCAATACAATGCAATACAATGCAATACAATACAATGCATGTATTACAATACAATAAATACAATGCAATACAATACAATATAATTTAATACAATACAATACATGTATTACAATACAATTATATATGTATTACAATACAATACAATACAATACATGTTCTATATAATAAATAATACAGATTTTAGCTTATACCTTTAGTGCATCTACATGTTGCACAGTCACATTCAGGAAGAAATGTTGAGTCTCCTTGACATGAATATGCCTGGCCATGGAAGACATCCTCTGTACATCTGGTACATGCGTCACAATACACAGACCCAGCTGAAGGCGGAAACATTGCAGTGTTAGCCTTTTTAGAGGATTTTGTTACGTCTAAGGGGAGGCATCAAAAGTTTGATGTCGGATCGGAAACTAAATAAATCTAGTTTTGACTCTGACCCCCCCTCCCCCCCAAAACTATGAAAGTTGATCGCTGACTTCCGGTTTAAGAATTTGAAAAATTATTGCTAAACACGATCTAGTTTTTGTTAATTCCTATCGTATTTGCGGCTTTTAACAACTACTGATAGAATAGAATCCATTGGAATGATCTTGACGAAGAAAGCATCAGGTAAAATCTTTATTTTTAAACCATTCCAAGGCATTCTGGGTCGAAATTGCCAAAAATTTGAAATGTTGAAATTTGTCGGATAGCAAACTGAAATGGGTTTGAACCCCCCCCCCTAACTAGATTTATTTAGTTTTCTATCCGACATCGAACTTTTGATGCCTCCCCTAAGATTGTTAAGAGGGCCTGGGCTCCAAGAGCAATTATTATTGGCCCGCTAATAAATAAGTAATACGTATACAGTTATTAATTATTTCATAATACAAATAATTTTGACTAATACTGAAGTTCAGCAAGTCTGTATCATTTATAGTGTGTTTATTAGCATGATTTTCACCATCGGAGGTCACCAAATGGTGCCATTTAGGTTTGTCGCATTAATTTTTTTCAAAATCTACAGAATCTGGAAAACGTTTCAACTTACGGTTTTGTCCGCTTACATAACAAATGAGGAAGGATGTCGCTATTAAAGTAGCACCTAACGTATCCAACATTTCACAAATCTCTCAATCTCCTATAGCATAAGCATATTCAGAGTACTTTTGACATTATTTACTGGAAATCGAGTATGCCATTGAGTTTGCTAATCCCATCGAATGAAGCTCAGAGAGATACAGAGAATGCCTCTGTCCATCTATCTTAAATTTATCTATTGCTTGATTTTGTTCTTATTTTACGTACACTCGCTTTATGACGAAACATGATCTGCCAATTGAATGATAAGTAGAACAGAAATGGCACCCGTTTTTGAAAAGTATCAGAGTAATTAAATATAACAGTTCTCTTAACAGTGACTTTCATACACAAGCATTCAATGGGATTCACTATGCCCTGGTGTTGCCATTTTCTAGTTGTCATTGTCTCTTATCTGTGCATCACTGTTTAAACCTTGACTGTCATCCCAATTTGAAAGCAACACACATCAATGTCAGCACCACATGTGAAAGTTCCATTGTTCATTTATACATGATTCATTATGCATATTCGCTGATGAATGAAATCTGACTGACTTTAAATGATATCAATCATACAATTCATGCATTGAACCATGAGCTTACATTTTGTATATATGTTACAGGAACTGAAAGTAAATGAACCATGAGCTGTTAAATACTGTAGGTTGCAAGCATTGAACTGTGATTTGATATATATTACAGGGTGCAAGCATTAAACCATGATTTTTTGTTATATATAACAGGGTGCAAGCATTAAACCTTGATCTGGCATATGTTACTAGATGCAAGCATTGAACCATGAACTTATATATGTCACAGGAACTGAAAGTAAATGAACCATGAACCGTTAAATACTGCAGGTTGCAAGCATTGAACTATGATTTTTTGTTATATATAACAGGGTGCAAGCATTAAACCTTGATCTGGCATATGTTACTGGATGCAAGCATTGAACCATGAACTTATATATGTCACAGGAACTGAAAGTAAATGAACCACGAATCGTTAAATACTGCAGGTTGCAAGCATTGAACCATGATTTGTTATATATTACAGGGTGCAAGCATTAAACCTTGATCTGTCATATGTTACTGGATGCAAGCATTGAACCATGAACTTATATATGTCGGTCAGGAACTGAAAGTAAATGAACCATGAACCGTTAAATACTGCAGGTTGCAAGCATTGAACCATGATTTGTTATATATTACATGGTGCAAGCATTAAAGCTTGATCTGTCATACATTACTGGATGCAAGCATTGAACCATGAACTTATATATGTCAGTCAGGAACTGAAAGTAAATGAACCATGAACCGTTATATACTGCAGGTTGCAAGCATTGAACTGTGATTTGTTATATATTACATGGTGCAAGCATTAAAGCTTGATCTGTCATACATTACTGGATGCAAGCATTGAACCATGAACTTATATATGTTACAGGAACTGAAACTAAATGAACCATGAACCGTTAAATACTGCAGGTTGCAAGCATTGAACTGTGATTTGTTATAAATAACAAGGTACAAGCATTAAACCTTGATCTGTCATATGTTACTGGATGCAAGCATTGAACCATTAGCTTATATATGTTAATATATGCTACAGGAACTGAAACTAAATGAACCATGAACTGTTATGTACAGCAGGTTGCAGGCATTGAACTGTGAATTGTTATATATAACAGGGTGCAAGCATTAAACCATCATCTGTTATATATTTCAGGGTGCAAGTGTTGACCTGCGATCTATTATTTATTACAGAGTACAATCATTGGACCATAATCTGTTATATTCTATATATTATATTTCAATGCAAGCATATAATTATGACAGTTTATATGTGACAGGGTGCAAACATTGAACCGATCTATTATATATAACAGTGCACACATTGAACCATAATATTTTATATGTTACAGGATGCAAGCATTGAACCGAGAGGTGCAACTTAAGGAACTTGAATTATTAGATGCCACACGCAGGAAAGCAATGCATCAGCAGACAAAGCAGGCACAGAAACAACTGAGAAATCTGGATGAAGAAATACTCAAAAAAGTATGTGTGGAGATATCACTATGGCATGTAGAGTCAATGGAGAGGTTAAGCAAATACGGTTTTTCAAAACGTATACGTAAACGCAAAGTACATTGAATCAACATAGGATTGTATCGCTTTAGTCTACTTCAGATACCCGTTCAACTTCAAAGTTGCGTGTTTAGAACGGGAGATTTTAAATTTCACGTTGCTATCAACGGGAATCATTATACTCATGTCTGTTGAATACTATCCTTGCAATTTTGATTTCGATGCAGAGTATAATTCTTTCTGAAGAAGATGATGTATGTTACGCATGATTTAACTCCAATAATCTTACGAAACGAGCTCGTTTAAAATATGTATTAGAAAACCCGCTATTGAACTTCATCAATGGGATACTATGTAATCATTACAAGCTATGGTGTAGTCTAAACAAACACTAGAGCTGAACGGCTATTTATGTGTGAACTCTACATGTATTTGTATAGGGCCGATTGATACGTTTAAGTTGCGTTTTGGATTTTATACGGTAGCTTAACCTCTCCAATATGAATGTTTATTACCATGACAATAGAATCACAGTAATAAAAATGCTGTAAGGCTACGTTTCTATGACAACCAGAGTTGGTATAATTTTGCTGTCCAAATATATGCTGCTATGACAACTAAATTCACTATAATGAATATTATCCCTAAATCTAGCTTTGAATGACTATTAGATACATTGTTATAGTATTGTCCCTAACTGTAGGTTGCTATGACAACTAGATTCATTTTAATGAATGTTACACCTAACTATAGGTTGCTATGAGAGATGTTGAGACAGAAGCTGCCGTAACAGATGCCGAAGTCAAGAATCTGGAGTTGCAGCTGCAGAAGAAATGTTTGGAACAGGTAGGTGGAGCACATTATTATTTTCATCAATAGTCTTTTCCAAAAATAAATCCTGACCCTTTGGTGAACTTAAAAACCAGGGTATATGGAATTCATTTATGATGTCATAGATTGCAGGTAACTAGCAAGGTTTTCACTCAAATGTAGGATTATTTCTTCCTATCAAAAATATTACTTTCCTGCTACTTTTGGAATGTTTCATAGAATTTTGTTTGTTTACAGTACTCCAGACATCTTATGACATTGTGAATTTAGCCAAGATATCCTAGCTTATTTTATGTGGTAAAAGTGGCTTGGTTTGTTTGAAAGGTTTTGCACACAATCAATCTTGGATGAAAAGGCAAGTTGAGAACGCATGATAGGAAAATAGGAGTTTATAGAATGAAAATTCACACACACACTTTCTTTATATCATTTCATGATGAAACACAATTTGAACATAAATCAGACCCAATTGGTAGGTTTGAACTTGAATTAATCAATTATCATTGCTATCTATTATCTTCAGGGTTAATTTGCTTCGTGATGAAGTTTTTGACAAAAAAGGATTTTGTGCCTGTATGTGTTACACCTTAAAAATTCATCATTATAAAGCTTTACAGACAATACACTTCGTAAAGATGCATTATTCAACCTGCTTTGAAACTCTAACCATTTTGACACAGGAACTGCTGAGAAAGCAAGAACAGTCAATACTGAAACACAACATGACAACTGATGCACATCGGAAAGTGAGAGAGTTTGAGGATAAACTGCTCAAGGAAACAGTCAAAGAAGAAAGCAAAAGAAATAGGAATGATAGAAAGGTAAGTTTTGCATAAATGATTCTATTAGATTTCACTCATCTTTGATGCGAGGACAAAGTCATTGATACATAATACTGATTTCATCCAGAAGTCCAAAAATATATTTTATTCTGTCTATCTGTATTCTCAATACATGTTTGTCACTCACCTTTTGGCCTGAGTGCTTACATATTTAGCCTACTTGTCTTTTATGTTCATGAGACTTACATTGTGTCTACCAAAGGGACCCACAGTTTACATACATTTTGTTGAAATGTTTCATCTGGATACAAACTCTAATCAGACATTGATACTGCAGGCTAAAGTAGAGAACAGTATGTTAGGCATAATCATGTTTACTAATTTTGTCCAGAAGTACATTTACAGACAGAAAATTAAAATATTTAAGTCTAACATTCAAACATTTTTCACACAGGCCATGGTACAATATGGTAAGCCTTACATACTGTTTAATATACATGTATACATACTATATACATGTACCCGTATATGTATATCTTTACATTGATATTATAGACTGCAGTAGAAAGACTTGCTAGGTCACAACATGAGCAACAGGACAGTGAACTGGCATCACAGTTACAAAGAAGACACCTGGCAGATGATCTAGATGCTGCACAGAGGATAAAACAGGTCAGCTTACATACAGAACACTGAATCAGCCAGCCACATTTATGACATTACCTATCTTTACATACAATGGGCAAATACACAATCTTGGCTAAACAGATAATATATATGGGTAGTCACATGCCAATGTGTAGCTGGAATGATGTGAAATAATTCTGCTCCTGTACTAAAATAGTTAATAAAATTCTCATGTAATTGAATTTTCCCCCTATGTTACTAAATATAATCCCCTTGCAGCTGTCCCCTTGTAACTAAATTCTGCCATGATGTTAAGAAATAGGAAATATAAATTCATATGTAACTGAATTCTACATTTTCAGATGGAGGAAATGCAAAGTTTCAACCAGACCATAGAACAAGAGATCAATGACTTGATGGGAGACTTAGAGAATATTCAGGACACTATCTCCCCTGCTAAGTTTAATAACAAAATAAAAGGTTAGAATCAATGAATGGTATTATAGACGTATAACACTAATCTGAGATAATCTTTTTGGTTCATGATTTATTGATTTCAAAATCACCCAAGAAGACATATTGTAGTACATATTGAATGGGTGACACTTTTACGGCACAATAGAAATATTGAAGTTTAATTTTTTAAAGTTTAACAAGGTATATTCCAAGCTCAACACAATTTTTTGTATACTTCAAAGTTGTGGATGTTGGAGAAGAATGCTGTAGAATTGTCTGTAATACATTAGAGAAATATAATATCATCTTTTTGTATCTATTTTATTATTGAAACAGTTGCTATTTGTTGTTCTGTCAATTATTCTGTGAATAAATTGTTTCAGATCGTGTTAAAGATCAAATAGGAACAAGTGAATCCAACAAATGTTTGAATGACAGCCCCTCTGACACATCTGTACAATGTGAGTTCAATACTTGTTACTTGTTAATTAATTGATATATATTGTTGTGATTGGCTTGCATCAGTCTGGGTTGGCATCTTGTCATCAGATTTCCAGAAAAGCTGCTTATCTGTTCAACTTGAAATTTTACAGAAGCAATGGCAGACTAGTGCCAAAATCTCATTGGATTTTGGGCTGCAGGGTAAAATACATCGTGGTCATTTTGCTATTTATAGTGTGATATTTATTATTTCATGTCCTGTTTATAAAGGTATCACTAGTACTTGAACAATTTATGAGATGGTTAAAGTTACCCTAAACTATCCAGGCTTATAAATATGTGTTGAATCTAATTAATCATTGATGTTTTAGTTTCACTGGATAGAGGGCGTCACAGAATGGACACAAGGGAACAAGATTTGATGGCCGATGTTCGAAGATTAAGAGAAAAGTTAGCACATGACAGTAGAATGATGAGACCCCCTCTGGTTGGACAATAAATGTGTTTTGTTTGATCTTGCACCGAGCCTTTTCCGTTGAATATAATTTCTCAGCTAGCTTGAGCAGTTTCACTGTATGAATACCCAGAACATATGATCTCATACTACACTTTAGTGCCTAAACTATATTTTGTGCCTTATAACATAGAAAATTCTGGAGAATCATATTGAACCTTGAATTGACTAAAGTTCACCTCGTCAATATTAATTATTAAATACAGTAAAACCCGAAACTACTCTGTCAGTGAATCACTGTTCTGTAACCATTAACTTAATATAAAATGAATTTGTGTAAGTGGAATACCCTTAAATGGTAGAACATTATTGTGAGATACAAAAGGTTTTCTATTTGCTCATTTTTATTCACAAGTGGTGATAATTGTTAGTCTCCAATTTTTTGTTGATGGTGTTTGGTGGTTGGTGTTCAGCATTCAGCGGTTGGTGTTAGGTGTTTGTAACAAATGGTAGGTGGTGACATTTTGCATGTTAATGCCTTGATGTACTTTGTGAGGTACTCTCAATCGAGTATTAATAATATACCGATTTGACTGGATCATGAGTTTTTCTTTATATGTGTGAAGTTTCGGTGAAATTCATACTAAACATCGATGCCTATAAGCGCCCCCCATTTTTATCAAAATCGGGGGGCGCTTAACCGCTATCTAAATCATGTCAGTAAGATCTTAGACTTGGCATGTGCTTAGAATGAATGTTGATCTAGCCAAATCGAACACTTTTGTGAAAAATAAATCAATAAAGCACGAAATATAGAAGATAATCTCTCAAAATCAAACATCTTAAGCTGAGTGGCCTAATTGTGACGTCACTACAAGATAGAATCCGTCCAGTGATCACAAATCATCAATTAAATGACACAACATTGTATACATTTTCAGTAAACTTTATTTATAGTATCTAAAAGTATGTACAATAATACTTCTAATAATATATATAATAAATTATGTGAAAGAAAAATAAATGTACTGTATCTATAGTGTGTATAATAAAGTACATGTACATATTTGTAACATAGAAAATGTATATAGGATAATGTACATTAAGATCAAAACTTGTTTCGTTTTTACACTGTATAATAGCGCTTGTGGTATTTGTAGAAATACATGTAGAATTGCACATATAGAAAGAGCGTCATGCCAATAACATTTTGTATATAAAATATGAGTACAAAATAAAGCTATTAGAGTGAAGTTATAAGACACTGTCTTGTTATGATTTTCATCATACAGTAAAACCTGTCTAATCTGAACACCCGTGGGACCAGCCAAAAGCGTTCAGATTGGCAGGTGTTCAAATTTCGAGGATATTGTTGGTCGGGGGGGGGGGGGGATTTTCATTGTTCAGTCCACTATATTGAACACTTAATACTTAGTCAGAAAACAATACATGTTGTTGATGAGTTTATTCTACAATAGGCCTATAGCCTACATGTATATGCTATGTTTTATTTACATTTTGAACAATTTCATTATTTTTGGAAAAATAACTTTTTAATTTTGTCAAAAAATTTGTAATACACTGAATAAGTATATGATAGTCTTGTACGAAATCTTATGCTTATTAAATGACTTATCTCATATTATGGTTACATAGCACTGCTTTACTTTAGCTTGAAAAAGTCGTTCATTGTTGTTGGCATTAGCAATATTTGAGTAGATGCCCTCTTCAATTAATTTTTCACGAGTGCTCATTCGAGATGATGCATAATCCTTCAAAATATCAAGGGCATTCAGGATGTCAGATGTGCCTTTTTAGGAGGCATTTTAGTGAAAGGATATTACGAAGTTGAATTTTTTCTCTTTCTCATGATATAATCTTGTCTGCAAATGTGTCTGTGTTGTCTTTGTGATTATAAAACATTTACTGATTGAATCCTAGCTATCATAACAGACCCATGGGATATAAAACAGTTAAGACTTGTTCATAATCCAAATCAAAAACATCCAGTTAATTTAAAATAAGGATAAACCAATTATCTTCTTGATTCACACCTTTCTCTTAATCCATATCAAAAACATCCAGGTAATTTCTAATAATGATAAAACAATTATAATCTTGTCTGCAAATGTGTCTGTGTTGTCTCTGTGATTATAAAACATTTACTGATTGAATCCTAGCTATCATAACAGACACATGGGATATAAAACAGTTAAGACTTGTTCATAATCCAAATCAAAAACATCCAGTTAATTTAGAATAAGGCTAAACCAGTTTTCTCCCAGATTCTCACCTTTCTCTTAATCCAAACATAAAACATTCAGTTCTTTTCTAATAGGATAAACCAATTAACTCCTGTATTCACACCTTTCCAAATCATCCTGTTGTTCTCCACAATTAGGGATGTCATTGAGACTTAAATAAGTTAATTAGGACAATATTGGTTCTTTGATTACATTGCATATGTAAAGATAAATAACAACTGTAACATTGACTCAATATGTGGCTTTAATTGAAATGTCCAGACATTTGATTTCTGATAAAATGTTCAGATTAGACAGGTCAGTTTTTCAAATCTGGTTGTTCACTGTTCAGATTAGGAGGTGTTCAGATTTCAAGGTTTTTTTAACATGGGAGTCAATGGGAGGAAAAAATGGGACCGAAAAAAGGTGTTCAAATTGGAAGGTGTTCGGATTAGCCAGGTGTTCAGATATACAGGTTTTACTGTATTTAATGGAACAAGATTATAATTTAATCTCAAGTTGGGTTAAATAATATCATATCTGGGTTTAAAGAAACTCTACTGTATGTCACTTATAACAGTGGAGTACAGACACATTCAAGAGAATATCACAATAATATCATAATTCTTTGCGACTGAAGATCATCAATTTAAATATTCCTCAATTTTTCATTTCTAGAGAGACTGAGTATCACTTTTATGATTAAAACTGAGGTGCTTTATATCATTTTTTCCGACATTTTCGTTAACACTGGTTGATACATGTTAACTTGTAGAGTTGGCTGAAAATATCAATGCACTTTCACCATACAGTAGAACCTGCTAAGTGGAATACCTCTGTAAATGGAACACCTCACAAGTGGAACACCTTTTTAGTGGTCCCAAGGGTGTTCCACTTACACAGGTTTTTCTGTACTTAAGCATGGTACATTTGGCTTCTTTCTGAGATCTGGATTCCAACTTTGATCAACCTGACTAATATTGGTTCTATATCTATGTACATAATGTAAAATCTTTGGACCAATCTTGCATGCATTTTTATATACAACTGCATTAACAAGGTCATTGCACTCAGTTTTGATTTGTACATGTTTCAAAAATCCGGAAAAAAAATATTTACAAAACTCTGACACAAAACATCTTGTGACGTTTTAAAAGACCTGAACTAAAACAAAATTTTAAATCTAACAAATCAAAATTCTTTAATGAATAGATAAGTTAAAATTAAAATTTAACATAATCAGAATTCAATGATGGAAATGAACAAAAATAATATTTGAGACAAAAGAAATAATCACTACCTCGAAATCAAATCAAGTGATATCAGAGAATGAACTTGGATGTACATGCTGGGTATCCATTCTCTATTTGAGCCCAGTTAGCTTCTACACATTAATGGGAGAAAATATAAAGCTATGTAATAGCGGATATATGATAATATATAAAACTCATTTCATGGTAATTTCTCTATATTCATCAAAGCAGTTAAAAAGTCAGACAAACATGGACACTGGACAGTACAAAGGATTTGAAGTAACTGATATGCTTTAACTTCCACATTACATTGTACATATAACATGTATCCCTGCTGTAGTCATACAGAGCAGCATCATCTACATCATTGGTTATATAACTTTATATGTGTGATGAAGTACAACTTAACATAAGCCTAGCAACTGGTTTTGTTGTATAGAAAACAGCAGTCTACTTAAGTCATAATATCTGATGCCAGGTGAATGTGTAATTGTACTGTATGCTATTCTAAAATATTGACAACTGATTGAAGCATGATAAAAATTATCACGGTAATATACACAAGATGATTTACAATCGCTATGGTAATATGATACATGGGGAATTTCAAATCACCATGGTAACAGAGATTCATGCAGTTTGAGTTCACCATCATAACATTGAATCACCCAATGCTCAATATGAGTTCACTATCACCATGATAACACAGAATCACTCAACGCACAATATGAGTTCAGAACTACCATAGTAACATAGAATCACTTAATGCATAAAATGAGACCACAATGACATGGTAAAATAAAATAGAATTACGCGAGGAGAATATACTTTTTTTCAATACACATGAAAACAATTATTTCCAGAAAAGGGTTGAAATCTTTCTAATTGATTTCAAGATTCTTCAACTAAGACAAATGAAATAAAATAATCCTTTGTTTGATTCATTTAACGATTCATCTGTTGCTTAATCTCCCTCTGTACCATTTAAAGTACTGGTTTCCTAAGATATGAGCTTATAGTGATATTTCTGCCACTTGTACATTTATCAGAATCCATGCTAATCTCATTGATTTTCTGTGGTATCGAAAACGAGTCCCTTCCTAGATGCATCACCAAATACTGTTTCTTCAATTGTGGTTCTAAGGGGTCCATCTTGAGTGAATGACTCAAGCACAATGATGTTCTCGTTGCCAGGGATTGCAATGACAACCTTGCTGCCATCTGCAGTGATCTGACAGGCTGTGACGGTGTCATCAGATGTGAATGCACCAAGGGACACACCTGCAAATAAACAATGAATTCGGTAAGCCGTCTGCAAAAGATAAATTTCTCATGATTACAGAGAAGTAACTGCAATATGAGTTCTACAGGAAATTACAAATACAAGAAATCAAAAGCAGTCTGATAGCCTATATCAATGTACAGTCATACAAATAGAATCATTCTCGAAATGTCATCATATTCCACCAACAATGATTATTTTGTCAACTTTGGAATTCAACAAATATTTTCAAATTGATTGTTAGTCTTAATGTCGTCATTGGTTACCTTTTTCAAGGTCCCATAGATGAACACTCATGTCTGCACCTGTGGAATCATAAGTGACAGCTCGCAGTCCATTATCAGATAAGAAGATCTTATCAGGTCCTCCACTATGGCCCCCTAGCATGTGGTGTCTATAAAACAGAGAAGTTTGATATATTTATTTATTCAAAAAATGTCTCACATACGTTTTAAGACAAAAAAGTAATCCTTCAATGATCACATAAAATGTTCAAACTTGAATAGGACCTTTAATATCAAATCTTTTTTGTATCATGAATCCAGTGTTCTATATCATTATTGAGAAATACCCTTTTCTCATGGATCAACACGGAGTAAACATTTCATGACTTAATGAGAGCATAGTTTCACATTTAAATTGACACAGCACTTGCAATTTGAGGAATATAAGACATCTTAAGGTGAATTACTTACAGACAAACCCCAGAGACCATATCCCAGACCATGACGTCACCATTCTTTACTGCATTAACAATAAAGTTGGCTTTCCCATGTATTGCAACGCACGTTGTATCGCATTCTGGCTTCCACTTCTTAAACAGCTGGCCTGTTGTCAAGTCGTACACAACTATGAAGTTGGGACTCAGATCATCAAGTTCCTGGAAAATGATGTCATAATGTCATTGAATGTTGTCTTGGGAACATGATTCATATCAAACATTGTGCTTGCTAGAACACTTCTTCGGAAAATTAATTAATATTAAATAATGTTGTCATCAAATATAAAGGCTATATTACGAATAAAAATAACAAAATTTTAAAATCTAACTGTTTTTATGTAAACAAAACACTGCATCAATAAAGAATATAGCAGATTTGAAATAGAAAATGTTAACAACCTGGTACGAAAAACACTGATAATGATGTGACCATGGCAAAAAGGCAACAATGTGGTGCCACCGTGCAAACAACAAAAGACATTACCTTGGCAACGCAGACAACAAAATGTCCATCAGCAGTGATACCACACATCTGAGTGAGAAACTCATGCTGAGGGATACGGATATCATGGATCAACTTCCTGTCATTCAAATTCCAGACTAGGAGTGGGAAAGGTTTCTGGGTCTCGTCTCCACACACACAGAACTGCCCATTACCACTAACATTGAGACTATTGAGGAACCGGTCCTCACCGACCTTGAACGTAGCTGCCATGTCTCCTGTATGAATATTCATGATATTAACGTACATTCTGTTGCGTGAAAGCGAGACTACATGATCCATGTTATGCATCCCATAGTACGGCATCTTCACATTTAAAACACCCTTGAGTTTTGACATAAATGTTCCTTCGTCAATGTTGTACACAACAAGCTCTCTATTACATAATATACACACTGTGTGTGTATCGATAGCACAAAAATCACGAGGGGCTGTTACCCCAGTTAATGTTCGTACCACATCCTCGTTAGCCACCCCCCAAACTTTAAGCTCCTGGGTGGACTCGTGTAATGACACCATGTGGTTTTTGTCACCTTTCACTCTGTATAGCCCAGTTAAGAATGGTTGGTCGGTATCTGTGGGGGTGAGGCAGTATCGCGTGGGGAGGAGAATAGGGAGAGGGGGTTTAAGGGCCATATTCACCAAAGCCTTTATCCGAGGGTAATCAGACACTTTGTTGTTCATGGTACGTGTGTAGACCTGAGAAAGCAGCTGAGCGCCATCACTATTTAGAGCATGGGCAGACACTTGGATGATGTCATAGAGACATTTGAGATCTGCGTTGTCAGGATTACGAGATAGTTCCAGCTTGAAGTCCTCCAAGACGCTATATGTATCACAGGCCTTTAGCTTATCATGAAGCCAGTCTATATTAAACATATATTTGTCTGCATATGATGCTTGGTTAGTATAAAAAGCATGGTACGGTTCAAGCTCTAGACGTCTGGTGTTGTAGAGATTATGGCTAATCTTAATCTCTTGTGGGAGGATCATTTGATTGTCATTACTGTTCTTCCCAGTGAAATAATCAAGCATAGCCGAATGGATGCTTGATAACTTGGAGTCATCACTGAGATACCTCTGATGGGCAACCTGGTTAAAAATTGCATATTTCCATGTATAGAGACATTTGTTGTCTACAGGCCGGTCATGTAGGTAGGGGAGTATTTCGTTGCGCACCTGCGCCCACAGGAGCTCGGGGGCATGACCCTGACCTTCGTCAGAGTACATTGTTTGTATAAGTAGATCACAGCTTAATAAATCTCGTATTTCAATACCACTCAGTCCGAATTTGGCAGCAGTAAGATAGCCTATTAATACACCGATAGCTTCAACTCCATACTGTTGCTCGAGATCATCAAAGAAACAAACAACTTGCTCTTTGACATTGTTTTTCACGTTAATCTCATCAAGTGGCATAAAACTGTTGAGTTTACATGCCATGTTTGCTAGCATGGTGGCATGAAGAGGGTTCCCGCCCTCTTGGAATATATCGATCAGTTTACGCTGTTCTGGGACCAGTTTACGTTTCTTCAGTTTAAGTGCACGATCAAGTATTTCTACGGATGCAGCAGAGCTCAGATTAGGCACATTCTCTTCCTGAAGGTTTTTACCAAGGTGATTCTGGAAACACAAGATTTTCACATTTAATTTAAGCAAATGTTCTTCCTGAAGGCTGTTACCAAGGTGATTCAATAACGACAATATAAGATGATAGACCTAGTTTATGCACTTTGTTTTCCAGTTTCTTTCAAATAAATTGTTTTAGAAATATGCATATTCATATTGAAAGGACTCATGTATTTTTCAAATCTATGTTTGAGCTGTTAATAATCTACATCTACTTGTATTTATGGAACAACTAATTCCTACTGTTTATTAATAAGTGCTGTATTCTCTCCAATAAGCGCACAGTGGAGTTTCGAAATTGAAATTTAAAAGGGTAAGATATTGAGAGATGCCAATAAGAACAACATGCAAAATATTTAGATAAAAATATCACCAATTATCTTTTGAGTTGTTATCACAAACAAGGTTTACACACTCGACAGTTGCTGTATTTCTTTATATCTCTGCTTTATATACATATGATCGTCAATCAATATCGTGTTATGTAAAAGTCACATGTGCTCTCATTGAAACTATGCGCTCATTAAAGAGAATATGGTATTTCTACAATATGTTTGGAGTTTGTAGGTTTACCTTGAGGCTAGCAAGCATGTTAGAGCTTGACTCCAAAGTGATGACCAGACGCACATTTTCAGGTAACTCACTGGGGATCCAGTTGATTGAATCGCTGCCATAGTCACGTACCTACAACAACCAACGCATTCATAAAATCTCAAAGCATATGGTTTTTTGCTTTAATACCTATAGGGAGGTTAAGGTACATATTTTTCGAGAGCTTGTATGTAAAGGTGCAGAATTATACATGGTATCTGTTCTCCACTTCTCAGAGTCCTTAGATGCTGTTGCTATGGCAACTGAGGGAGAAAAAATAGTTCCATGTGTACTTGGGTCACATGGTGAAAGTGCATTCTAGATATCATTGAATCTATGCCATAAACTCCATATGATTGTTTTCTTGGAATATATCCTGAAAGGTATGGCTAGAAAACAATATTAAAGTTAAAATCCTCTCTCTTAACATGTATTTGCATAGCAATTTTGTTGTTTTCTATTGTTAGTTTCATGTCTAGGAATGATGCTTAGTGTGGTTTGCATTTTCTTTGTTCAGTTTGAGTTCATTAGGGTATATATCAGACGGACAGACAGACAGACAAGTGGGTGATAGCAATAGCTGAACCATATGAGCTCATAAAAAATAATCATCTTTCCTTCATAGTTTGCATATCAGACGTGATAAAACACAAATGTCAAGATGATTTTTATGACTGAATGGTTTCTTTCATTGATTCCAGGCTCTAGACTCCAAGTTCAATGGTTACCTTACATTCCCCCAATTTATGGTCTTTCGAATGGCATATGACCTTGACCCCAGCGTTGCCAGGATGCAGTTTGACTACACTGACAAAACCTATTGTGGCATGATCACAGGAGAAGACTTTGTAACTACTGCTTTGGATTATGAATGTCGATGACGAAAATCGATTCTTTGGACCTATATTGGATTTCTAATACAATTGATGGTTACGTTAATCCTTTCAAACCCCAATTGTAGCAGTAATCTTAAGCAACAATAGACTTCAACACATCACTTCAATGCAAAATCAAATGAGCCCAAAAATACCAATTTGACTATATTCTTGTCAAATTGGTTATGTTCTTTGATTGGCAGAATATTTTTTTTTAATATTGTTGGGACTTAACAAAATGAATAAAGCTACCATTTCCATACTTCAATGTCATTAATCACTGAGTACCAGCAAGTCTGATTATTAGGAGGCCCTTAATCACTGAGTACCAGCAAGTCTGATTATTAGGAGGCCCTCCTGAAAGGGCCTCCTATAGCTTTTGTAGCTTTTCTTTATTTATTCTTATTATTATTCTTTCAAAGCATTTTTCTTCTACTTCCTACTAGCTTTCAACTTTCTACTATATGCTCCTACTAGATACCTGGTTTCATCTTGATGGGAAAATATTTCATATCTAGGTCAAGGTCAAAGGTCAAAATCTAGGTCAAATCTAAGTTTTTTTTCAAGTTTCTCAAGTTTGTCCTTATACTTCATTATTTCTTGCGATGAATTAAACTGAAACTACATTTAAGTATTCTCTACAAATTGTTCACTATATGTCAGCATTAAATTTTTACAGTTTTTGAGATATTTGACGTCAAAAAACGGTCAAAAAAGGTCATTTTTCAACTTGCTTCAATCTGACCAATTTTTTTTTTAAAAATCATCTACAAGTTCCCAGGAGTCCAAATCTGACCTCAGATTTGACCTTTGACCCTTAGTTGACCTTCAGTGACCTTTGAAAGGTCAGAAAAGTTGATTTTTTAAATTGAGTCTTTGGATTCAAATTTAGGTCAGTCTAATTACAAAAAGCCTACTGAGGTCTAAAAAAGCAAAAATTTCAAGCTCAAAGGTCAAGGTCATCAAATTAGGTCACAAACTGTGCTATCTAAGTTTCTCATAGTTCAAGACTACAAGTCAATATTTTTAATTGAAAGTCAAGATATACATTCCTCTAAGGGTTCTACACATATTAGCAATTGACTATTAATTAAAATTTTGTCCCAGTTTTCAGATATAAGAGCTCAAAAACTGAAAAAGGTCAATTTTTCAGAGTTTATAAGGTCAAATTTTAACTTGCTTCAAATTCACCCAACTTTTTTTAAAAAATCATCTACAACTTCTCAGGAGTTCATATTTAACCTCAGATTTGACATTTGACCCTTAATTGACCTTCAGTGACCTTCAAAAGGTCAGAAAAGTTGATTTTTCAAATTGAGTTTTTGGATTCAAATTTAGGGTTTGCCTAATCATAAAATACCTAAAGAGCTCTAAAGCAGTAAAATTTTCATGGTCAAGGGTCACGGTTATCAAATTAGGTCAAAGGTCAAAATCTAGGTCAAATCTACATTTTTTCAAGTTTCTCAAGTTTGTCCTTATACTTCATTATTTCTTGCGATGAATTAAACTGAAACTACATTTTAGTATTCTCTACAAATTGTTCACAATATGTCAGCATTAAATTTTTACCATTTTTGAGATATTTGACGTCAAAAACGGTCAAAAAAGGTCATTTTTCAACTTGCTTCAATCTGACCAAATTTTTTTAAAAAAATCATCTACAAGTTCCTAGGAGTCCAAATCTGACCTCAGATTTTACGTTTGACCTTTAGTTGACCTTCAATGACCTTCGAAAGGTAAAAAAAGTTGATTTTTCAATTTGAGTCTTTGGATTCAAATTTAGGTCAGCCTAATTACAAAAGACCTACTGAGGTCTAAAAAAGTAAAACTTTTCAGGGTCAAAGGTCAAGATCAGGAAATTAGGTCACAAACTGTGCTATCTAAGTTTCGCAAAGTTTGAGACTACAAACCAATATTTTTAATCCGAAGTCGAAATATACACATTCCTCTAAGGGTTCTACACATATTAGCAATTGACTATCTAATGGAATTTTGTCCCAGTTTGAGATATAAGAGTTCAAAAGCTGAAAAAAGGTCAATTTCGAAATTTTTCAAGGTCAAATTTAAACTCGCTTCAAATTGACAAAATATTTTTTTGAAAATCATCTACAAGTTCTCGGGAGTTCACATCTGACCTCAGATTTGATATTTGTCCTTTAGTTGACCTTCAAATTGTCAAAAATGCCTAAGAGGGCCTCCGTGAGATTGCTTGCAATCTTCAAAAGTCTAGTTATGTAAAGATCACTTATAAGCAAGTTATGGTATTTCAAATCCTAATCTATAGCAACATCTACTTACACATATTCATTAGAAGATTACTATATATTAAGCAGTACCTGCCTGCCTTGTCATTTCATAACATCTCATCAAACTTTCTCTAAAGAAGATTACTATTTATTCCATAATAACATGTTTTCCCTGGGAAAATAACAGGGAATAAAAGTGTTATTTGAAAAATCCCGTATCAGATCCCGTATCAGCCAAAATCCCGTATCAGATCCCGTATTGGATCCCGTATCAGCAAAAATCCCGTATCAGATCCTGTATCAGAAATATTCCCGGTAATTTTTCTTGAGTTTTACGCTTTTCGTCTAGCACATCTCTACAGGAATTAAAAAAATCGTTTGGAAAATTGAAATTATTATCATCTAGTTTACGTCTATTACTGTGACAAAGGTCTATTACTGTGACAAATATGTCTAGGTATGCAACAGAGGATGTTGATGACTTCATTAAAGGTCAAGAAAATATCAATACTTCGAAGAAAACTAAAAGTGACATAAAAATCCTAGTAGATTTTTTACGGAGTGAGAGGAATGAACTCAGACCGATCGAAGAGATAGATGATAAATTGTATAATTTTATGTCACAATCATTGGATGATGACATACAAAAATTGAAAAAAAAATATTATGAAATAAATAGGTTATTGATGGTCGTGATGGAATATGGATTTATTCCTTGAGAAAATATGATATTGACCTCAGAAAATATCATATTGACACTCGGGCTATCGCCCTCGGTCAATATGATATTTTCCTTGGCCAATATCATATTTTCCCTCGGAATAAAATCCATATTCCATCCCTCCCATTAAATAACCTCTATATATTAAGCAGTACCTGCCTGCCTTGTCATTTCATAACATTTATCAAACTTCCTCTAAAGAAGATTACTATATATTAAGCAGTATCTGCCTGCCTTTTCATTTCATAAAATTCATCAAACTTCTAACCTTTTTAAATTTTTTGCTATTTTGACATGTTACTTTAGTGTAAAAGTTAATATTAAAGTCATCTCGCTGTTTGAATAAGAATCTTTCAACTAAGAGAATTAAATTTTTGTAAGAGCCTTACCTGGTCTAATCCATCCAGTATGATGAGTATTGGGACAAAGCTGCTTGCTTTGGAAAGTAGGCTGGGTAGAGTCCTCTTGTGTTCTTCAAGGCTCTAGAGAAGAAAAATCATGAATAAATTAAAGAATTGATATGAGTATAATTCTTGTAACTGTGTATCGAACAGCGTGTTCTAATTTGAAAAAAAAAATCAATGAATGATCATTAACATTTTGAAGAGGTCAGTTCAATTTCAACTAAAAAGTTGGCCCTATTTGGTCAAGATTGAAATATATATCCTTAATTTTAAATCATTATGTTTTGTAAAGAAATAAATATATCTTAAAGGGACCCAACACCATGGTCACATGATCAGTCGTGTGGAGGTAAGCTCCCAGTTGAAATAAAATCACTGTCCTCCTTTGGTTTCTGTGAAAAGTAGCTAATACCCTCATGTATTGGTCAGTTTGTGTGTCACACGACTAATCCCCACCATATGCTTCATTCAACATATTTTATGCTATTGAGCTGCATATATAAACAGTACTTTGCAACTAAGGTCATACAGTATACTTACCCCTTGCAAATTGTAATTTATTGAATTCACAGTAAACCCATCAATTTTTAAGAAAACAAAGAATATTGTTCTCATGGATCTATTATTTATGTTAGACTAACTATGAAAATATAAATATGAAATAATATGTTAGCTTGAAGTCATATATAAGATGAAAATATATGTTCATGCATTTGCATTTTTCCAAAGGGAATATTCCCATGTAAGTAAATACAGGTGCAATATATAATTTATATGTATATCTATGTCATCTGTCTATACATGCGCGTATAGCCTAGTGTTACATGTGAACAAGATGGTTCTGGAAAGAAATGAGCGTGGCAGATTTGCTAAAATGCCACATACACCACAAAAGCAAGACCAATTTGAAAGTAAGTTCATTATTCTCAAGGGTACACTTCAAGTGAAAGCTACATTGCTACAGGGTGGCCTATCATTCTGAGACAAATGTATTATCCAACGATTGTGATTTTCGAAGCTAAAATATGATATCTTGAGCAGATGGATATACATTCCCATGAGATATGTATATATAGTCAAAAGTGATAACTATTTATTGAGTGTAATGAAATGTATCCTTCGCTAACTGCTTTTGTTTGAGATAATTATCATGAAATGTTTTTAAATCAATTTTTATGTGTGTCATTGATCCTAATCCACCCTGTAGTCTGGTGTTTGTAGAGCATTGCGACTCGTACAACTTATTCTCACAAATATCAAACCTCATTTACTAATTAATTTTTTGTGTGAATATGAAGAGTCCAAGCATTGCTTTTTTATGTTTATTATATAGCTATATTTAGCCTTGATATCCATGATTTTTTAAAACAAAATCTCACCGTTAGATTTCGGGCTATTCATGTTTACTCATTTGTCTAATTGGAAAACAATGCAAATCTCATTTTTTCAAAGGAAAAAAATTGAAATTCTAAGACGGTGAAAAATCATTAAAAAATACACAGATTCAGAATCCGGCAAGCATTTTCCCTTATTCCTCTCCGTTAAGAAGTTTTGCAAGGTGTTGGATCCCTTTAATAAAAATATGATCCTCAATATGTATTGCTAGATAAAGTTCTGAACCGGGGATCGAATACAAGACCTATTGCGTAAGAGGAACACGCAATATGGCTGAGCTATACATGTGGACTATCAATCTATCATAACATACAATTATAATTATCATTAATAACAATAAAACTAGGCCATATTAGCTTTTTTAAGACATTCAATTACAACTAAATAAAAAAAAAATGAAAACATGTTGATTCTTACATCCCATGATTCAGCTATAAATGCAATTGGATTAAAAACTATGTACAAGTACTATGTTATGATCTAAGAATAGAGCGAAGTAAACAATTAATGTTATTGACTTCTAACAAAGCTACATATTTCATACAATATACAAGTAAATTATATACAATGTACAAGTATTTGTTTTATTAAGAGGAATTAATACCTGTGTAGCATTCATACTATTCCCATGACCTGGTGGTCAGAAGAATATTAATTTAAAGTGACACAGATATTCCTCATAATAGAATGAAATATTTGTTTTATTATCCACTGCTGTTTCTCATTCTATTATATTACATTGTATATGACATCATGCACTGATTGTAAAAGAGCCCCAGTCTGAGTCTATATATTAAAATTGAAGTATAGGAAATAATCACACTTGAAAGAGGGGCTCAACATAATATTGTCATGTGACATATGTTCAACCAATCACAGAATGAGTAACATGACTGTGACATATTTAATAATTAACATTTAATACAGAACAGTTTTACTGAACAGATAGTTTTACCTGTGACATGCAGATCTTGCAAAAAACACACATTTTATTGATAACAAGTTCAAATACATCACTTGAACTGCACTTTGCAAACTAGTTAGCTAAACAGTGTTCCGGTAACAAAATCTCAGAACCTGAAGGTATGATTTTTCTCTTTTCCTTATTTCACGAGTTTTACTGACACACATTTGTGATAAAAATGTCATGGAAATTGTGAAATAAGGAAAAACAAAAAAATGATAAATTAAAGGTTCTTACATTTTCGAACCCGATTCAATAACTTGTTTGAAGAGTGCAGTAGCTGTGATTACAGTATATTGTACAGTTCAAAATTCATTTCTTACAAACAAAATCAATACATGAGATTTTCATTTCAGACATGCAAGTGGCAGTCATGCAAATGACATTCATGTGGCATTCATGCAAGTGACATTCACTCAAAAACAGATGTGCAATAAATATCACCAGCAAACAAAAAGAATATTCTTTCATAAAGTGTTCAAGAAAAACAATTTCAAAACAGGACAAGACAAGAACAATGGTGGTCATACATAAGCAAACATACATAGTGTCATTTTCTCAATAAAATATTCAAGTAAAAAACAATTTCCAATCAACATAAGAATGATGGTGGTCATACAAAAACAAACATATTACCGTACAAATAATTTTGTGCATCATTTTTCATAAACTTTTCAAGGAAAATCCAAGCAACACTGAACAAGACTTCCATTCAGTTGCCTTAAAATAAAAAACACTCATTAATTAAGAACTTAAATGAAATACATACTTTAGAAGCTTTTGAGATGCTGAGCCCTGCTAGTCTATAAAGTTGTTCACAAATGCTTCTTGCTACCTGCTCCATAGTGGCGGTCTCTGGTGAGAGATTTATGAACCGCAAAACAACTGCACATTTATCCCAGCCAGTCACCTATTGCAGAGAAATAGAACAAATAAGCAAAAATATTGTACAATTTTACCTACATTAGCCCAGGTTAGGGGAGTTAACAATACTCTTTTCAAGATTTCCTACAAAATATGTTAGTTTATGCTGATTCTTCCAAAATATTAAACCCCACTAGATAACTCACTGTATGGCAGGTATCTGCTAGCATTGCAGCCATTGTACTTTTACCACTACCAGTCTGTCCAGCCAATAAGAAGGGAGTATTGACTTCACTTCCTTTCTCCACATAGCTCTGTAGTTTACTGAGTAGCTCATTCTGACCCTGGAATTGCTTACACAGTGTTTGGCACATCTTTGCTTGCCTCGTTAACATATCACACATCCTCTGCATTAACTCTGGAAATAATAAAATGCTTTAAGAAAGAGGAGGAAATCCACCATTATTCATAGCTCTTGTTAACATATCACACATCCTCTGCATTAATTCTGGAAATAATAAAATGCTTTAAGAAAGAGGAGGAAATACACTATAATTAATAGATTTCTTAGTAAAAATCTCTCAATAGAGGGTCATCTTTATAAGGAGATAATAAGTCCTCAATGAATTCTGGGGTATTACCCCCTCTTGGGTTAAACAAGTTAGAGTTCACAGTCAACATGCTGAAAAAGTATTATCACCAGTGGGTGGTGAATGTATTGTACAAGGCACTGTGAAGCAAAGATTTATCTTCATATGAGCAATAATACCTGAAGCACAGAGTCCAGAGTACAAATATGCAGACAAGAAATGTGAGACACCACTGTCTATCAAGCTGACAAGAATATCATACTTTTTAGGTGCAAAAAAAATCAAAAATCAAAAACTTACTTGGTTTCAGGTGAATCATCTCTTTCTCTACAGCCGACTCTATGGAACGTCTAATCTCGAGTTTCAGGACATTTTCGTATTTTTCACAAAACTCCTCGAGGTAACTCTTATGTTCTCTATGTCTTTCTGGATCCAGCCCACCCTCTATCCATTTAACATTGAACTCTGCGTAATTACTGAACTCAATCTTAGGTTTAATTTTATTTTTACTGTCAAGTGTGCGTGTATGGATAGATTTGTTCTCTTGGTTACATGTGACATCAATGTAATCTTTGGTGGCAGGGTCAGCGATGTCAGGTATGAAGTCATCAAATACACGGTTGAAGCAGATCACTTGTTCTGGTTTGGCATCAAAGCTGAATATACAGTGCTGGACCTCTTCATCCAAAGCTGGAACAAAATATGTTTTTATGAAATCATATAATTCAATTAAACATACACTAAAAGCTGTATATTTTAACAGCCTCTTTTATAAACCTAGATTAATAATGAACACTCAATCCCAATTTTAACTGAAAAAACTTGAAACATGAACACCATGAACATCAGAACACTTTTGCTAAGTAGCCAGTGGCATTCAAATTAGACAGTTTTTACAAGAAAATTATAGAAATCATTTTCATGTGAATCAGGGGCCAGTTTCATGATAAAGGTTCAAATTTAACAATTTCTTTTTGTCCTAATTAAATTATTTTTTCATGATCAATTATTTTGATACACAATTCTAAAAATCATAAAAGACAAGGGTTTTTCAAAATAATGACAAATGACAAAAAAATATTTATGGCTTAAGGCCATGAGATAAAGTGACATCACAACCAAACAAGAAACTCAATTTTGATATCCCCTTATAAAAATACAGTAGATATCATATAACATACCTGAGGTTAAATGCATTTTTTGTTTCACTTTACTCAACTTCGACTGGAAAATATCCACAATCTTTTCATTAATTTCACTCCATTGTTGTATAGTGTCTAAATTATATTCACTAAAATTGTTTATATGTGAGCTGATTTTGGCGAGTATGTACAGGGAATCTTTGGTATTTTCATCTTTAGTGTACCACTGGTTTAACAGATCTTTATCTTCCTGGCTCTCAAGTGTTCCTATGATTTCCTCAAAATCACTGGCTGGAACTTGTCTTGGGGCCTGAACACCACTTTTCTCATTGAGAAACAACTGAAAGTAAGATTTCATGTAATTTAATGTAATGTACTGTATTGTATTGTATTGTATTGTATTGTATTGTATTGTATTGTATTACATTGTATTGCATCATGTTGTATTGTATTGCGTTGTATTGTACTGTATAGTACTATACTCTACTGCTGTACTGTATTTACTATTTACCATACCTTACCTTACCGTACTGTATTGTATTGTAATGAACCATACTGTAACATTCATTACCGTACTGTAAAACGTTTAATTAACTCATGATTTTACTGTTATACTGTAAATGTACAGGCAAATAGGATGGAATAAAACAAGGGTTTTCAAATTATAAATGCTTTTTGGATAGAAAATATTTTTGGATTAAACATCAAATAAAATAAAAAAACAGTTAAGCAATTCTTAAGGGTATTGGTACACATACCACTATTCCTGAAGCAACAGACTTAGAGGATGTGTCATCAATCTGTGATAAACAAACATCTTTGAAAGTGTGCCCATCAGAGAACTCTGCAGTCCCCATGTGAAGGTCAACAACTTCAAGGTCAAATCCTTTCTCGGCACACTGGCGCCTCAGTTCTGGGTAGACTTTTTCATACAATGCATTACGCTCTAGTCGAGAATCTGAAAAACACATCAAAATGAAACGACTTGATTATAACAATTCTTTATAAATAGACTAATATCATTTAACACTCTATCTATCTGTCACTATGATTCCATCATGATTAAAAAACGTATTACAGACATGCTTTTCAAGTCACCCTGTATAGTAGACTCCCATTATTTTCTCCTCAGTGCCATCTTTAAAAGATGAAGCTTACTAAGTCCTATTTTGAAGTTTTTGTCAAACCTTTCAGACTGACTTTGAAAAATCTGAGAGAAATGTTACTCTTATACCACAAGTTATTTATAACAATGATGCTGATGTTATTTGGCAACATTTTCATAATTAAAAAATGTGAGTCTTCTTAAAAAATGTTATTGGGTTCAGAAAAACCTGAACAGACGAAGTAAACGAGACAACACATTCACCAGAAAAAAAAACAGAAAAACAGCATTGAAATGTTAACTTTGAATGCAAATTATTATATTGAACAGGAATATGGAAACCATCTTCCTCCTCCAAACAAGAAGTATTTCACAAACAGGACATGATCAATAATATTCTCTGAACACGGCATGTTAAATTAATGATATTTAGTCAAACAACAAGACATAACGACCAGCTAGAAGTAGCTATAGGCAAAATCAATAGCAACTTTTGATCTGCTACCTTTGATGGACATTATGAGTTCTACATGGCAGGAAGCTTGCAACTAAAATAATATGGGGGAGTTGTTTCGAAATCTTAAATAGAGAGGAAAGCAGAGAAATGAGCGAGAAAGGGAGAAAACAGTTTCATGCAGATGCTATTAACAGTGTTCGAATCACAAGAGAATGGAAATTTTCAAATTTTAGATGGACAAAGGTGGATTTTGAATAACACTGAATTTTTCAGTGTGGGTAATGAATTGATTGAAGTATTATATGATACCTAGACACACACCACAAAATGTCTTATACACATATGTTACAACTTTGAAGCTGATCATTAGCTTGGCCCTGACACTGCCTTTCAGAAAAAACAAATTTTCAAAATAAGTATTTTGGACTTCTGAAAGTATAAATTAGCCTTGCCCAAGTCGGTATTTTTTTACTAATCTGATCTTGAATTATTACTGCAGTCATAATAGAAATCAAGATAAGTAAGAGAGACCGACTTGGGCAAGGCTAAGTATAAATATACTCAATTGAAATTTTTGGACATTGATGAGAATGAAAATAACATCTTGCGGGTTCAAACATTTCAAAGAATAAGAACGTCAATATCTAGTGGTTACTTCAGACAACAATACTGACTTGAAATAATCATAATTGTTCACATATCAATATATATTGTTGTTGGCATATATTAGTCATCTAAGACGACTGCTTAATTAGCAATACAAACAATGATATGCAGATATAGGAGTCAAATGTTGAACATCCATATCTATTACAACATTTATTCAATGTTAAAATTATGATTTCCAATAATTTGACTGTCGTTTTCCATTTCTTTTGCCTACTGACATAAATTCTGATAAAACCCTTGGCAAGACACAGTGTAAATAAGACCGCAGTCATGCAAAAGTATGCAAATGTAATTAAATGACAATAAAAATCAAAAACAAATTTGAAATAAATCCACTGATGTTCAGCTCAAGAATGTGATACCATTTTACAACTGCATAAATTGGAAGTAAATCTGATGAGCGATTTCCAAAGAATCATGACACCCCCAGTCTGCCACCATGACAACAATGTTAATCATTCTTCCATTAGACTTAAAATCTAAAGGACCCTCTCACATCTACCAAGAACAAGAAAAACATGTAAATGTTTTGGGGCTGTTACTACAAATCACTGGAAACTACTTCTGGAAAATGTACCTACCAGAGTAACATGCCGCATGGTAAATCTTCACAAGTTTAGGCTTCAGGTCCGCCTTTATATTTGTGAATCCAAAGAGAAGTTTCTGCTCATCTGTAGGCACAGATTTGAGATGTGCTAGGACTGGTGGATTCTTTCTCTCCTCTCTTTCATCAGTCTTGTTGTCTGCAATTGATGAAGTGCAAATATATTTTCTTTTCAACCCGCTGCTCAAAAATAAAATAAAAATAATATAAATTTCTATTTTTCAAATGCAAAATTTGATGGATTGCAAATTTACATAATTGTCCTAATGCTAACTGTGACATCATATTGAATTAAAATGAACATTATCTGCCTCTTATTTCATTAATATACTGTAGATGTAGAGATTATTCAATGGGAGGGATGAAATATGAATTTTTTTCCGAGGAAAAATATGATATTGGCCAAAGGAAATATCATACTGATCGAGGGCAACCTATTTATTCCATGATATTTTTTCTGAAACTTATTCATTTTCAAGTTTGATTTGTCATCACTTAATAGTGGTGACATAAAATGATACAATCTGATTTTTGATTTTTTTTTATTGCAACATTTCTAACTTTTATTATTAACAAGTTTTAAAATAGAATGAAAATGTAGAAATCAAGAGAAATACCAAAAGAAAGTTCTGAAATGGGATCTGATACAGGATTTTAGCTGATATGGGATCTAATACGGGATCTGATACAGAATTTTGGCTGATACAGGATATGATAAATGATTTTTTGAATATCAATTCTATTCCCTGTTTATTTCACAGGGAAACATTTAATTATGGAATAAATAATCTGTTTACTACTTGTATGTGTATATTATCTATGTATCATTTCCATTGTATTATCAATAATGCCCCATCATTTTGTTTCTCAACCATATCCAATCTTAATTTTATATGATGTCATACCAGTTATACATAAAAAGAATGATTGTATTTTTATTTGCTAATTTGTATAAGGAATGTATTTTTAATATACATGACTAGGCTAAAGGCATGAGCAGTATATATGCTTTGCCTTAGAGTAAACTAGAGTTGAGTATTTGGGGATTACAAGCAACACTGGAGTGAATTAGACTTGAGTAGACAGCATTAAGTAAAGAATTTTTATACATTCAAATATATGCTTTGAATAAATTAAATTTTAGTATAGACACCATAGTATATTAGAAGTGACAATAAAGCAATTCTTAAAGTATATACCACCCGCACGAGACAAGTATATATATTATTCGAGTATTTTGTATAATTGAAGCACTAGCTTATATAATTGGAGTATCTATGCCAGAGAATGAAGACTTGAGTTTAAACACTTGAGTAGGGAGACTTGAGTTAGAACACTTGAATATGAAGACTTGAATTTAAACTTGAGTATGAAGATTTGAGTTTAAACACTTGAGTATGTAGACTTGAGTTAGAACAATTGAATATGAAGACTTGAATTTAAACTTGAGTCTGAAGACTTGAGTTTAAACTTGAGTATGCAGACTTGAGTTTAAACTTGAATATGAAGAGTTGAGTTTAAACTTGAAGACTAACTTAAACACTCGAGTATAAAGGATTCTGCAGCTTAATCAAAAACTTGCCTCTATATAGTTTAAAAGGCTATAAATGCAAATAGTGTTAGTTAAGCAAAGCTGTACCTGTCTCAACAGGTGCAAATAGATGTTTAGGCAGATCAAGCTGAAGCTGAGGCAGTTCTCCCGTGTCCCCAATATCAGGGCCACTGATCATACTAGTTGCAAACGTACTGGTTGCTGTCTTCTTGACATCCACGACAACATTATTGTGGGATGTAGGGCTGTTAGACGGCGTACTGGTGTTCTTACTCTGTTTGGAAGGCCTGCAAGTAAAGAAAATGAGGAATAAATATTAGTAAGAAACATACATGTATGTATATAGATTATAGAGTAAGGTTGAAGCAGGTGAGAACCTGGCAACTGCCTTGCTAAATTTTAAAGAAAATGTTACAGTATCTTCATATGTTTTGCAGGTCAAAATTAGACCTAAAATATCTCATCTTTGGCTCGAGATTTTCTCACCTATTTTATAATTTTGGTTATTATCATGATCATATATACTTTACATGAAAACAAACATTGTTTTAGTGTGGTGTGGTTGTCTGACTCTGACATAAAAAATCATTTTGCCTCAGAAATATTGGCCTCTTACAACTGATATTTTTCTTATTTCTTGAAATAATTATTAACATGTAAATTTTAACTTGTAACCAAGCTAGTCTCTTTATATTAAAGTGTCAGATAATTTCGCCTCTGTATAAAGCATGAGTTCGATTCAAATCCAAAAATAACTATCATTGGTATCAAGGGTGTAATTTCTACAACATTAAAGATAAGTGACACATGACTTATGGCCCACCCTGTATCTGAAAAATATTGAATCTAGCCAACTACCTCCGTTTTTACGTGCATCTAATGATTTCCCATTGACCAGCAAATAGTGTGTTATACAATTCATGCATTGATCCGCTTTCTTTACCTTGGTCACTGGGAATGTTAACACATGTCCCAAGCCTGAAGTACAAATACCCTGAAGTCTTCAGGTCACTACCCTCTCACTAAGACAGATCGCTCTACATGTTTGTGTATAGCCAATCAAAGAACACAACAGAGTCACACAATAATACTGTAAAAGCCCAAATTTTCAAGGTGCCCTAATTTCCGCTATATTCGCGTCTGGGTGTTTAGCACGAATTCAAGAGCACATAGATTAAAGGGCATCATATTTAGCTTGTCTATTATAACTGTGTGCAGCTATATTATTTTATATTTTTCAAATATTGTTTGAATTCTTTCATACAGGGTGAGCTTAAAAAAGGTAACATAAATAAATGTTAATAACTGATTATTCATTCAGCATGAGTTTAGTGTCATATTTAACTAAATCAAACCTTGATCAATGATGTTTCATTCTACCAAGTTTATTTGGTCTATTTCCAATAATTATGTTTTTATGGCCATTTTACAAAACATGCTATAAAATACCGGTGTTGTGTCTGGAGGCTAAAATGAACTTGGTATAAAATCCTGAGCATTGAAGAAACTTAGGGGATCGAGAGAATATTGAACAAGGTTTAATTGTGCCAAATATGATTTTAAACCCATGCTGAATAACTGAGTTATTACACATACATTTGTTTGGGTAACTTTTTTGGCTTACCCTGTACAAGGTTTCATTTGATGTGTAATACATATCCTAGATACATGAAATGACACTCAATAATCAATCAAGAAAGTTGATAGTAAATAAAATAGCATTTTTGGGCAAACAATTCAGTTTGACAAGAGTTAAAAGCAATGAAAATATCATAATAGTTGGAAAGTTGAGGCGGAGCACAAACAGAACTTTATCATAATTTCAAACAGGAGAGAGGTCAACCAAGACATTCCCATCGATTTTGGGCAAAATACTCGCAAAAAGTAATGTTTTGAAAAATTCATCTAAGTAAACATCTACTTTCATTATCTTCAATGAAAACCCCTGAATGTATCTTTTTGAGTCAAATATATATAACCAGCATAAAAACTGTATATTTATTTGTCCTTTTTAGAGCATAGTAATCAGTATGCTTTGGGCCTCTGGGTAATCTCTGTGAATTTCAGAGAAAAAGCAGACAAACTCAATTTATACTTGACATTAGAACTCAAGCAATTAAAGCTCCATTAATGTTGCTACTGTACCCGATTTTATCTCTACATTCTACATATTGATTGGTTGTAAATAATGGTAACCAGGTAGCAGGGGAACTTAACTCTGAGGAACATCCTTTCAAGGCATTGTTGCACCTTGTTATATACATGAACAATTATTTATGAACATATTGGGTGATCTATATATTCAGGGCTCTCGCCAGGCTTTTAGACTGTGGCGCAGCACCACACTCTATTTAGCTCCCTCCACACTCTATTGGCAAATCATGACTGTTTCCAGTCTAAACTTGACTGAATATACAATAATAGCTTGTAAAAGGATAAAACATAACATAAATATGATTTATCACAATTGAACGGTTATTCTAAATATTTCCCGGTGAGAGCCCCGATATTCCATATTAGTTCTCCATAAAAGTTGTGTTTTCTATTTGTCAAGTCACATAACCACACCAATAAATGGACAAAATGGGGCAATCATACAATTTTTGCAAGAAAATTCAACAAACCTGCAAAATTCACTATTAAGATTACAAACAAATTGTGTAAGACCTCGTATGAGTTATTTTAAAAGTTAGGTTACAAGGGTATGATATATTTAAAGGGCACATATCAAATTCCCCTCTTTTCTTATATCTAATGGTTCAATTTTTATTAGTTATAAGGGGTGCGAACCCCCCACCCCACCCCATGAATAAGGTTATAAGGAATGACAACCTGCTTAGTGCATATACAACTAAAATACAAGTTAACAAGTGAACAAGTGAAATCGGTTCCAACAATCAGGGTTTTAAAAAGATATGACAACATAACATCAATGAATGAAAAAGGGGCATAAAATGGTATACCAATAAAAGTTATACAAATGGTGATAAAACCAGATGTTATTCATGTATAAAAAAAATAGAAGAACCCATAACAGCATAAATGGGAAAATGCAAAATAACAAGCCAGGAAAATGGAAAACAGGAGAATCTAAAACAACAAAGCCGCATACAGGAGTTCAGGAGTTGTTATTAAACATTTTAAGGGGAGGCATGAGCATATGTTAACGAAATAAAAACCAAAACTAATCAAAAAGCAAGAATTAAACTGAATTTGTGAAGCACCAACCATAAACAACAGAAACACTGAAATGACTAGAAACAGGCCATTCTCAAATTATCAAATGTTGAGATTATCAACCATGCAACCAAGCAACAGTAAAAATTAAAAATAAACAGTGAAGCGAATGGGATTCATCTATTTCAAATTCAAACTTACTTAGTCGACTTAACTGCAGAGGAGCTACTTCCCATGATTCAACTTATCACCTTGGTGAGCAGTACAGTGAAACTTAAACTGGTCAGGTTGAAGCCTTATTGGTGAGCCAAAAGCCTTATTGGTGTGCCAAAAGCCATATTGATGAGGCAAAAGCTTTACTGATGTGGCTCTATATTAACTAACTAGCTAACAAGACTTACACATGTTCATCGTGGTTTCCATTGTGTCCATTCTGCTGAGGAGCTTTATTTTTATCCAATGAGCTTCCCATTTTTAATCTTTATATCGTCCCTCGGGTTAACTTCCAGTTAATAATTCTAAATGTGCACTAAATATCAGTGTATAATAATTCAAACAGTACTTTTCACTTCCAAAAATATTGTGACCAATGATGTTCAACAACTGATTAAAATAAGCATCCTTTAGTTAGCATGTAGTTTATACTTTACAACGAGGAAGCCATTATTGAAATCTAATGGCACCCAACTGCTCATGCAATAGTTCCAACAGACTAGATACCAATGGCCTGGATTTTTAAACAATGTAAATGATCCCTATGTGAGATGTTATGAGGATGGAGCTATTGTCTCAAAGACCAATAATCCATTAATGCTAGAATTGTAGCTCTCTGGTTTTCAAATGGACCAGGTATAATCATGATACGCAATAATGTTCTGAGTGTCGATTATTAAAAATTCTGATGATTCAAACTACAAGAAAGTAACCAATAGTCCAATTTGATGTTCCTTGATTTCTGACCCGCAATGAAACATGCTCCAATTTAAGCATGCGTAATCACTTTTTGTTTTTGAAAACCATTAAAGATTTGTCTTTTTCATAATCATAAAAATATAATGTCTGAAAGCGTTCTTCAAAACCAACCCATCAACTTTCTCTCAATTAACCAAGTTCTAAGATAATGACCTAAAATCAATCCCATGAATACTTTGGACTGTGTTTTCATAATGCTTGAAGCTAATTGGTTAATAAACGATACAAAGTGTCTTACATACATGCCTGTTGTTCAAGGCTCATTACTTATTTTGTGCGATAATATTGGAAATCAACCTCACACACAACAACAGGAACGTCAGTTGTTGTTAGGGTATTGTTGTGTACATAAATACCATGGCAACAAGTAAACTGAGAGGGTTTCAGTTGGTTATAATCAATTATTTTGTTGACGCTCGTTGAATCCATCTAATAATTATACAAACTGTCAATACTCACAATTCAGATGCATATAACTACAAAACATATCGATATATACAGGGTGGGCCAAAAAACAAATACCCAAGTTTAAAGATGAATGATTCATATGCTATATGTTAAACCATTGCCATGTGCTATATATCATTTTAAAGATAAATCATTTCCTAACAAAATGACGCCATCCAATTGAAAAGCCTTTGTTTTCTTGTGGAGTTAGAAACTAAAATTGACACCAAGGGTGCAGAGTGACCAAAAATCAAAAAATGAAAATTCCAAAATTTCACTCCATATTGCAGTTACAGCTGCACCCAATATGCTTGACTGAATCTTTCAGGCCTCGCGCTTAACTTTTTTTATCAGGTAGTTGTTTCACTACTTAGTGAATTTTCCAGGTAGCTATTTGAGAGAACCAGATAGTGAAGATTTCGATCTTTATTCTTATGACCTACTAGCGCAATAATAAGATATTAGTGAGAAACCCATGCCTCTCTATCGTTTCAAAAAATATACCCAACGTGTTCGTCTCTGTTAATTTATGGCATCCATACTTTTTTGAAAGGTAACACTTTGAGGTTCAATTTGCTGCCGGATGCCCTTGCAAACTCTCATTGGTTGCTCTGTATTGTTGCATTCCGTTACCATGGTTACGCATCTATAAACATCTTACCTTGGAATCTTAGATCATTTGTAACTTTGT